ATTAAAAATTCAATTTAAAGTATCTAAACAAAACCAATACAACATACCTGTACACTTTGTTCCAACAGGTCTGCAATGATCTGTGTGAAAAGTAAATGTACTACATGTATTTGCATTGTACGGCAATTTATATGATACATGTCAAACAATTTACTAGTAAGAGTCAAGCAAGAGATATAAAGACTGACGCTACAGATATGTACGGTACATAAATATCGAAGTCCAGCACTATATATTTTAAAAACTCACTGCAAAAGGGGCCTGCGTGACTTGTGGAAGAGCCGCGTACAAGTGTATGTTTACGTATTTTCGCCGGCGCCCCCTCCCACCCCACGCCCATAATAATACGTTAGCTAAAGCGGAAAGTAAACGAGGCGGCTCCTAATTCTGAAGATATCTACATCTATATCGTCACTCCTGATCTGCCAAGAGTTTATGTTGTGTCACAAGAGTATTCACAGAACGTTACCTGTTGTCGTCTGCGTTTTTCGAACGCCGTACGTGAGCCGCTTACAGCAGACGACGCCCCACTCTCAGCCGGTCTTTCGTCAAACGCATGTACATCCGGCACGGCTGTGGGCTTCAACTGAACGCGTTTACGTATTCCGAATTCCCGCTCGAGTCCGCCGACAAACTGGTCGCTGGAAAAATGACGACTGCACAGTTCGGCTTTCGCCCCTCCCGTCCAGTTGTTTCTACGGCGCTGTACGTACTGGGTCCACAATCGCCTTCTCCGCGGGCTGCTTGGAAACTATGCAACCTAAGTCCTAATTTAGTAGTCCCAGAACAACCATAAGCTACACATCTACGCACCATATTTCTATAATAACAAAGATAAACAAAGATACTGACGAAAAAACTTGGGCTGACAAAAAAACTACATGACAGTTCCTGTCGTCTGCTAAACTATGACGCTCGCGTTCCTACTGTGACGTCACTTCCGGTCTCACTGCCGAGTTTGCACTAGAGTAGAGCTGGTGGATTTAACACTTAGTTTTCGCAAATTCATGGGCGCTTGGATAAAAATGAGGCAATTTCTACAATTACATGTGTGGAAAGCTGTTTATTCCCCAAAATGCACATCCCTTGTTACATAGGGGCTTTAAGAACGTGTGGCCATACAGGCAATCCGTTGTTGAGTACTGAGGCTTCAATTAGATGCAATCGGAGCTCTTCCTGCCAGCTCACTTCAGCGCTCGATCTGCGTCAGTCCACGGAAACAGCCCTTCGGTTTAATAGGGCTGCTGGAGAGGAGCTGTGTTGTCTGATTCTGCACCTGAGCACGACTGGCGGGTCAGAGGAACAAAAGTCATCGAAGAACATATATATGTGTATATGCCAGGGTTGAGACTACACTCCGGTACAAATGACAATGCTGTATCTTTACAGCCGGTAAAACCGCCCCTCGGCGTAACACACCAGCTTTGCTGGCACGCTGTGCGGCTGCAGCTGGTTACATCACACCGACCGACTTGTTACACTAAAACCCTTGGACATCTAACTCTGAACATTAAAGCTATCTAATGCATATAATGATAATTCCCCTGTGTACTTGGTGTTCCACTCCAACTTCACCGGTAGAAATCAGAAACGGGGTGGCTGTCAAGGGCATAGCTGAAAAAATGTGCGCTTTTATCTAGAACCACCAAAGTTGGCACACATGTAGTGAAATGTATTCCTATCAAATATGGGTATGGAATCTATGGATGCATTTCAATTTCTTCCCAAGAGCGAATTTCTGGCATATTTTGCTATTTTTGAATGAACGATATATTTCTGGTTCATGACAGTTAAAGCAATGATTATGAAATTTGGTACAACCATGCAACTTAGCAATTGCAGTGCCACACTGAGTCCTAGTTATTGACTAGTATATTATTGTTGTTGTTGTTGTTGTTTTGCAAAAAAACTGTTCTTTGCAATGATTATGAAACTCTGAGAATCATAGTATATACGTATACAGTCAATACTGAGTATAATTTATTTTCTAAATTTGTTTTACATTTTCTACTTTTTGTTTCTCTTCAATTTTTGTGACGTTCTTACTGATTCCAGGTACTTTTCGATCGGCCGTAGACAAAATAACCGGACATGAACTTATCAAACATGTCTGTTATCCTTGAAAACAATGAAGAATACCGTGTTATGACATTTCAGTTATAAATATTTTTGCTACTGGTGCTATGAAACAAACTTCCAAGAAACCACTTGGAGACCTGAGTGTTTTTGTTTAGAGTTATGCTTGCTCGTGAGAAGCTCACATCAGTCTACAGGCCACTGTTATAAAGGTCATGAGGGAAGAAGTCAGGATCAGCTATGGTGACAAGTCCTAATCTATAAACTGAGTTAACCCTCAGTGCTATATATAAGTAAAGGATTTTTTTTACAAATATACTGTTATAACAATATCCAGAATTCGAAAGAAAACCCCATACTCGGCCCATAGCCTTTTCACACCTAATTCCAGTTCACAAGATTATACAAACACCTGTATCTGTATCATGTCTTTGTAGGCGTTCTACTTTTAATAATATGAAACATGGCATTAAATCTCCTATAATTCGTGAAACGTGTTGCATTCTTACCATGTGAAAGATTCAATTAAGAGAAAAAATATAAAGTTCAAGGATGCATCTTTTAAGTAAAACCAAGTTGCTGTCTTTTACACAGTGACAGTGGGAATTATCTAGCTTTTTGAATCTGGTATCATATACATATATATTAAATACAGTCACATCACGCTATGAGGACTACGAGTCGTGGATTTTTCACTGTTGCATAAAATATTTATTGTAAAATGCCTGATTTTGATTCTCTCAGCATTTTTGTGTAAGACCAATTATTTGAAAAATGGTACGAAAATAAGTAATATCAATTTCAGGAGCGTCACAATTAATTCAGTCATGCTGTTTTTTTTTTCCACAAACTGCGTCTGAATCATTCCAAATTAGACATTATCAAACATACGCCACAGTTCTTCAATGACTCAATCTGCTGTTGATCTAGATATATTTATTCAACACCATAAGGTAGTACGTCATCACATTTTATTAGGAAACAAGTTTTTAAATTTTCCAACAAGCAACGAAATCAGGTCACTTAAGAATACTCACTCACTGACAGGCGATTCTATATCATATTCCTTGTATTACCAAGTCAACGTTGGCAATATTTGATAACTTTGATAATCACGTTTAGCCAATTGTGTATCTACTGTCTATGAATTGTTTGGTTCCTTTAGATTTGCTGAACTCCAGATGCAAATGTTCTAGCCTTCTTTTGAAATCAGTAAATTCCATTGAGCTGACATCACCCTTTGAACCAAACATCACAAATGCTATTTTTCAAAAAGAAACACAATCCAAATGTCCAGACAGAAAATCCCTTCGGCTAAACAACACAAAAGTTACCGACTTCCGGTAACAAAAGTTTTTCTAGGTTATGTATTAAGTATGTGGGTGGTTTAATCCAGACATGCGTCATATCCGTACAATTCATGAATGCCGATCACCCTACTCTTTTAGAACCCTCCAGAAACTGTTGTTCGTCAAACAACGCTTTATATTACTGATCAGCATTGGTGGCAGTCACCGCATATAATTACACGTGAACATATAAGGCTGTGGAGCTCGCTGGCTGCGTAAACGACCCTCAGCTGAACACTCAACCGCACGACTGACTGAAAGAGATAGAGGGAGAGAGGAAGAGAAGAAGAAGTCTGCTGCAAGAATAACCTGTTGATTGTCAGAGTAGAAAATATGTCGCCGAAGCTGATTCTGGTCATCTTCTGCTTGAGCGTCCTTGCGATGGTGCTGGGCAGTAGCGGGGCGACCGTGCGGGGTGCCGGCGGGTGTGAGGGGTGTGGAGAGGCGGAGGAGCGGTACGACAGCTACCAGATAGACCGGCCCGAGCTGGCGTACAGCGCGGAGGGCACGAGGGGAAGGGGCGGGCTACTCAACATGCTGCTCAACCGAGGGATTGTCGGTGAGTAAATAAATTTTAGGGTAGCCTTCACCAGGCCTTCCTACGGGGGTACGGATCCTAGAAAAAATAGTTGGCCAAGTGAGACAGTCCGGTGGAGGGTTAATTTCCCCCTCTGAAGCTTTGCGGGCAAATGAACTTTACGCTGGCTAAACTCACCTAGTCAATTATTCTCCCTAGTGGCTAAGTTTACTTTTTTTTAACCTGCGTTGTTAGTCTGATGGAAACTTATTTTATTTGGGAACATATTCGAACTGTTCAACCGAGGGATTGTTGGTGAGTAATTAAGTTGTATAGACTTTTACAGATTTATGGCAATTGCCAATACGGTTTTCCTTTTCTTGCGATAGCCAGTGTCCCCTTGTGCAATAGTAGTGTGGATAAGAAAGTGGCCGGTCTATCCAAAGATATAAATTGGACGTGCTGCTCAAGAGAGGGGTTGTTGTTGAGTAACCAGGCTTTATAGACTCAGCGTGAGCCCACAAGATAGAGGGAAATGCCTTGAAGCCTTGGAGTGTGCAAACACGTCTAACCTTCGGGTGACGGGGAGTAACTGACTTTGAACCGGCCAGTGAGTGAGTGAGTGTTCATAGAAAATTGGCCCAGACCTTACATGCATTTTTCTTTAGAATTGTACAATAGCAAATAATACGAAAGGTTTGAAACTGGCCTTACATAGACATGGAGGACTGTGTAACCATTCCCCAGGCACTCCATAATGCTAGCGATAAGATTCAAATAAAGTGTAACATTTGTTATGCCATGTCTCATATACGTATGCCTGCAAGGCACTTTGAATAACGCCTATGTATGTAGCGATGGGTGATCCCTGGATAAATAAAATAAATGAAACAACACAGTTAAAGCAATTCAAAGATTACAAAAATTACAACGGTACTGAAAAGAATATCCCCGCGAAATCCAAGAACCATTTATTCAGTGATATGCACTACTCCACGATTCATACACCCACGTTGTTAGTACACTTGGCTGTTGAGTTCATGTATAGGTGACCTCGGAGTCATAACCTAGCTGGCATCCTCCGCTGCTCTCTACCAAATGAGCGGCTGGGCCGCCCCGTTATTTTCTGCAAAACATTAACCCGGTCAATCCACTTATTATCTAGTACCTTAACCCTGAATTACGGGTCATGTGGACTGCCTGAATACCCTTCCTTTCGTGACTTGGCTCTTGTGCATGTGGTCGAAGCACCTTTTTCGTAATTGCTGAATACAAGAAAATAGTTATTGAGAAATGTCCACTGCATGGCGCGTATCACGAAATATCAAGTATATACTAGCGTGCCATCGTCATCTTTAGCGTTTTTACTGGTTCCCTTCTACAACTAAGAAAATAACCCACGTAATTACAAGCTGTAGATGCCTGGTTTGCAAGGTTAGTGACCAGGAAAGTTTTAGGCTTCAGACATGTTAAACTTTATGTTAAACGTATTACGTAAATAATGACGTCTGAATTGCATTGTCTTTTCATGACATTTTATATTCATACATTTCTTAGTCGTATTAACTTCTTAATGGCACAGAATGACCTTTGATTAATCGCCTGCATCTAGATCTATCATTGAAGTCGTTTTTCTAAACCCCATCAAAACTTGAGCAAGTGTTACTAGTAATCCCTACATCTTACATGGAAATGTGAATCTACTACTTGAAAGTTTACTTCAAAGGACTCTCTGAAATGCCATAATGTTCTGTTGAAGACCTTACATAAAGTCTTTGTTGTGTCAAGAAAGATTTCTTTCATCATAGTTTCACAGATGTCTGACAGAAAACTACCAGTGAGATCGGATCTTACTGTTAAAAAATCATACGTGTGATTGAACTAAACTACAGACTGCTATTGTTGTGCAAACAAAATTTTTTAATCAAAATTTCACACAAAGATGTATAACATACTTACCACCATTAAGATCTGGTGTTACTGCTAAAAAATATACGTGTGAGTGGACAAAACAGCAGACGGTTATTGTTGTGTCAATAGAGATTCTGTCATCAAAGTTTTACATAAAGATGTGTAACATAGTACCTGCCCGTAAGATTCGGTGTTAACGTTACTGTTAAAAATATATTTGGCTAAACTACAGTCATTGTTGTGTCAATAAAGATTTCTTCATAAACATTTCACAGTAGATTTACATGCTTACCACCTGTGTGATCAGCTGTTACTGCTAAACAAACTATACGATCTGTGATCGGACTAAAATACAAACGACCATTGTGGTGTCAATAAAGATTTTTTAATCAAAGTTTCAAGTTTCACATGCTTACCACCCATAAGACCTGGTTTAGATGCTAAAAACTATACGCGTGAGTGGACTAAACTACAGAAGGCATGCGGTGGGAGACCCTAATTCCCGGATCCATTACCACCAATCATGCCTGTTATCTCTTGATTATAACACGTTCATCAAAGTTTCACAAAGTTTCACCACTCTTATGATCTGGTTTAAATGCTAAGAAATTATACGCGTGAGTGGACTAAACTACAGACGGCATGCGGTTGCAGCCGCTAATCCCAGGATCCATTGCCACCAATCATGCCTGTTATCTCCCTGTTACAAAACGTTGAGTGACACATCAGCCCACTTGACGATTTAACAACGCTATCCGCATGATCCGCACCACCCGTGCGCGCACGTAGTACCCTTCCTGTGCATTCATCCTGCTGAATACATCCATGGATCACTCCTAGTTTGAAGAAGGGTGATGTTTCAAAGCGTCGCGGCAGGCATTATGTTCTACAAGCTCCGAGAACAAATAAAAATGACTTGGAGATGAAAGGCTCTCCATAGTGCTTTTTTAAATTACTAGTCACACAGGTTTAGAGGTTGTTGACGTCTGCCTTTACTCCACCGCAACAAACGTCAAACTTTTTTCTTCACTTTCTTTGTAATGTCAGTCTAAGTCAGTGTAATGTACTGTTTGACCTTTTTATCAGAGAAAGATATCATCCCTTTGACCTAGCCTACTTGCGCTTATTTCCGGTACTACCTGTGGACATTTCCGGTCAGGTTGTAAGCCCCTGAATCTGTAGTCTTAATACCTAATGGCTTTTGTAATCTTGCAGACAGGTCCTAATCTTTACATGACCCAGATTTCAGCTTTACTGTTGGTCAAGGTGTAACTACTTAAAAAGGTCAATTTACTTTTAAGCCTTTGAAAAAGGTGTCGGTAACAAAATACTCACTGAAAGACATTACTTTCAGACAGTTTTATTTGCACCAATTACTTCTTTAGCGTTACAAAAATAATCTAAGGAAAATAGTCAACACTTCAATTTGAGGACCTGGATGTCTAGCATTCAGCAACGTATCAAAATATATAGTTATGTCTCTAAGGCTACAAAAATGTGACACTAGTTTTTCTTTTGTTGTTTTTAAATAAAATACATTATTTTCACTTGATTCCCGAACTAATAGGTAAACAAAAGAAAACAAACCTAATGCCTTAAGTCCTCACAAAATTCTGGTTTGCATCATTTGTCAAGATGCACATGTAATAATGCCAATCCATCATGTTAACAACATATTAAGGAATGTTTGATCGAAAGTCGTTGTCTTTACCAATCTGTTTTCAGTTTTTCACCTGAAAGATCTTGTCACCATAACTTCGGTTTTCCTTAATTTGTTAAGATGCACATGTACTAATGTCCCATCATGTCAACAACATAATATTGATTAAAATGTTTTCTGGAAACCCGTTGAAACCCGATCTGTTTTCAATGTAAAATATTGTCACCACCCTTTATCTATAGCACCAAAACAACTAGAGTTACACTTCTTTAAACTAGGAGTGATCTAAAGAATAAATGTTTTATGGAAAGCCATTGTCTTTACCGATCTATTTTCAAGGTAAAATGTTGCCACCATACCTTATCTATAGCACTAAAAGATACGTGAGTGGAATTTCATGTTCAAGTTCAGGCATGGATAAAATTGGTGATTAGTAATAAGTAACGGAAGCAAATTTGTGCTGCAGTAAGTATAAATACGTCTGTTGTTGAGCCAGTATGGTCTTCTTGAGGTGTTTAATGTCACACCAACACCTAAGACTCGGGCCTGCATGTAAGCCTGATTTTTCAAAGCCAATATTATAGTCATTTATCTTGATATTGACTTGAAACTTCACTGTCCCAATGTCCCTCATAGAGCAAAAGTTCCCAAAGTTCTGACGGAAAATGGATACTGGAGGGGCCCTGGACTTATTTTTATGGTACCACCCAGAAAATATAGGACTCATCTTGGGGCTTGTTTCTGCAGTTTTAAATTCCCAAAGTATGAAATACTGATTGAAATGTGCTAATGTGAAGCAACATGTGTCAATATCACAAAAATGCCTTATTCAGAATATTTCCAGTTTTGCTACTCGGAAATCCCACTGGAAGTCTTTAAGTTCAGACATGGATAAAAATGGTGAACAGTAATGAATACCGGAAGGAGATACGTGCTGTAGTAAGTCTGTTGTTGAGCCAGTCTGGTCTTCTTGAGGTATTTAGTGTCACACTTACACCTGAGTCTCGGGCCTGCATGTAAGCCTGATTTTGCAAAGCCAATATTCTTAGTCATTTATCTAGATATTGACTTGAAACTTCACTGTCCCAATGTCCCTCATGGAGCAAAAGTTCCCAAAGTTCTGACGGAAAATGGATACTGGAGGGGCCCTGGGCTTATTTTTATTTGCAGTAAGTCTGTTGTTGAGCCTGTCTGGTCTTCTTGAGGTGTTAAGTGTCACACCAACACAGGACCTGTAAGCCTGATTTTTCAAAGCCAATATTCTAGTCATTTATCTAGATATTGACTTGAAACCTCACTGTCCCAATGCCCCTCATGGAGCAAAGGTTCCCAAAGTTCTGACGGAAAATGGTTACTGGAGGGGCACTTGGCTTATTTTTATGGTACCACCCAGAAAATAAAGGACTCATCTTGGGGCTTGTTTCTGCAGTTTTAAATACCCAAATTATGAAATAATGATTGATATGTGCTAATGTGAAGCAATATGTGTCAATATCACAAAGATTGCCTTATTCAGAATATTTCCAGTTTTGCTACTCTGAAATCCCATTGGATGTCTTTAAGTTCAGACATGGATAAAAGTGGCGAAGAAGAATAAATACCGGAAACAGATTCGTGCTGCAGTAAGTATGAATACGTCTGTTTTTAAGTTCAGACATGGATAAAATTGGTGAACAGTAATAATTAACGGAAGCATTTTCTTGCTGTAGAAAGTCTGTTGTTGAGTCCGTCTGGTCTTCTTGAGGTGTTAAGTGTCACACGAACACCTGAGACACAGGAAGACAAGGTCTGCGCGTACAGAGCAGGTTACCGGGCAAGTTGCCAAGGTCTGGCTACAAGCACATCCTCACTTCCCTCTTAGACAGGAGATGAGAGGGAAGATGATTCTTAATTGGGTGGGGAGAAAAGACGCCAGATGCGTACGTGTGGGTCGTGTGGCAAAAACAAGGCACCTTTTGACATCCTGGTTGGGATGAACTGAGATAGTTGAGCTAGAATGCGACAAATGCGCGATACTGTATCTCAATTTAAAACTTCTGAATCTTCTTCACCTGGGGATTTGTATCTTCTTATATTCTGTATTCATTAGGAATGATACATGGCATTACCTCGGTCAACGTAGCTCAGTTTGCTTTTGGACACATGGGAAATTGACATATAGCAAAAAATCGCTTGATCCAACCACGATTTTATGCAACAAACCTCTTTAAAACCCAAGAGTAAAGCCTACATCTCACCGATACCCAGATTTTAAACAAACTCCTTGCTTTCCATCGCCTTAGATTAGCACCTAGAAATTTATATTTTTTTTATATTCTGTATCCATACCATTACTTTGGTCATCGCAGCTCAGCTGGCTTTTGGACACATGGGAAATTTGACACGTGGCAACAGCAAATCGCTTTATCCATCCGCGATAACATGTAATAAGTTCAAACCTCAAGTTGAAACTCCAGAAATAAAACTCACCAACACACAGATTTTTCCAAACACTTTGCTTTCCATAGTTTTAGAGAATATATAACTTCCAGGACCTTGTGAATTCCGAATTTAAATAATAACAATGACAACGTTAAGGCCAGTAATAGAACAAAAAATTCATTTGCCCTTGTTTTATTTTTAAACTATGAGAGTAAGTAGCGTGTGTTATATGATTGAAAGGCTCATAGTATCTACCAGTACAAATCCGGTCCATCAGCATCAATGATAAGGTTTCTAGTCACTTCTCCCAGAAGCTGAGGTATAGATTGTGATCTTTACGTCTGCATGGTAACAACATCGCTGAATAACTGCTCGAGGCTGACGTGTTGACTAAGTTATTGAAGAATTTATTTCTGTAGCCAATGGTCTACCTTGTTCTTATGTATTTATCTATTGATATAAATTCATTGGTGGATTTCTGTGTGCCCAGTGGAAACCGTTACAATTTATTTATTGGTTAATTTATTGATTGACGTATTGGTTGGTTGTTTGCTTGATTCAATTAATTGATCGGTGTATTGATTGATAGATTGGGTTCTGTGTTGCTAGGTGCCCGTTAGTGTCTGAACCCGTTGACATTTATTGATCGATTGATTGGTTGATTATTTCCAGGTGCCCGTGCCCGGCGGAACCCGTTACCCCGTGTGTCCATGGACATCTCCACCATGCTGCTGGGAGAACTCCTGTCCGACGGAACCTGTTGCCTTTTATTGATTAATAATGTATTTATCTATTGATTATTTCCAGGCGCCCGTGCCCGGCGGAACCCTTTACTACTTATTGATGAATTACTTGATTAATGTACATATTGATTGATTGATTGATAGATTGATGTATTTATTTATTTATTGATTGTTTCCAGGCGCCTGTGCCCGGCTGAACCCGTTACTATTTGACGAATTGATTGATTGATTAATATATTGATTGATCGATTGTATTCTGTGTTGCCAGGTGCCCGTTCCTGTCGGAAGACATTACTAGTACCATTTATTGATTGGTGGACTCATTTAGTTAATTATTATTTTTTATTTATTTATTTATTTCTTAGGCGCCCGTGCCCGGCGGAACCCGTTACCCCGTGTGTCCATGGACATCTCCACCATGCTTCTGGGAGAACTCCTGTCCGACGGTGCCGGCAGCAGCGCTACAACCGACCACAACTTCGAACTGTTCCGGCAAGCGGGGAAGAAATAAAACAAACCAGCCAAAACACGTCCAAAGACTGATGAGAACAAAAGACTTCATAACTTCTTAGTTTGTTTAGACTAAGGAAAACGATTCCAGAAAGAAAATATTAGCAGAACTAATGATTTTACCATGTTTAGGCTATGAGGAAAATGTCATCATTACTTACTTACGGCGGAAAATAAACTTAGTAATTATCACTGCATTTATTTAGGCTACAGGATTATATTTTTTGTTAAAATGTTAGCAATTTAAGTCATATTAATGTTTCCTTAAAAGATCATAGAAACTAGCCAGAATTTTAAAGTACACTTTACGACAAAGAAACTAGGTTTGAATTTTACAAATTAATGACACTTTGTTATGTTCAAATGACAGTCTTTAATGTGATCACACAAACAAAAACTACTGGAATCTGTATTTTCATGAGCTAAAGATATCTGCGCTGCTTTTGCTTCCAATTAAAATTATTATTCAAATCTATTCATTTGTATTGTCTATGGATTTACGCGTAGACTACACAGTGATTTGCCATCATTTGGGGTTTCATATGTTGACTATAGATGTGTTCTGAAGTATACTAAAGATGTTATTGAAGTTTGCCTTTTCATTGGGTGAGCTTGCGTGTTCTCAATCTACATGTAGAGTAGAATTGAAGTCAAAAAGTAAACGTGTTTCTTAAGGTCTTAAACGTATGTCTTTGAAGAGTTAAGCCGTGGGTCTGGTTTCTTAAAGACTTTAAGTCAAGACTTTGCTTCTTCAAGGAGTACATTCTCCGGTCTTCCAGCTCTGGGCAAAGGTGTCCGCGGTCATGACCTTCGAGCCGCTAGGAGTGGTGAAGTCGTCCTGGGAAGGGAAACAGGCATCAGTGTCATTTTTACGTTAGTTGCGGTTTATTTTAGTGGTGTTGTTCATTTATTGGCCTCGTAATTGAGTGAAAGACCTTAAATGGCCTAAAAGCTAGTGGGTGGTCCAGGGGTGTATAAACAATGAATGCAATGAACCGTATCGAACAACAGCACATTCAACCTCAACACCACGTAAAGGAAGGAGGAAGACACAATGAGCCCTGTAAGGTGTGAGTAAGGTGTGAGTAAGCCGCTAAAGTGCAAAATGATGTAAACTTTTCCTTATTCATACATTTCGTCTGACCCTGCCCTATTCCCTCATAACCCCTGTACCAATATATGACCCGGTATGACCACTCTCCGGCGTAATACACCGGCTTCGCCAATTTTTACTTTTCATAAATAAAGAATGGTTAAGGAACAAGAGGTCGCGGTTTCGAATCTTACCCATGCCACCGATTTTGTGCCCATGAGAAAGGCACTTTACACGACTTTTCTCAATTCACTCAGGTGTAAATGAGTATGTATTGTCGTGTTCTCTATGTTGGTAACGACATAACATAAGTTGAAAAACTTGAGAGAAATATTGGAATGTGAAAACAAATCACCTCCGGGCTGCCGTTGAAGTCACCGCAGAGTCCGGCTGTCCTGCCCTGGAGCATGCCGGGAGACCTGACGTAGACACGGGTGTGGCTGTCCCACAGAATCTCCAGGCCGTTAGCCAGCGTCACCTGGAAAAAACACCATTTCACACGTTCTTGAAACTTTGATACCAAGATTTGGTAGACATTTACTAGGCCGGCAGAAGAATGTCTGGCAGGACTGGGCATCCCACAATTACACCATCCAACAACTCCTGGCAGCCGCCCAAGACAGGAATCTGCTTGGAGATAACAAAACACAACTACTTCCAAAACGGGTTTTACATTATTTCCGTAAAAACTCCATGAGATCTTCTCTGACCTCTTCTCACCATAAGATCGTGAATACGCCTCCTCTGTAAGCCTACTGTATGGCTATGGCTACTGTATGACTATGGCTACTGTATTACCTAGTTGTTTCACCAGCGACTTTAAACGCCGTGTTAAGCTTTTCGGGCTTTACAGCATGAGTAATGAGCCTTGTAAGTGATTTACGTCGTGAAAGATGAGGTTTGTTATCTTCTCCAATGCGTCATTAACATCAAGGACACATTATTGAAGAGGCAGCGTGGAAGCCAGATAACCTTTTGAGATGATCAGATCTAGATTGTGTAATACGTAAGTAGGGGCCTTTTTGCTTATCTTCATTCCTTCTCATTCCTACCTAGAAGTTGTGTCCTTGGAAAAGGCAGATGTAAAACGGGTGTGATTATAACATGACTTCAGTTTAGGAGGTGAAGGCTGGTTGAGCCCTGCTTTCCAATACCATGCCCTAGACACAGTGGATCAACAACCCACTGCCCCTACTGTCTAATAAGGCTATTGGGACTAAGGCTAACGTTAACTCTACGTTTTTCTGCTACATGAAAGGTTTATTCATCAAAACACATAGAAGCCATAGGTTGAATCGCGTATTTCACATGGTAATTTAAAAAGGCGATTTAAGGTAAGTTTATTGCAAATTCCTGCCCGAAGGCAAATTACAAAAAATAACATTAAAACAGGGTACAAAATAACTTTAAAATCTACATTATAACAATGTATTGTCTAAAACTATAGCTATATCTAAAACTATGTCTGACGGGTCTTTTGAAAACCATGGAAGACGTAAGTGTGTGACAGGCTGAATAAAAGTTCTAAACGGGAACTATGCGGCTCCAGATGTCTTACTGAGGGACGACTGCGTGTGCAAGATGTCGGTAGCTTGAGGAATTAATCCCCTCTACTATATACATGGAATACGTAAGGTAAGGTGATATAGTAATTTCAGAAGAGCAGATGTACCTTATGGAAGTAGGAGTTCTCAATCATCTCCACAGTGTTTCCGTAACGATAACTATCTCAGAGGACAAAAAAGGCTCATTTTGTCCCTACTATCTTTTCTGGCCAACTGCTAACCTACTGTTTACTAATAGATGTTTATACTAATGCTAATAAATCCATTTAAGAACAACAGATGTACCTTATGGAAGTAGGAGTTCTCAATCTTCTCCACCGTGTTGCCGTTGTGGCTGACGGGAGCCTGGACCGTCTGTCCGTCCAGAGAGATGGAGTCACGCGTCAGGAGGAGCTCGGAGCCGCGGAACTGGATCTTAACAGCACGGGTGCAGGCCTCATGCTCCCAGCCTGCAATCTCACATCTACAGAACACGATAAACAAGTAGATACTATTTAGAGTGGTCCTAAGGTCCTGGTGAATTGCAGCTTTACGCCACGGGTACAGAATTCGTGCTCCCAGCCATGAATTTCATATCTACAAAAAGCAATAAAGTAGTTAGTGGTAGAGAGGACAGGGTTAAATGAAGGAGAATAGTGGATCAAGTCATGGTGCCCCAACGACCCTCAACGATGTCAAGGGATAGGTGAGGTGAGAGTTGGTCAGGAGGAGCTCGGAGCCGCGGAACTGGATCTTAACAGCCCGGGTGCAGGCCTCGTGCTCCCAGCCTGCAATCTCACATCTAAGGAAAACAAGAGGCAGGGAATTAGAGGTAGTTACAAACTTCAGAAGATAGTAGACAGGGAGATTGTGTTAGAGTTGGTTAGTTCATGGTCAGCAGGAGTTCAGAGCCGCGGAACTGGATTTTCACAGCACGCATACAGGCATCGTGCTCCCAGCCCTCAATCTCACATCTACAGAAAAAATAAACAGGGAGCTTTTAATGGATTCCTTATTTTGAATTGTGAATTGGTTTCAATTCAGTGGCAACACTCCGATTTCCTATAAAGAGATCTTGTATCTTGTGTTAGAGTTGGTTAACTGGTGGTCAGAAGGTCCTGGGGAACTGAGTTTTCATGGCTGTGGCACAGAAATAGACATGTAGATACTGTGTTAGAGTGGTCAGGAGGTCCTGTTGAACTGCATCTTCACCCTAAAGGTACATTGCAGGATAATTTCCCGCCATAACAAGGTGATTCTACAGACGGCACTAGTATAGTATCGGGTTACAAGAATTCCCGCGCGCGGGAATCTGGAATCACCATTGGCACCAAAGAGCGTCAAACACGTATAAACAACGAAACTGTGACAGAAAATATCAATAATATCTACGTTCAAGTGTCTGTGTTGAGTCAAGTATGATTTTTCGTCTCAAAAAAAGAGAGAATGTCACCAGACTTACGTTTTAAATCTGTGCATAATGATTGAACTAAGTCTTTGGTCAGAACGAGTTTAGCCAAGGAGTAACTAAAAGGACCATAAAAATCCTGAACTGAGAAGTTGCAAAATACATTACAAGGTCTATCGGTCGAAGAAGTCTACCGCAAGGACACATAGGATTTCATAATTAGATCATACTACACGCTAGAACATCCCATGCAACACGTCGATTCATTTTCATTTTGCAATCCAATCCAATTCAAACGTAACGAAATTAATGTGGTAACTGGTCATGTATATGTGAACATTGCTTCTGTATTAATGCTTCCTTTCTGAAGATGTATGTTAACAAAATCTTGGCGTGGTCTTCGGAAATTGGCATTACTCTATCTTAATCGGAATCCAGCTATAACACACAACTTAGCTCCCAGCACAGGTTTACTATTAGTAGCTAATGTAACTTAAGTGTTGCGTTAATGTTCTTTTTAGATCGAGAGGGCACGAAAGTACGTCAAGCGGTTCAACCGTTTATCTTTGCATCAGATGCACGAGCCGTTTGTTAGCGACATCCTGTCCTTAAATGCTTTATGATATGCGGATTTTATGAGCCGCAATGTACAACTTCCGGACTGTTTGTAGATATAAGAACGTCAGGCATAGACGTGAGAGCCTGATAGTGTCATAACGATGTGGTTAATCTCAAGCGTAGTACGCACATGCCAAAGATAAACATATCAGGCAAAAGAAAAAAAATTAAATTTTATAAATGCATTTGCCTATGGAAAAACCTTATTATTTTCTTATTTTTCTATTAGGGCACCTAAAACCAGTTTGCATGGTAGTCTGGCATCTGTGAAATAATACAAACATTTTAGAGATAAACCTATCAGAGAAAAATGAGCAGATTTAAAATTTATCGGCCCGAGTTACGTAAATTTCTCTTTTTTGACTGTAAGGCTGTTAAAGATAAGAAAACTGGCATTGCCAGCAACTTAACTGCAATTGTTCTTTGCCAAGTTTTTGACCCATTAAAGACAACTTTGAGACTTGAAAACCTTCACAGACGTTGCCTAGCATGCCTAAATCAAGTTTGTGAGGCAGAGATGACGGCGAAATTATCATTTTTTGTTGGTTCACCGCATAAAATCCCTAGTTTCCGTGTGAGAAATTGCCGCACACTTTCCCGGATATTTTAGGTTTCCGGTAGAACCCGGGGGTTTCCGACCTGCACACGAAACGTGTCCAGTCCCGTACATGTCCTGTACACTCCCGGAAATGAACCACTTTTTGTGTGCAGGTCGTGTACTGGACGTTATATGCCCGGACACGATCCCTGTACATCCCCGTACACGGCAGGAAATGGCCGTGCACCGCTCCGTGCGTTGCTGGAATATGCATAATTTAGCGGCAATTATCACCTAATTATTCTCCACACGGCAGCGGAAATTCGCCGTGTACGGGTCGGACATGCCGGTACTACCACCCCCCCCCCCCGGCCAAAACCCGCCCCCGCTCTCGGGACCGGTTGCTCCCGTTCCCGGGACCCGTTGCTCCCATTCCCGGGGCCCTGCTGTTCCCGTTCTCGGGACCCCACTGCACCCACTACGGGGCCCCCCCTTCCTGCTCCCGGGGCTTCGCTGCCCGGCTCCCGAGAAATCGCTTCCCCCGCTCCCGGGACACATTTCGATGTTTTAGGAACACATTTCATTCATAAAAAAAAGTATACATGTTTATACTTCATTCATCGTTTTATTGGTATAAACAGGATCGCCATTTACAGACTGACAAAAATAACGCTCTATGTATAGTGTATACACGTTATGCACTATGCTAACACTATACAATAATGTAACCTGGTACTTTACAAATATGTGTAGCCGAAACATAGAAACAATAGCTTTTTCCCGAACTAGCCTTCCAGGGACTAGACTTTTAAAATCGTTGGACCCGGTGTAAACTCAGAAATTACTAGTAATTAACAGATTTCTCTAACTTTAAAAAGTAAACTAACATCACATCTCATCACAGTCACCTCCAAATAGAAGTCCATTATAGCAAAAAATGTCAAAAAGTAACTAATACTGACATATCATCAGGTTAAAAGAGGAAAATAGCCCTCAGATCATGAAAGTGAATGGCGCTTACACAAACCAAGGACATTATACACCTTGCACAAACAGTCAAAAGACTAAATTTTCAATAAACAAAGAAGGCCTCAAACAAAGTTCTTCAAAATACATGTACGTGTAGCAAAAACATAATTGCAGACCTAACATGAAGTTAAATGAGGCTTGGCAGAAAACAATATCACGTCATTACAAAAAAAGATCATTTGCTCAGAAATGAATTACATGAACACGTATTCAATTTACAATGTCGTTAAAGACAAGCTGTCGGTTTCGTAAAGTTTGCGTTGTCGCCTCTACAAAAAGAGGCTTAGTTGTAGATTTCAGGCCAGGAGGTATGCCCCCCCCCTTGCTTCAGGGGACCATAGCGAAACGTTTTCATCCTGGAAGGACAAACTGCCCCCTGTCTGTCTGCGGGATGGCGTGGTGTTGGTGTCGGTTGTGATCGCAGTCAGGCAGGAGCGGCGTGCTGGGCGCGGGGTGCACCCCGGGCGGGAGTGCAGCGGGGCCGGCCTGGGTCGTCGGAGCCTGCCGGGCGCTTTAACACAGCACCTTCGCCTTTAGATCTGAGCCTGGGTGTTCAGTCTGCCTGTTTGCCTCCAGCCTGGCCTGCAGGACATGGAAAAACGAAAATCTAAGTTAAAAGTCGAAGGCATTTTTGAATTTCATTTGAAGTTACGTGTACATGTACTAGACGTTTTATAAACAAGCCTGGCAAAGATGCGGACGTCTGTATGGACACATTTCAAGGAGAAGTCATTTATCATTTTTTAACGAATGTTTTTAACGTCTAGACAGCAACAATTTTGTCCAGATGAAAAGGCTCCATTCATCAAGCATCAACGTCTACTTGTTTCTTTTCATTGTAATCATGGGAACAATACAAACACAACATTTCCCTCGGTAATAAAAACAATTCAAATTGTCAAGAGCCTTGTCGGCTTTCGTATGCAAAGATATACATTTGCATAGACTCACCCTCTTCTGTGTGACTGCAGTGACCAGTCGCTTTTCTTTCTTTCTTTTCTGAGCTCTCCGACAGCCTGGCGATAAAGTTTCTTCAAATCGTCTCAAAGTATCCCAAATCCGCGCCTGAAAAAAATACATATGTTCTGAGCAACATACAAACTATATCGATGTACTTCTAAGTAGAAATAATAAACTATGTTATCAATCAGTAAAAAAATAGTGTACACTTCTTGCCAAAATAAATATTTCTGCCGTAGGCACAACTTAGCCAAGGTTTTTAAACAACATGTTTAAGATATATGTAACGATAGTGCCGTATATATAATAGTATCCTTGTTTTAGCTTACCCTTCCTCCTGTCCGTTTCCTGGTTCGTTGCGGTGCTGTTGGCAAATTGTCGGCCCGTGTAGTAGAGTCATTTCTTCCGTTGCGAAAACGAAGTAACAGAACGGAATGTTTGACGCCATTTTAGTTCAGGAACATACTAGTAATCTTTGCAAGCCGAGACAAACGTGTTTTGAAAAAGCAAACCGTCGTTGTGACAGAGCAAGATTCAAACGACCCACCAAAACAAAGCATCGCGTCTCTTATTGGCTGGTCCCGGCGAGAGCGAGGTAGGATTGGTCGTCAGTCATATAATCACGTGATCGCGTTCAATACTACAACGATCTTGTTTTTATATTATAGGTTTTAAGTTAAATCGCCTGTGCAGTCTGAACACTTGGATGATAGGATGTTTCTGATTGTGTGAATGTATTTATTTCAAGGCAGACAAATGATCTTCATAATTCTAATTCGTCATGATTACATGGCTTTATTCGTTCTAGAATTACACAACTTGCACCGTGCAAAATCCCCCGTTTCCGTGTGAGAAATTGCCGCACACTTTCCCGGATATTTTAGGTTTCCGGTAGAACCCGGGGGTTTCCGACCTGCACACGAAACGTGTGCAGTCCCGTACATGTCCAGTACACTCCCGGAAATGAACCACTTTTTGTGTGCAGGTCGTGTACTGGACGTTATATGCCCGGACACGATCCCTGTACATCCCCGTACACGGCAGGAAATGGCCGTGCACCGCTCCGTGCGTTGCCGCAATATGCATAATTTAGCGGCAATTATCACCTAATTATTCTCCACACGGCAGCGGAAATTCGCCGTGTACGGGTCGGACACGCCGGTACTACCCCCCCCCCACTCCCGGCCACAACCCACCCCGCTCTCGGGACCGGATGCTCCCGTTCCCGGGACCCGTTGCTCCCATTCCCGGGGCCCTGCTGTTCCCGTTCTCGGGACCCCACTGCACCCACTTCGGGGACCCCCCTTCCCGCTCCCGGGGCTTCGCTGCCCGGCTCCCGAGAAATCGCTTCCCCCGCTCCCGGGACACATTTCGATGTTTTAGGAACACATTTCATTCATAAAAAAAAGTAATACATGTTTATACTTCATTCATCGTTTTATTGGTATAAACAGGATCGCCATTTACAGACTGACAAAAATAACGCTCTATGTACAGTGTATACACGTTATGCACTATGCTAACACTATACAATAATGTAACCTGGTACTTTACAAAAATGTGTAGCCGAAACATAGAAACAATAGCTTTTTCCCGAACTAGCCTTCCAGGGACTAGACTTTTAAAATCGTTGGACACGGTGTAAACTCAGAAATTACTAGTAATTAACAGATTTCTCTAACTTTAAAAAGTAAACTAACATCACATCTCATCACAGTCACCTCCAAATAGAAGTCCATTTTAGCAAAAATGTCAAAAGTAACTAATACTGACATATCATCAGGTTAAAAGAAGAAAATAGCCCTCAGATCATGAAAGTGAATGGCGCTTACACAAACCAAGGACATTATACACCTTGCACAAACAGTCAAAAGACTAAATTTTCAATAAACAAAGAAGGCCTCAAACAAAGTTCTTCAAAATACATGTACGTGTAGCAAAAACATAATTGCAGACCTAACATGAAGTTAAATGAGGCTTGGCAGAAAACAATATCACGTCATTACAAAAAAAGATAATTTGCTCAGAAATGAATTACAGAGATTCTTTATTGACACAACAAAAAAAAAAAAGTACATGAACACGTATTCAATTTACAATGTCGTTAAAGACAAGCTGTCGGTTTCGTAAAGTTTGCGTTGTCGCCTCTACAAAAAGAGGCTTAGTTGTAGATTTCAGGCCAGGAGGTATGCCCCCCCCCTTGCTTCAGGGGACCATAGCGAAACGTTTTCATCCTGGAAGGACAAACTGCCCCCTGTCTGTCTGCGGGATGGCGTGGTGTTGGTGTCGGTTGTGATCGCAGTCAGGCCGGAGCGGCGTGCTGGGCGCGGGGTGCACCCCGGGCGGGAGTGCAGCGGGGCCGGCCTGGGTCGTCGGAGCCTGCCGGGCGCTTTAACACAGCACCTTCGCCTTTAGATCTGAGCCTGGGTGTTCAGTCTGCCTGTTTGCCTCCAGCCTGGCCTGCAGGACATGGAAAAACGAAAATCTAAGTTAAAAGTCGAAGGCATTTTTGAATTTCATTTGAAGTTACGTGTACATGTACTAGACGTTTTATAAACAAGCCTGGCAAAGATGCGGACGTCTGTATGGACACATTTCAAGGAGAAGTCATTTATCATTTTTTAACGAATGTTTTTACGTCAGACAGCAACAATTTTGTCCAGATGAAAAGGCTCCATTCATCAAGCATCAACGTCTACTTGTTTCTTTTTATTGTAATCATGGGAACAATACAAACACAACATTTCCCTCGGTAATGAAAACAATTCAAATTGTCAAGAGCCTTGTCGGCTTTCGTATGCAAAGATATACATTTGCATAGACTCACCCTCTTCTGTGTGACTGCAGTCGCTTTTCTTTCTTTCTTTTCTGAGCTATCCGACAGCCTGGCGATAAAGTTTCTTCAAATCGTCTCAAAGTATCCCAAATCCGCGCCTGAAAAAAATACATATGTTCTGAGCAACATACAAACTATATCGATGTACTTCTAAGTAGAAATAATAAACTATGTTATCAATCAGTAAAAAAATAGTGTGCACTTCTTGCCAAAATAAATATTTCTGCCGTAGGCACAACTTAGCCAAGGTTTTTAAACAACATGTTTAAGATATATGTAACGATAGTGCCGTATATATAATAGTATCCTTGTTTTAGCTTACCCTTCCTCCTGTCGGTTTCCTGGTTCGTTGCGGTGTTGTCGGCAAATTGTCGGCCTGTGTAGTAGAGTCATTTCTTCCGTTGCGAAAACGAAGTAACAGAACGGAATGTTTGACGCCATTTTAGTTCAGGAACATACTAGTAATCTTTGCAAGCCGAGACAAACGTGTTTTGAAAAAGCAAACCGTCGTTGTGACAAAGCAAGATTCAAACGACCCACCAAAACAAAGCATCGCGTCTCTTATTGGCTGGTCCCGGCGAGAGCGAGGTAGGATTGGTCGTCAGTCATATAATCACGTGATCGCGTTCAATACTACAACGATCTTGTTTTTATATTATAGGTTTTAAGGTAAATCGCCTGTGCAGTCTGAACACTTGGATGATAGGATGTTTCTGATTGTGTGAATGTATTTATTTCAAGGCAGACAAATGATCTTCATAATTCTAATTCGTCATGATTACATGGCTTTATTCGTTCTAGAATTACACAACTTGTCGCTCACTGAGTGAAATAAAACCGCACTTTAAGTCCAACATAACCTTACTCTTTGTAAATGTATCCAAAATCCACAATTAACGTCATGAGAGTTGACTTGTTTTGCTGGATTTCAGTATTTTACCAGGCGTGGGGACGTTGTGAGTTCTTCCTTTGTTTACACAAAGTCTATTCACATAAATGGACGCCATGTCAGACACATCACAATACACATCGACCGAACTACAATGTAAAGCTTGCATATTATTACCAATACATGCACCTAAAAATCATAACAAACTGATCAGGTCACGTTAGTTCAAACCCCTTTAGTCAAGCGTTTGATTAAATCATGGTAATGAACCTCACGGATAAACTATTATTTCCAAAATAAAAAATTCAGATTTAGACCGGAGTGTAGATTTAGGTCATTTTCCCCGAGTAGGTTATATAACCCCAGCGTCGGGGCGCCCTACGCTCAAATGTGCTTTGTCGTATGGACGACATCACGATAAATCAAGCCAAGGACGCATACGTTCAAATGTTGTACTAACAATCCTTGATCGTTCTAATTTGCTTAGATTAAAGTACTGGCAACTTTGGTTCAAGTAATTATCACCTGAAACATGAATACACGCAGTACCTAATTACCCCTTATTGTTAGCCGCTCCCCAACACACGCCAAGTGTGCGGGGCGTAAATTTCCGTGCACGTGCACGGCGAGCACGAATCCGGGAGTGTAAGGAAATATCCGGGGCCGTACATGCGGAGCCCGGAAATCCATGGACGCGACCAGGACACGGCGAATTTCACGGGTGTGTGCGGGACTGGAAACTCTTGGAAACGTGGGTTTTCATACAGTGGTTGTACCACGGATGGGCATGAGGCAATCTGGTTTATCTAATTTATTTATTCGTAAAGTAACAAACCTGCCAGTGTTGTCGAGGATGGCAAACTGCTCATCCATAATGTACCATGGATGGTCATAAGACGATCTGGCTTACTTATCTATTAAGTTATTTAGTTTTGAAGCTACAAACCTAGCATTATCAGCAAGCACGGCGAAGTGCTCCTCGAGTGGGTTCTTGTTCTTAGCCGGCGTGTACCAACAGTTGCCGCTGAAGCTAAAGAGCTTCCCGTCGAAGGTGCGTAACACCTCCAAATAAAAGTCTGAAGATGCCTAACACAACTTTGCCGTGTGTGTTAATTTTAAACCTTAGCTGTACTAAAATAACATGTAACGTAACAGACCTGGCGTTGTCGGCGAGAACAGCGAAGTGTTCTTCAAGCGGGTTCTTGTTTTGGGCCAGGGTGTACCAACAGTCTCCACTGAAGCTGAAGAGCTTCCCGTCGAAGGTTTGGTAGTGCAAGTCTCCCAAGCCAAGCTAGTTTATTTACTAATATTTTATTTACTTATTTGTGAAGCAACAGACCTTGCATTGTCGGCGAGCACAGCGAAGTGCTCTTCAAGTGGGTTCTTGTTCTTAGCCAGAGTGTACCAGCAGTCTCCACTGAAGCTAAAGAGTTTCCCGTCGAAGGTCTGGTAGTGGGGGTCACCAACAGCAGAGCAGGTGCCGGGAGCGTGGGCCTCGAAAACGTCGTCATGGAGGGGCTGGTCGGGGTGCAGAGGGTTCACCACCGTCACTGCAGAAAGATCAGAGAAATGTTTTTGTACTTTTATGTTCACCTTGAAATTCCCAGAAGGAAAACGTTGTTTTTGTTATGTCCCCTCTTCTTGATCCTCTTCTTCTCCAAACAGATAAGGTCAATGTACTGTACCAGAAGTCTGCCACCAGTCTGTGGTGTTGGATTACATTTTGTAGCAGGACAGAGCTAGAGTGCCTATACTCACCATGTATTATGAATGTGTTTTTGAGTAGCAATAAGCAGAGAAGTTGTTTGTTAGGCTAGACCCTGTGAAGATTATGAAACATCATAAATTTGCTTTGAAAAAAAAAATTAATGCAATGCCCTTCTAGTTCTTAATGTTACCAAATATTCTGGACATGGCACTTTTAAAATAAGCACTTATAAAGGTGCTGAATGAGCCTTACTGATCTCGGGCTGCACGATAACGAGCACGTCATCAGAGCTCTGCTGGCCGGCGGTGTCAGTAACGGTCAGGACGAACGTTATACATGTATGTGGGCTTAAAGACTTACAAGTAAGTGTACCAGATGTATTTTTCTTTAACTAACAGAGGTGTTAAACGAAACTTACTGATCTCTGGCTGCACGATGACGAGTACGTCGTCAGAGCCCTGCTGGCCGGCTGTATCAGTCACCGTCAGGACGAAGGTGTACTCCCCGGGATGGAGGTTAGTCAGCTGCAGCTGAGGACCGGCGGTGCCCTGAGGGAAGTCGAAAATGTGGTATTTTAGTGTAGTTCTGTATCTGTTTGTATCGGTACAGGCGGTATAACTGCCCTTCGGTGTAACACACAAGCTATTATGGAGGTTATAATATAGTCAGCTGCGGCTGAGGACTGTCGCTGCCCTGAGGGAAGTCAGCATTGGCGTTAAATGCTATCTTTTAGCATAGGTGGTTGTTTCAAATGTATCTGCTAAATGTGATTTAAATCAATCACTGTACAGTTTCTAACGAAATGTAAATGTGCATCGACCATCGACAGGAAGTTGATATCACTATCTTTGTTTGCTAATTTTTAGCTCTTTTGAAAACGTAAAAACTAAACATTCAGCCTTGTTGTTTTTGGCAACCGCCTGTCTTCAGAAACAATGGGAACTCACCATAGGTCTGTCTGTATTTGGTTTTGTTACATTGTCTGTTCTGGCTGTATAATCAAAACAAAAAATAAATTCTGATGCAGTTTTGGATGTAATGTTAGCCTAAAATGACAGCGGCCTTCATTCATCTTCAGGACAATTTTCCTTCTAAAAACCACCTAAAATCTATTAGATAAATTGTGATTACCGCCATGTCAATAGGCAGCTTGTTGTCGGGATACTCCCACAGGTAGGAGACGATCCCGTGATCGTCCGTGCTGAGGGACCCGTCCAGCGTGAGGGAGGCCTGTGGCAGGTGGACCACCTCGTCATCTCCGGCAAACGCCACAGGGGGGAAGTCCAAAGCTGTGGGGACAATAAATAAAGACACGCTATTTTAAAACATCTGTAGGTCCATGGTTACATACCACCCTATATGTCGCAGGGGGAAGGACCAGGGCTGGGGACAATCGGAAAGGCACGTTGTTTTAAATCTATAAGTATTTCAGACGTTTAGAGGATAACAAAGTCAGGCTTGAGAACAAATTGTATTGCTCATATCGCAAACACAATTTATCTACACAACTCTAACAATACCTACTGAAACTAAATTATCATTTTATGACATGAGTATAGATTGAGCGTTCTAATATATTACGGTAAGGTAAATATTAAAAGGCATCCGATAAAGCAAGCTTATAGAGAGAGGTTTCCGAATACGGTACATCGTATATTTGGGTCCAATGATCGGCAAGGGAATTTCCATAGAAACACGAAGACATATCTAGAGAATAGACCATTCTAGCTAACAGTTAATTCGAATAGATGAATCTGTAGATAGACAAATGGATGTTTCCCGCTTACGCGCAGTTGGTGTGGTGGTGCCCTTGGTGGTTGTCGGTTTAACGGTGGTCGGTCTAACCACCATGATGGTGACGTCATCAGTATCCTGCTGGCCTGACGCGTCGGTCACGGTCAAGGTGAAGGTGTACTGTCCGGGAACCAGGCCACTCACGGTCAAGGTCGGGGACGTCGTGTCCTGGAAGGCAAAGGTAAATTCTAACTTATCCTTTTTTGTACTTTATCATTTTCCATTAATCTTTTAAATACCAAGGAATACATCTTCTTTCAAACGTATTTACGGACATTAAAGGTACTTTCCAGAGTGTGTTGTACACATTCATTCAACTATCCAGTTATTCATTATTAATGTTTTTTTACCTTTACTGGCCCAGTATGGCAAAAATGTGTAATAAAGGTCTTCATTCATTCATTCATTATTTCAGTTATTGAACAACCTGTATTTGTCTCATACATAGGATTTTTCATGACCTTGACTTCTTACCTCACGAACTCAATGAAAAGAGGCCAGCAGTTCAATTTTCAATATTTAAATGAATGACCAAAGCAATGGCTCAAACGACCTATCAACCTATTTACTAATTCTATTCTCCCGCCTTACCCCGAGTGTTACGGGCAGGTTCTGGTTGGGGTACTGCCAGAGCCAGGAGACGATACCATGGTCGTCATGACTACCGGTCCCGTCAAGCATTGCGGCGGTCTGCGTGCTCAGTACGGTCTGGTCCACTCCAGCGTCGGCAACAGGGGGGTTGTCTGGAGGTACAGAAAAAAAATCATTTTTTTTTTGTTCTTTTTTTTTTCTTTTTATGCACAATACATCAAAATTTGTAAACAAGGCAAAGTAGTGGCAGTCTGGCTTACAGGGGGTTTGTCTGGGGATACAGAAAATTAAATCCTCAATGTCATCTCCTTCTCATTTGAAAGTAGGGTAAACAGTTGAAGCTTGAGATTATTTAGAGTATCACTGTTTTTTTCTAATTCATTATGCATAATACACCAAAATTTGCAAAGTGGCGTTGGTGGGCTAAGAAAATAAACAGAACAAGGAACATACAAATCTAGTCATTTGTATAATGCAGAAAAAGGTGAGTTGTTTAGATAGAAGGTCCATATTCCCCTTCCAAAAAAATACATCAGCATTAGCAAGGAAAGCTTGTATGGAGATATTGAAAAAAATGTTAACCATTCAAAAACCTCGAACCCTTTCTTAACACCTTTCGTCAAAAACTATGGAAGCAACGTTTGTGATAAAGCTTGTGCTTATTCTTGGAGTGAGCATAATTTCGAACCTGGCCTAGATGTCGTAGTTGGCTTCGTGGTCGGTTTGGAGGTGGTTGACGTCTGCCAGCTGCTGATGACTTCGGCAGCATCTGTGAGAAAGAGTAGGGAACACATTCAAATACATGCAACAGTGTCCAATATATTACAGAAAATGTTAAAATGGTGTCTTTGTTGTCAAAGTCGTTTCATAAACACGCCAATGAGTACCTGACTATATAACACGGATATCTTATCAGACGCCCAAGTACATGAAACTAAATACAAAACGATATAAATAGCGAAAAGATAATCATACACCGTGTACTCTAGCAGGACCGCCTGTTTCAATTGGTCACTGGTGGTAATTTAATGTAAATTCTATATTGGGACACCCACCCTAACATATTGACAACCAGCGGCAGGTGACATATTTTGTTTTTTTTTTCTGGTGATAAAACACAACAAAAATTAACTGAAACTAGATATACTACTTACTATGGCATAGCGTGTCCGGTAGGACCTCCTTGAGCGCGCTCAGCGCTGAGTAGTCGATGACTGAGGAGGCGTAGACGGGGTTGTTGACGACCTGCTGCAGTTGTGCCGCGCTGATGCCGTTTCCAATCCCCACAGCACGAACCACCACCCCGCGACTGTGTAGGGACTGAGCCACCAGGGCCACGTCGTCCTCAGAACCGGAGGCCGTGAGCACTACTACAATCTGTAGGAGAGTGGAAATATTACCTTAATACACACACATACATACGTGCACACACACAAACACACACAAAAACACACAAACACACACAAACACACACACACACACACACACAAGCACACACACATACACAAAGACAAACACAGGCACACACTAATCAGAAGATCTCACCTTGGGCACATCATGCCGTGCCCCATGGGCTGTGCTAAAGATAACGTCCCCAGCGAACCCAAGCGCTGCGCCCGTGGCCGTTCCCAGCCCGATGTACCGCATGTTGTTGATTCCTGTCTTCAGCTCGAACACGTTGTCGTGCTCGTGCAGGGCGAACTCCAGGGACGGGTAGCTGCTGTAGCTCACCAACGCGATCCTGCAGACGTAACACACATGTAATTTTTTTTGCACTTTGTTCATTTGTTTTGGCACAGATTGTACTATGTGCAATTGTCGTGCAATAAAGTTTTTCTTGTAATTTGGGGTAAGGAAAAGATACTAGTACAAAAAAGAGAGACCGGTAAAACGCTTAAAAACACGACAAAATAAGCCAAATCCTAAGATTCTGCTGGGAGAGTAGAGCATACGGACATGAGTGAGTGAGTGTGTGAGCAAGTATGTGTGAGTGCGTGTGTGTGTGTGTGTGTGTGTGTGTGTGTGTGTGTGTGTGTGTGTGTGTGAATGAATGAAGTGTCAGAGAGAGAGAGAGGGAGGATGTTGCTTACTGTGTAGCGTCAGCGCCGATAGTGACCTTCTCCACCACGGGTTTGAGGAAAGAGCGAGTTGAGTGAGTGAATGAGTGAGTGAGTGAGAGGAGAGAGAGGGAGGAAGAGGGAGAGAGAGAGACAGAGAGAGAGAAAGTTGCTTACTGTGTAGCGTCAGCGCCGATGGTAACCTTCTCCACCACGTGTTTGAGGAAGGAGCGAACCTTCTCGAACTCCGCCTGAGGGACGTGAGAAGAACTCTCCACAACAAACACCAGATCGGCCTTCATTTCACAGGGCGTGGTCACTGGGGAGGTATAAAGATACACTATGTTAGTCAATAGTTACTGTAAAGGGTGGTCACCGTTTGTTAATAGTTACTGTTAACGATGGTCACCGTTAGTAAATAGTTACTGTAAACGGTGGTCGCCGTTAGTCAATAGTTACTGTTAACGGTATGTGTGTCAGGTGTAATAACAGCAGAGATCTAGAGGACTAGTTGCAGTTACAGGGAGGAACTCTCCACCACAAACACCACATCGGCCTTTATGTTACAGGGTGTTAACTGAGGAGCTCTTAGAAAGATCCATGGCAACGTCATGCTGTATCCAGACCCATGCTTATGCACGTTTCTGGATAGTCGACAAGTTCAGAACCGTGTCAGCAACTTACTAGTAAGCATATCACCATTACCAACTTGTATGGATATCTTAGAATTCATTTTCATTTCCGGAGCTTATGGATGGATGGTTTTCTCTTGATTTCAGAATACATGAATGCCCCTCTATGTGCGATATGTATTTCCCATACCCGGGTGGCAGCCCAGCACGCCGTCCTGTAGAGACCACTGCTCTCCGACGTCACATGACGGGATCCCGGCCAGACACTGGATGGATCCTCCGGGCTGGCAGACGCACAGCTGTCCTGTACCCTCTACTCCCCACTCTTCTCCAAGCTGCGATAGAAACAAGGCATTCAGACATGAAAAATTTCTGTCTCTTCATATATGACACATACAAATATTCTGTACGTTATTCTTACATATGTTGACGGCCACTTACATGTAGTTAGCGTTGTTTAATCTTTAATTGTAAGAGACCATACAAAAGCCCCTGTACTTTTTTTGTTCAGTCAATAAGGAATCTTTAGGGGAAATACACACACAGAGACAAACACACGGATAGATAGTCTGTAGATTTACAGTTAGTTCAGAACATACTCGTAGACAGATACATGATATTCCCAGCACTCGGTTTTCATCGTCATTATTAAGGATATAGAATTTTCTTCTTACACAACCATAGAGTTTCTCACCTGCTTACGTCTTACACGTCGTCATTATTGTTTTCTTCACATTTTAACTTTAAATTTCAAATAGTACTGTACTATAAATATACATGTATAAGACTTGGCGTGGCCAATAAAATCTACATACGGCGTAGTACTGGTCTCCCTGTAGACACCCGCACTCCTCGGCATGCACGCACCGGGACCCGCTCAGCAGATAACCCTCGTCACACTCGCAGCCTGGGATGGTGGTCCGCTGGCACCGCATGGGCGCGAGAGGGTTAGCACAGGTCGCCGGGCAGGCGGTTACCAGGGAGTAGTGGCTGTTGGGTGGGCAGGTAACGGCTAAGGGGAGACAAATTGGCACATAATTATGGTTCGCTGGCACCGCATGGGCGTCAGGGGGTTATATAACAAGTTGCTTGATGGGCTGTCATTAAATAGTAGTGGCTGTTGGGTGGGCAGGTAACAGCTAAGAGGGTACAAAATATGGTACATGATTAGGGCACATTGGCACCGCATGGGCGCGAGAGGGTTAGCGCAGGTGGCCGGGCAGGCTGTTACCAGGGAGTAGTGACTGTTCGGTGGGCAGGTTACGGCTGAGGAAACATAAAGTGGTACATGATGAGGGTCCACTGGTCAAGTCAAGTTCACTGCTAAGGGAACACAAGGCGCTAGGTTATTATGGTGTTCTGGCACCGCATGGGCGCAAGAGGGTTAGCACAAGTGGCCGGGCAAGCTGTTACCAGGGAGTAGTGGCTGTTGGGTGGGCAGGTCACAGCTAAGGGGAAACAAAGTGGTACATAATATTAGGGTCCACTAGTCAAGTCACGTTCACTGCTAAGGGAACACAAGGTGGTACATTATTATGGTGTTCTGGCACCGCATGGGCGCAAGAGGGTTAGCACAAGTGGCCGGGCAGGCGGTTACCAGGGAGTAGTGGCTGTTGGGTGGACAGGTTACGGCTGGAGGGAGACGAAAGAAGACATGCCGTCAGCAAAAGTTAGACATCCAGGTAATAAGATACGCCAAAAAAACAGTTACTCGTACAAGCAACTCGTAGTATGATTTTGGAAACGGTCAGACACTCCAGTGCTAACTGACGAAAGGTAGTGGATGATACCTGAAACGTCTGGGAATTCTCAACATCTATCTACTTGTAGTTGCTTGAGCAACTGTTAAGTAATTTTGAGACCGACTTACGGCAGAGGGCCTCATCTCTCCAGCCGACGATGACGACACCAGCAGCTGCGCATGCGTCGGCGTAAGCCTCCATAGCGTTACAGACCATCTGGTGCTCCCCATTTTCGGCGGCCATGTCGTATACGCATGCGTCAAAGTAGTTCGTTGGGTTTACTACGTTAACGCAAGGCTGTAGGGTGATAAAATCGGTATCATTATGTCTGAATAAAGACAAAAGCTACTGGCTATTAATTTTGAATGACAACAGCCGAACATTTAGAAAAACATTTGGCAAAAGTACTTCTTTTCCAAATCCTTCACCGAATCAGAGCAAGTGCATTTAGGGTAAAGAACGCCTTACAAATTAAAGGCAATTTTGTTTTGTTACAAATTAATGTTTTTGCAGATAAATAGTATGTTAATGTACATGGAGAGCCCCATTTACTCCAGAAGATCTGATTGCAATACTACAGGAGATAAAAGTTTTGTCGTGGTCCCTTTGTAGAACAAAATATATTGTTTCAAACCCTTTTAATGTCAACGATCAACATGTATCAACTCTTGGAGTTGATTTCAAGCTCCTTAGAAATTCTTTGCGATCTAGCTTTCTATCTGAAGAGTATAAATTGTTATCATACCTGGAATGCCCCACTGACGTCCGTGATCTGACCGCAGTTGGCGACGCTCTCGATCTCCGTCATGAAGGCCTGGTCCACTGTGCTGATGTCAAACTGCTCCTGGATCGGCATGCAGCTGTGGGGGAACAAACATAAGGTTTGCACACACGTGACTATGGCATATTGTCCGCCATGATGGAGACTTAAACCTGGAAGTGTGCCCTCACCTCTTCTTATTACTGCTATTTAAAGCAAGGTTGCCGAAGTGCTATGCAATACACTTTGGGTTTCGCACCAGTGCAGTTCGTTCTGAAGAGATCCTAACTAAAGAGATGGTTGTACATGGTTCACCGAAACGTAGGCAGCTAAAAACATTTGCTTACCATACAATCACATTTTTATGTATGCAAAGAGCTTTCTTTGCTATTGTAACCCCGTAGAAAGAGGGAAAGACACAAGCTGACAACGGTTGACCCTGACTCCCGGGATCGAACCCGCGCCGCTCGCTCGGCGTGTCAGCTAACAACAAATTGGGCCAAAATGTCTCTATACACCAATATACTAGCTGCTACACTATCTATAGAACCAAATGCATTCAACGCACGCGGAGTCGTCCGGAGCCAGCCAGCTGTTTCCCATGTCCACCTCGTTCAGGGCCAGAGTCTGGTCCGGTTTGAGCAGCTCGTCGTCAGGGTTACCGTTAAAGTTCCCGCAGAGGCCGTCCACCTGGCCTGTGGGGACAAATCCAAAAATAGTAAGAACAAGAAACTGCCCATGGCGACTTTCGTTATAGCACATATTCGATGGCAAATTTGGACAAAATGAATAATCACACTCAAATTACGACATATGAGTTCATATGACATTAGATGCTGACGAATTCATTACTGATACACATTTATCAGTAATGAATCACAATTAATTGTGCAAAAACTGTCAAGTCTTTTGAAATATAAGTACCGATTATTTGCCATGATGTCAATTAAGTACGACCCATCAGGGTACCCCGGAGGAAGCCTCAATACAATTTAAGTATAAAAAGTCTCAAACATTTCAACCTGGCGTCATAAGGCGTAATGGTAGGGCATTCATCATTAGGAAGTTGGCTACCTTAACCAACAAAGACGAAGACAAGGCATAGCCTCCTGTGCAGGCTTCCAGACGGGTGGGAATTTTGATACTGCGTTTTGTAGAATTTTTAACGCGTTCTTTTGCCGGCCATCCTACAACCAGCTGCCCAGAGAAGGTTTGTATCCAGCACAAATCAAAACTTCCAGTCGCCCGGAGGCCTGTAGCCTCTACCAATCTTCGGGAGGCGGCTGGAAAGAGTAGAAATCGTCCAAATAGAGAGAAAGCATGCCGGGGGAGTTGGTCTGCTGGATAGAACAGTTTTCGGGTGCAGCAAACTGTTTTCTCCAGCAGACCAACTCCCCTGGCATTCTATCTCTCTATTTGGCCGATTTCTACTCTTTCCAGCCGCCTCCCGAAGCCTGGTAGAGGCCTGCAGAGGGGGCTAGAAAGGCAAGACAACCTACCAGCGTACTGCGGCGGCACCTCGACCTCCACGCGATGGTTCCCGTCGTACTTGACGGTGACGCACATGTCTGTCTCCACCAGAACCATGTCTCCGCTCAGCCGGATGGTAGCCTGGCTGTTCAGGCACACCGGCAGCGTCCGACGCACACCGTCAATCTGTAGAACGTTCGTGAATAGTTTCATCAGGTTGTTAAGTCACTGCAGTACAGGTGTCGCTGCTATAGATGCATTCCCAAACGTACAATATTTACATGACTAGATGACTATCATGAAAGTACATCTGTGCTGGTAGTTACATATTATTACTTCAGGGCACATCGCCATTCACTCAATCACGACGGAGGCCGACATCGTCTACCAGGCACCTTTGACCCAGTGTTGACGTCACACTTACAAGAAGCCACGTGACAAGCTTCACTGAGTAAGTCTACTGACGAAGGCCAGAGTGACTGGTCGAAATCTCCAGATGAGAGAATTCCTTTGTGTTCCATCAAACGTTTTAACTTTAGATAAAACATTTACTACATGGCTATCACTGAAACAGCCTTACTAATTTATCCTTACCATAACTTCCCGGTTCTTCAGGAGCCAGATGGTATGGCCGTAGAGAGTGAACTCCACGGCGTCTACGAAGCTGACCCTGGTATCCCCGAGACGGTGCCCGTTCTGCGCGGCCACGTTAAAGTTCTGGTGCCTGACTAAAGTGTACTTGCAGGCCCCCTGGAACCAGTAGCCCTTCCCGTCAAAGGTCTGGTAGTGAGGGTCGCCGAAGGCAGCACACATCGCAACAGCTTTTGGACATAGATAGTTTGTCAATGTGTAAAGGCCAAACAAATTTCACAATTAAAGATTTAAGAACCAAATGTAAAGAAATCATAGACTTTTAGCTATTTTCATTCTATTTTTCTGGTTACCTACATGTATATGAGTGCTCAGGCAAGGTTCTGTCATTCCTGTGATTCTATTTGACAAACCATGAAAGAAATCTACTGTAGCCAAAAGCAGCATTATAGAACAACAAGAAGTAAAAAAATAAGGATTTCAAGAAACGCATTCCGAGAAGTTGTCGTTTCCATTCCCTGCAAAAACTACAAACGTAAAGTCTTACTTGCAGGACAGGTGACATGACCAATGCAGTTATCCTCGATGTCAAATGTCTGTGGCATGTCGTCGACCGCGGGTGTTGTAGTTGGCTTGGGAGTTTGGGTTGTAGTCGTTATAGGTCTCGGAGTCGGAGTTGTAGTCGGCTTGGTAGTCGGCTTGGGAGTTGGTGTTGTAGTTGTAGTGGGTTTTAATGTTGGAACTGAGAAAATGTGAAGCGATATTTCAAAGTTTAGTGTTACTGGTATAACCACAAAACACTTTAAAACATTCAGAGACTTGTAAAGTCTGGATACATGTAACTTTAATGATACGATTGAAAAATTGGAGATGGGTATCGTGATTTAATTCCTTATTCCCAAATGCTGAGTGCTAAACAGAGAAAAGAGTATATTTTACAATATTTGAAGCCTCCTGTATGACTCGGCCAGGGAACAAACTAACGTCCTACCGAATCCAAGACGAACGCCTAGCCATTGCACCGGTGCATAACACACAGAATCAAATGTACTAACCCCGGTGACAGTCGTTGGATTGGGTAAGGCAAAAGCATAAAAATAAGCTCTTTTTTTTCTATATTAGTGTAACTTACCCTGGTGGCAGCCGTAGGGTTAGGACAAGGGAAAACTTGTTAGCTATAGTTAGGAGTAAAGTACCCTGATGGCATCCGTAGACGCCGTCCTGCAGACTCCACTCGGCCCCAGGCAGACAGGACATCGGGACGCAGCTGACTTGGAAGTTTGGCAGACACTCGCACTGCTGACCGTCTGAGGTACCCCAGTGTTCACCGAGCTAAAAAAAAAGGACAGTAAAAGTCTTTAAGCATTTTTTGCGCTGCTTTCAAATCGTCTTAGCAAGAACCGGCTTGTCTGTGGCCGAAAGATTTGAGCTTTCTATATCTGTGGATTAAATCAAGGTGTCCTTGTTTGGGATGTCTTTTAAAAATTTATTTTTGTTACAAAATTTTTTGGGTGTGAAAAAAAATTTTCTTCAAAAAATTTTTTTGTTTGAAAAAATATTTTTGACTTGAAAAAAATATTTTTTGTATGTAAAATGTTTTTAAAATATTTTGGGGATTTGAAAATATTTTTGCGATTTGAAAAAAACAAATGTGATTACCAAGCAACAAAGGCAATGTAATTAGTGATAATGCCTCCTAGTAATGAAGCAAATTTGACACGGAAATGATGCCTTGTATTTACCGCGTAATAATTCATTTCGTGCAGACATCCGCAGTCCTTGGGCTCTACACACGTCATGCCGCTCCAGATGTAGCCTGGGTCACACTCACAGCCCTCCACATTGGGCCGGCCGCACGTGGAGGAGGCAGTCGGGGTCCGGCAGCTGTCCTGGCAGGCAGACGTGGACTGCGAGTAGTGGCTGTGCGGAGGACATTGCGTAGTTGTAGCTGCAACAATAGGAATACATACAAAATGCTTCATCATCATCATGCCTCCATCGATTATGAATCCGGTGAGGTACACTTCATAAAGTTACTCCAGTATGTCCTATCTCTCATAGCAGACACTAATGCAGTCCCTGCGAGACCAGTGTCTCTCTCTAACATTGGCAAAAGTGTAGTATAAGGCCGTCCTACTCTACGTCTCCCAGTGGGAAATACAATGATAGTTCTCTATTAGCAAAATTATGCTCGACGACTAATTTCTTGTACCGAGTCAAAGATGGTACAGTAAAACAATAAGAAACAAACTACTACTGTCTGGAGGAAAATTCTACTACTACGCTTGTTTTGTTGCTTATTATGGGGTTTGACTTTATGAAAAATCCAACGAATCATTTAAACAAGTCAAAAAAAGGTCTTCACTCGTTCTTCATACAAATGATTGCCATATAACAGCCAGCGAGTGGGCAAAAAGTGGGTGACATGTCTTTACAAAATAGCACTCGCTCGCATTAAAACAGGGTGGTCCATTCACAACTTTGGACTCTGGATTTTCAAGAAGAAAAAAACTTACGGCAGAGGGCCTCATCTCTCCAGCCGACGATGACAACACCGGCAGCTGCGCATGCGTCGGCGTAGGCCTCCATGTCGTTACAGAGCATCTGGTGTTCTCCGTTCACAGCAGCCATGTCGTACACGCATGCGTCGAAGTAGTTCAACGGGTCCACGACGCCAACGCAAGGCTGTATGTAGGGTGATAAAAATAACAATGTTTTAATAAGGCAAAACCTTGGTCATTAGTCTTTTTGCGTGGCGGCAGTCAATATTCTTTTCTTACTTGTCAAAGAACAGAATGTGTTTAGATACCTGAAAGGCCCTGTTGATGTCAATAATTTGTAACAGTTGCAGTATCTATTTTGCTCCCAATAATATCTTTTCCACTGCAAGCATTGTACTCGGTTTTAAAACACTCGCTGTTTGGTAGCTGGAATATCTTTATGTCAATCATCTGACCTCTCTTAAAGCAGATTTTAAGGCGTCCCATTCACAAGGCCTCTACCATTACGATTCTTTTCTATATTCATTTATCTATTGAGTTGTCTGTTGTCTGTAGAATGGTCACTGTTTCCGTACCTGGAAGGCCCCGTTGATGTCCGTGATCTGCCCACAGTTGGCGGTGCTCTCAATCTCGGCAATAAGCGCCTGGTCCACAGTGCTGATGTCAAACTGGTCCGGGTTCGGCAGGCAGCTGGGAGGGAACAAATAACGTGTTTGCACTCACGTGACTGTGACGCCATGATGGGTGCTTAAACCTAAAAGCTGTATGGAGAATTGGGGTAAGCGCACAGATTCCACCTACTCCTACTAAGTGTGTGGCTACCTAAAACAGTGGACAAACGCATTTGCCCCACCACCAAATTATTACTTCTTTCGTACGTGCAGAAGAAAACCCAAGTTTTTGCCCAGAACTTCAACGCCATGGGATTGCAAATGAGTGCTCAACAAAAACAAACATGACGCCACGACTCATCAGGATAGTTACTCACTTGTTAACGCTTGGGTACAGTACTAAGTAGAACTGCTCAGTTTTGCCCAAAAGAAGGCAAAAGAACGGGCACTAAAAGGTAGGTAGCTGGCAAACATTAGTCTCCTACAAAGACCTTTCTTTGTCTATTATATAACCACATTTTTACTTACGCGGTGTCATCCGGCGCCAGCCAGCTGTTTCCCATGTCCACCTCGTTCAGGGCCAGAGTCTGGTCCGGTTTGAGCAGCTCGTCGTCAGGGTTACCGTTAAAGTTCCCGCAGAGGCCGTCCACCTGGCCTGTAGGTAAAACACACTGGATTTAGACCAATTTGGCATGTTTGCGAACTACTATACTGACTTATACCGTGTTTAAAATTAGAATTATAAAGTTGGTCTTACAGGTTCTGGAGCTTAGGGTTTTCAAGTTATTGACAATTTATAAAATGATACTAACTTTTGCTGACAAGTATACAGTACAAACTCAATAGGGCCAGTTCCAAAGTGGTAAATGTTATACAGGGTGTTTTGAGCCAGCTACACCTTGAGTACGTTTTAGGACCCACCACACATATCGCAAAGAGTAGGGGTCCATTTGATGCTTACTACTTGATACCGTTACGTTAGTGTCAAGTCTAGTCTTACACAGAAAGTTCTTGCTGTACAAAACTTTTGTTTAATACACCAAAAGTTGATTTAATGATTATGTTAATTAAGTCAACAAATACCCTACCAGCGTACTGTGGCGGCACCTCGACCTCCACGCGATGGTTTCCGTCGTACTTGACGGTGACGCACATGTCCGTCTCTACCAGAACCATGTCTCCGCTCAGCCGGATGGTAGCCTGGCTGTTCAGGCACACAGGCAGCGTCCGACGCACGCCGTCAATCTATTAAGTAATATGATTCAAAACTTTGTTTAATCTTCCATTGGACCAAGACCATATCTGCATATAGATAACCGGTAGATGTTCACATCTTCAATCTGTGGAACATGGTTTCAAACTTAATGTAAACTTTACTATATGGTCATGACTAACATTTAAAAAGACTGAGAATTGTCTTTAAAGAAAGACGGAGGCGCCACAGACTTTCTGCGTGACATCCGCATAACGTGATGTCACAGAAGCAGTGGTCTACTCATTCCTTGACAACGATTGAAGTTTTACAGTCAGAAATTTGGGTAATATTCCCATATCTTGTGCTAAGAATTACAGATCAAACTTTCTTCACTGCCATCGTTGACCTTAACGACTTTGACCTCACCTTGACTTCACGATTCTGGAGTAGGCTGATGGTATGACCATAGAGAGTAAACTCCACAGCGTCCACAAAGCTGACCCTGGTATCGCCCAGACGGTGCCCGTTCTGTGCGGCCACGTTAAAGTTCTGGTGCCTGACTAAAGTGTACTTGCAGGCCCCCTGGAACCAGTAGCCCTTCCCGTCGAACGTCTGGTAGTGAGGGTCACCGAAGGCAGCACACATCGCCGTAGCTTTGAATAATGAATGCATAAATGAATGAATGAATGGTTTATCATCAACATCATCAGTTATTCAAAGCATATCAATGCCACAGGCTTAATTGCGTACATTTTACAGATAATTTAAAAACTGACTATTGCTTTCTTAGATATTTACAAATTAGCGTTTGTACAAATTGGACATCCATATCTTAACCATAGACAAAGGCAAAAAAAATGATGCACTTTCAGTCATTTTAATTTCATTCGTTTTATTTCATTTCTGTGTGCCTGTCTGAGTGTTCAGAAAAAGTTCTAGTCACCTGCTCTTCGTATGTTTTTATTTGACAAATCGTGAAGGAAAGCAGCATTATAGAATATCTAATAGTATATAAGTAAAGAAGCGTCTCAAAAAAGATTCTGGACGGTTATCAACTCTTATTCAAGAAACTACAATGGCTCTTACTTGTAGGACAGGTGACGTGACCCATGCAGTTATCCTCGATGTCGAATGTCTGAGGCATGTCCACAGCCGCGGGAGTTGTAGTCGGCTTCGGTGTCTGGGTTGTCATTGCTGTTGGTGTTGGAGTTGTAGTGGGCTTGGGAGTTTGGGTGGTAGTTGTTGTAGGTTTCAATGTTGGAACTGAGAAAGTGAAAAAGAAGGTATCACTACAAACCATTTTTGACGCACTCAAAGACTTACGTCTGGGTATATGTAAGATGAAACTTTAAGCAACAACAACAAAAAGTTCACTCAACATAGACACATCATATCCACATCTTTACGGTCCAAACATAGAAAAAAGAGTTTCCAAAGTCAATGTAGGATGCACTCCAGTAAAAAGGCCAGCTAAGTTTGCAGAGAAGGCTTCGTTTTACAGAGATGGTGTTTTGGTTGAGAAACTAATAGCTCATGTCAATGTGCCTACCTTGGTGACAACTGTAGGGTGGGGGTAAACTTTTAGCTGTGGATATGAGGAAAGTGTATTCTACCATCTTGGCAGCCGAAGGGTTAGGGCAAAAGAAAGCTGTTACATAGGAAGAAAGTATATGTACCCTGGTGACAGCCGTAGTGTTAGGGTTAGGTAAAACTGTAAGCTGTGGTTTTTTGTGTGTAACCTACCCTGGTGGCATCCGTAGACGCCGTCCTGCAGACTCCACTCGGCCCCAGGCAGACAGGACATCGGGGCGCAGCTGACTTGGAAGTTCGGCAGACACTCGCACTGCTGACCGTCTGAGGTGCCCCAGTGTTCACCGAGCTAACGATATTTATGTGGTAAATGTATTAGTACTAGTCTTAGGCAAGAGAAAGCGGCATATTTTAGTTATTTTCCAACAGAAATTGGCTTGTCTACTTTACATAAAAGCGTTTTTAATTTCAGCCATTTCAGTCTGTCACTGAATTTTGTTACTGTGAGTGTGACACAGAACCTCAATGATTTTTAAAAGGTGCTGCCTGATAGAAAGACAATCCTGGAGACGTTCTTTACTCTCTATATTGTAGAGCAATAGACTATTATAACATTTCTAGATTTATAGCAAGCAACAGAAGCAATGCCATTAGTAAAAGGTGTTTCCTAGCTATAGAAATAAATGGAAATGGACACGATGTGTTATTTTACCGTGTGGTAGTTTCCTTCATGTAGACAAAACTATCTAGTCTATGCTTCCCCCGAAAATGGGACACATTTAGTTAAAAAAACAAAACTTCTAAGTCAGAAACTACTATATGGCTACAGGAGCAGAGCAGACCATGACATTGCAACATTATAAAACCCAACACCAGTCACCATGGTGACAGACGTCAACAATTCATGTCATTGGTCAGGTCATAGGTCACTTTTTGGAGAAGAAGGTGAGGAAGAAACTGAGCAAAAACAATATGTTTTCCTTCGGTAAACATAAAAAGAAAGGAGAAGCAATGAAGGAAATGCCACATTGAAAACGGAAATGTAGCCTTACCGCGTGGTAGTTTCCTTCGTGCAGACATCCGCAGTCCTTGGGCTCTACACACGTCATGCCGCTCCAGATGTAGCCTGGGTCACACTCACAGCCCTCCACATTGGGCCGGCCGCACGTGGAGGAGGCAGTCGGGGTCCGGCAGCTGTCCTGGCAGGCAGACGTGGAGTACGAGTAGTGGCTGTTAGGGGGGCACTGCAGGGCTAAAAAAATCAATGGAGAAGGGTTTCATCAGCATTCAGAAAAAAAGCTTCTTCAAAGGAAAAGCCCCTATAACTGAGGTGCTGGATCTTATAATTGAATATATGGCAGTCTTACAACTCCTTTGCTAGCTGCTAAAATGGGAGAGTTACAGTGCAGCAACCCTCTGTTTGGGGAATACGTTATGGATTCCTCAGGTGCAGTACTTGCAGCTTCCTTGAACTTGATTTCTGTTATGATATGAGGAAGTGCGTTCCAATCCCTGACAGTCTGAGGAAAACGGGAGTATCTGTAACAGTCTTCGTGAAATGTTCTATTCAATGGTACAATAGCAACAGATGTTATTTATCGCAATACATGTATGTAGTATGAGAAAACATAATCTAATTTACCACAGCCGGTTGGTTCCCTCCATCCGTCCAGGTGAACACCGGCTGCTGCACAAGCTTGCACGTAACCCTATGACATAGGATAGGGATGGAGGAGGTCAACATTTAATGGCTGTGTTAAATAGTGAAATAGTCAGTGCCTTAATACTGTTAGTGGAGTGTGAAAATTAAACGAAAGGTCATTGAGCTTCCAAGGCTTGACAGATTTGCCAAACGTTATTTAGAAAGGGCTACATTATCTCAAATGAGATCTCCAGACCCTTTCAATAAAGCCCTAACGAAATAAGTGACTTGTGACTTCCTCACATGAAACTGTGGTCAATGGTACTCTCAGACGCGTCCATGTCGTGAACACAGTCATCAATGTAATCGGAAGGCTAACGATATAAGTCACTTGCGACTTGCTCATTGGATTTTCAACGATCTCTGTGGGACCCTTGGTTTTACCCGTACTGAAACTGTACAGGCGTTGCAATCGACTGTAAATAAGACATACCTCAAAGTTCTCGCACATGAAACTATGATCGCTGGTGCTCCCAGATGCAGCCATGTCGTAAACACAGTCGTCAATAAAGTCCGTAGGCTCTACTGCAGGGAAACAGGCGCTGAAGGGGCTGTTGGTGTCCTGCAGATGTCCGCAGAACTGCTGACTCTCCAGCTCCTGTACAAGCGCCTGGTCAGCCTGCGCGATGTCAAACTGCTGGTCGGCCAGGACCGCGGGACAGCTGAAAAAAAAGAGTGAAACGTGGGGTTTTACAGATTGTGCTAAAGCTAACACAGCCCTTCTCAAGCGATTATTCTGTCTTTCAACACACTCGGGAACATGCACTCATTATAATCCAAATAAAACTTTTCTCATATTCTTTCGATTAGATAAAAAATTTCTGATGTCTCACTAGATTCTGGTCATCCACATCTCTTGCCTTTTTTTCAGTTTTATTGAAAACAGGTTTACGCTATAAATCATGTAGTAAAAACTGTTTTGTTTGTAAAAAAAGAGGAAGAACACGGGTAACAAAAATGTTTTGTAGCAAGTTAGGATTTTGATTTTTAGCACAAGAACTTTTAGCACAAGAACTGGAGTTGTAAAGAGTGTAGTAAAAATTACGTTCAATTTCTTGTGCTAGAAATCACAGATCAAAAACCATACTGACTTTTACCAACACAAATGGACTTTGATGGTTATCTATGCTAAAACTTTGAGTGAAAACAGAGTAGATACCTGGTGTCATCCGGGGCGACCCAGCTGTTTCCGAACTCCACGCCGTTCTGTGCCGGGGTCAGGTCAGGCTTGACCAGGTCGTCTCCTTGGATACCGTTAGCGTTGCCACAGAGACCGCCAACCAGACCGGCGAGGTGGGACGGCAGCTCCACTGTCACGCTGTAGATATGAAGGTTTATAACTTATAAATTTTGATATTCCCTTGTTGTTTCTTATTTTTCGGGGGGAAATGCCAGTTAAGATGGGTTTGATCACTTTCCTTAAGGCAAATTACCATGGAAACCCGTGAAAATATTTTGCATAATATCGTCCCAAGAAACAAGACTTATTTAGTCATCAGTGATATTTTGAACGTTCTTTCTCTCTCTCTTTCTCTCTCTCTCTCTCTCTCTCTCTCTCACACACACACACACACACACACTCTCTCTCTCTCTCTCTCTGTTCGACAACAGACAATGACAAAAGACAATGAGTTAACTGTACAAAAACAGGATGGTACCGTTCCTCTGGCCCAAATTGATTTAGCAAACAGTGTAAAAAAGACAATGGAAACACATACTGGTGGTTGCCATCAAACGTGACGGTGATGCACAGGATGGTGTCTATGACGATGTTGTTGCCCTGTTGGGTGATGGACGCGAAACCTCCGATACAGGCGGGCAGAGTCCACTTCACTCCGTTTATCTAGGGCGGGCAAATAAACGTGTTATATTCTTATACACGTGGGTTTGAAGGTACACAACGAAAAATGATGATTCCGTTACTTTGTATCTTAAATTTTCTTTTCAGTCTTAATGCAACAACGTACTACGTAGTGAACCAAGAGGTTCCAAGTTTAAAACCTGCCATGCCACCGATCTTGTGCCCTTTGGAAAGGCACTTTACATGACTTTCCTCACTATACTCGGGTTAAAATGAGCATTTTGATGTCCTCAGTGTTGGTAGTGGCAGTAAAAAAAAGAAATTCGACATATTGCATGTCATCTTATAGAACAAGCAAAAACTACATTGCTCAATTTGGCAGAATGCATTTTTCTCAGGATAAGAAATGTTCATACTTACAAAGACTTCCTTGCCCTGAGTGATGGTGATGGTCTGCCCATATAAGGTAAACTCCACGGAGTCCACAAACGACACCCGCATGTTGCCCCTCCTGTTGGCGTTCCGCGCGGAAACCGTGAAGTCCTGACCGCGCGACAGCACGTACTTACAGTTGCCCTGGAAAAATGAAAGGTGAAATTCTGGTGAACCTGATTCTAGTGGATCATACAGGCCATTGACACTACGTACTTACATGTATCATTTGCCTATTGCCTGAAAGTACGAGGATCATAGTCATAGAAAAATCTGTTTGTAACTTTGTTTGCTGTTAGAAATCTTGACTTAATACAAAAAAACAAAGATGCTTGATCATGCAAAACTGTCATAAGCTACTACAAGATATCAAAATGAATCATTGGAAAATGGGACAAGTTAATGAAAAATACCTGGAAGTTGAATCTCTTCCCGTCAAAAGTTCTGTAGTGTGGATCTCCCCGAGCAGAACATGTGACCCTGTCTAAAACGCGTTTGAAAACTGGGTTAACTATGAATTCATAAAACATATGTGAAATAGTATGAATCAGATTTTTTAAATCTTCAATTGTCATCTCAAGTGTTTTATACAGTGCAGAAAAACACTGAGTTAAGCAATCTGGAAAAAGATGATCTGTTACTACTTACCTCCACAGAACACGTCTCCCAGACACTCATTCCCGATGTTCACAATGTCGTTGGTTACTGTGTAACAAGGAGAAGGAACAATGTTTTAATTTGACATGATGGCGGTTACGTTGTACGTTGACACCGCTTGTAATTTTGATTTTAAAAATGTTCATTTCCATACATTACACATCAGCGGAAGGCAACGGCGGATGCTGTTACAGTACCTTCTTGTTTTGTTCAATTCAACATAACAGAGGGTAAAATATGAAACATACGAGGTGCCACCGGTGCCTCAGTTGCCGGCTTAGCTGTTGTAGTGGCTGGCGTTGGAGTAGGAAGCGTCGGTGCTGAAAAAAATACAACATAACAGTTGGTTGATTAACCATAATGGACTTTTTTCCACTGCTGTGTTGTTTTTGCTCACAGGTTATGCCAAATAAACAAAACTAAAGAAGCGAACAAAATCATATTGGAGAGAATCTTTAGTTTAGTTGTGTACCTTGAGAAGTCGGAGTTGGCGTTGTAGTAGGTTTGGGAGTTTGGGTTGTAGTTGTTGTAGGCTTTGGTGTTTGGGTGGTGGTTGTTGTAGGCTTTGGTGTTTGGGTCGTGGTTGTAGTTGGTTTCAAAGTCGTCGTTTCAACTGAAAGAAAAAAAAAATCAAACATGCGTGACTACATCTCTATGCGATTTTTGTGCTGATTATTATGAGGCCTTCGCATTGATATTAACAGAAAACCTGTGAAGGTGTTTTAGAATCTGCAATTTGATTTTCAACGATGAAGGTAGCTTTTACGTCTACACCAGAAAAGATGGGAAGGCAGTGGACACACAGTGTAAGAAACCTTGATCGATTGGTTGATTTTTTGGTTGATTGTTTGTTTGTTTGTTTATTTGGTTGGTTGGTTTGTAAAATTTGTTTACCTTCACAAAGCTGTGCGGAGAGTGGTTCCATAATGTCGTCCAGTGCGTCGAAGTCGAAGACTGTGGAGACGTGGTCTGGGCTGCCGGCTATGGCGGACAGCTCGTCATAGTTAATCATCTCTGTCACGCCGATAGCGAACGTCGTCACGCCGTCGTTATGGAGATTCTAAAGTAAATACAAACAACTTGTTTACTAGTAAACAACAGAGGATTGTAGACAGCCGTCATTTTGCAGGTTCCTGATGAAAACTCAAACATTTGTTTAGTCTATAAAATAACAGCTAGAGACCTTTATTTTCACATGTTTATCGTCGAGGCCCTACATTGCTAATGGTAGGGACGGTACGTTAATACCTGAGAGGGGAGGACCACGTCGTCCCCGGACATGCCGTCCGTCACCACCACCACGATTTTGGGCACTCCCGGGCGGGCGCCGTTAGCGGCGGTCAGGGCCTGGTCACGGGCAAACGTCAGGGCAGAACCTGGGGATAACAGGACGCACACGCCAACATTAATGTAATAATGACAATGCGTTAGGTCGGGTGCTTAGGAGCTGGCATGTGTGCGCAAAAAGAAGTCTGGCATCCAGGCTTAAGCTGAGAAGCTGACTTGTGCAGGCCCTGGAAAGTCTGACATCCAGGCTAGCATGTTGGCCCTGGGGCTGGGGGAGCTGGCCTGTGTAGGCCCAGGAGATGACCTGTATCTAAGCTAGTAGGTTGGCCCTGTAGCTGAGAAGATGGCCTGTGCAGGGCATGAAAAAAAACAGCCTGGTATCTAGGCTAGCATGTTGGTCCTGAACCACAGAGAAGCTGGTCTGTGTAGGCCCTTGAAACAGTCTGGTATCTAGGCTAGCACGTTGGTCCTGGATCTAAGGGTAGTAAGCCTGTGTAGGCCCTGGAAACAAGTCTGTTATCCAGGCTAGCATGTTGGACCTGTTGTGGAGGAGAGCCGAACTGTGTAGGTCCTGGAAACTGGTTAGCATTTTTTGCAATGGCGCAGAAGAGCTGGCATGTGTAGGCCCTAGAAACCATCTAACATCCAGGCTAACGATTTGCCATACCTGTGGCAGTCCCCCGACTGATGACCACGATGTTACTGATGGCCTGCTGCAGGCCGGCCAGTGAGCTGTGCGCGTTCAGAGCGAACTCCTGCTGAGGGCTGGAGCTGTACTGAACAACTCCCACCTGGGTCGCGCCGGGGCCGATGTCGAAGTGACCAACAACGTTGTTCAGGAATGTCTTGATCTGAACAATACAGGTAAAAGATACGTAAATGACATGATTACAATAGACATCGCCGTTGACATCTCAAACCATCCAGGACGGTTGGAAGACCGTATTCAGAGGCGCTACGCCTCCAAAAGAGGAATACGGAGCTGAGAGAGAGAGTTGAGTTGAGTTGACATCTAGGTAATGAGATACACAAAAACAATTTAGTGAAAATATATCTGCTCGCTTCAGTAACTGTTTTCTCGTGTAGTGGGGACAGACAGGAAAGTAAGGAGGATAAAATTATGTCTTTGCATCTCCTTTTGGCTTGAAATTTAAGTCATGTTTGTGACCAAAAAAAAACTTTATGTCAAACACCGATCAATTTGTTGAAATCATTTTACCTTCAGTCAACCCCAAAACTAAATGGTGCATTTTTAACAAGATCTTTAGAAAAGAACTCTAACCTTTTCAAACTCGTAAGCCGGGACGCTGGCAGAACCGTCCACAACGAACACAATGTCAGCCTGCATCTGACAAGCGGCAGTGGACGCAGCGGGGACGGGGGTTGTGGTCGGCTTCGGGGTCTGGGTGGTAGTGGTTGTAGGCTTCAAAGTCGGAACTGAAGCAAACATGGATAGTTTCAGGTATAACAGTACAAAAAAGCAAGTAGGGTTAGGGGAAACTGTTAGCCATGATTCTCACTTAAGTGTATCCTACCTTGGTGACAACTGTTGGGTTAGAGTAAGGTATAGTTTGCTATAGGTATAGGAATAACGAGTAACCTTCCCTTAAGTAACAGCGACAACAGTAAGGGAATACTGTTAGTTCAGGTTATACGAGTTCAGATTTCAGAGTGACACAGGGCTTACACTAAGGGAAGCAGAGACTATTGCCCTTGAGAGAGCTGGCTGGAGGAACCTGACGGAGGGGAGCAAGGGGCCAGTACCTGGCCTGTGCATATAGGCAGGAAGGTACTAGGCAGGTTATAAGTAAATTGTGACCTACCCTGGTGGCAGCCGTAGACGCCGTCCTGCAGACTCCACTCTGCCCCAGGCAGACAGGACATCGGGGCGCAGCTGACTTGGAAGTTCGGCAGACACTCGCACTGCTGACCGTCTGATGTGCCCCAGTGTTCACCGAGCTGAAAAAAAACATTTCATTCAGACGATGGGAAGACATAAAGGTAACATTAGCAAAGCAAATGAATAATGTTTACCTTCGCATATTCTCTAGATCTGCTTTGTTAATTCTTGCTCAAACACATTCATACATATGGTCTGACAGGAGTCTAAATCCCTCCTACTATAAAATTGCAACATGATGTAAATCAACACTTGTTACCATGACAACAGTCTGGTTCAGGTCATTGACCTTTTTTGGTTTGGAGAACAGGTACAAGAGGAAACTTGAACTTTAGTCGCTTTATCAAATGAAAATTGTAAAAAATGAATCTCATAAATCAAAGAAAGCATCAGGTATTTCAACGTGAAATTCTGCCCAACGGCAAGAATCAAATCTTACAATACTTGTGAAATCTTTTGCAAGGGAAGAAAATCATCTAGTCTACGCTTCCACAAAATGGGACATCTTTTGTTTTAAGAATTGGGACTTCTACGTCATCTAATTAAAGACATAGCAAAAGTAATGAGACAAATGTCAAATTTGTATTAAACGAAAATGGACATCTTTCCTGAGACCTACAGCGTGATAAGTTTCTTCATGGAGACACCCGCAGTCCCTGGGCTCGACGCACGTCATGCCGCTCCAGATGTAGCCTGGGTCACACTCACAGCCCTCCACATTGGGCCGGCCGCACGTGGAGGAGGCAGTCGGGGTCCGGCAGCTGTCCTGGCAGGCAGACGTGGAGTACGAGTAGTGGCTGTTAGGGGGACACTGCAGGGCTGGAAGGAAAAAAATCAGAACAAAATAAGATACAGAAAATCAAATGTCTGCACAAATACACTAAAAAAAGATAAACGCGATATGTTTGTGCTACAATGGTTCTTTAAGAACACGTCCGTATCATCAAGAAAATAATCTGTCCGTTGAAATTCAAAACTCATTTTCCAAACTACCTAGATTTAAAAGCAGAACGTTTGTGCCAATAGTTGCACAATGCAACACTGAAAAAAAAAGCCTACCACAGCCGGTCTGCTCCCTCCATCCCTCCAGGTAAATTCCAGCAGCTGCACAAGCTTGAACGTAACCCTGAGGAGAACAAGAACATCTCAACATCACCAAGCATCTTTCTAAAGAAATCTGTTTGACATATTCTGGTGAAGAACTGGCTGTTTTCTACTTCAAACTCATGCTCAGCCACAAAAAGGAAAGACTAACTTGTCCGAAGTTGATATTCACATGTAATATGTAAAAAGTTTACCTCGAAGTTCTCGCACATGAAAGAGTGGTCACTAGTGCTCCCAGACGCGGCCATGTCATACACACAGTCGTCAATAAAGTCCGTAGGTTCAACGGCAGGGAAACAGGCGCTGAAGGGGCTGTTGGTGTCCTGCAGATGTCCGCAGAACTGCTGACTCTCCAGCTCCTGTACAAGCGCCTGGTCAGCCTGGGCGATGTCAAACTGCTGGTCGGCCAGGACTGCGGGGCAGCTTTACCAGAAAATAGAAATGCAAATACTAGATATATTTTTTTTCCAACTGGTTGAGATTATTATAGATGCAGGTGAAGATAAAAGCTTTGTTAAAAAGGAAATGAGATTTACCAGTCATCGATTCGAGTCATCTGCAGTCTTAGACTAGTCGGTATTGAATATTTCAATTATGGCATGTCTGCACTACAGTTTATTACTATAGCAAGGCAATATTAAAATCTGACGTCTATTCTGTTCATCTCCAGCTTCCTCAGTTTTAGTTACTAGTACCTGATTCATGAAATACAAGTACTCATCATAATAATGTAAGATATGACACTCTTTCTTGATACTACAAGTTGTATGTTGGCTATGATAAGATTGTTACTGTCATCGAATGTAGGAGGCCATGCAGAGGCCCCTATACTATTGCCTTGGCAGTCAATGCATTATTTTCTTAGAATAAAAAACAATGGCAAAGAAAAAATGCCCACCTCGTGTCATCCGGTGCGACCCAGCTGTTGCCGAACTCCACGCCGTTCTGTGCCGGGGTCAGGTCAGGTTGGACCAGGTCGTCTCCTTGGATACCGTTAGCGTTGCCACAGAGACCGCCCACCAGGCCGGCAAGGTGCGACGGCAGCTCAACTGTTACGCTGTAAAATGCAGTGTGAGATTATAGCTACACTATGTACGTCATTATGCATTACATAAACACACATGCTTATCTCTCGAATATAAGTCGATCGGTTAAAATTGCAAACAGTTACTGTCATATGTAAGAAGAAGTTAAACCCAACAAAACTAGTACCACGTATTTTGTAGAATGTAGTATAACTTTATACTTAGTCTCTCATATCACAGTATTTTTTTTCATACATGTTGTTTTCTATTTGCAATTAGCCCTCGGGCATGTATTTGCAATAAACTTTCAGTATGTAAGATGTGATCGGCACACATTTTGCCATGTGTTGTTGCCGCTACATCATAGAGAATTATACGTGTACTGTACCAGTATGTATTTAATGTGCTTAACAATAAGAGTTTTTACGTACTGATGATTTCCGTCAAAAGTGACGGTGATGCACAGGATGGTGTCTATGACGATGTTGTTGCCCTGTTGGGTGATGGACGCGAAACCTCCGATACAGGCGGGAAGGGTCCACTTCACTCCGTTGATCTAAGATGTAAATGAAAGTTTTCCCTTAGGTTTTATTGTGTTAACTTTACGTTTTTGAGAAGTGTAAATGTTCTATAAACTTATTACTTATTCACCTTCAATCGTAAAGTATATATCTGTTTAGTTTCAGCCAGCTGCGCTGTTTCATAATCTTATGAGTGCTTCTAAAATGATACTTGTAAGTTTCCTGAAGTGGTATGATCTGATGTCCTCAAGTGCAGATGTTCTAAAATTGTGTAACATAAATCAATCATACATAGCAAATCATATTTGTTCTGTTCCATCTCGCTGCGCTGTAATTATGTTTCATTTTTGTTATAGATGCTTCGAAATTATCCAGGTTTTCTGAGGTGGCATCATCTGATATCCTCATTCAGGACTTGAGACTCCAAACAATGTTTAAGACTTCTTAAATGTGTTACTGTTCTTTTATTACTGAGATGTAATTCTGACGTAAAAGAACATTAATATATTTGATCGTGACTAATTCAGTCACCAGCGTGTTTTACGCCATGAATCATAGGCTCATTCCCACTAGGCTAAGATTGTCCGGATTGAGCCGAATTGATTCGTTTCGATCTGGCGCCGAGCCGGCTTTCAGTCGGATAGAGCTGGATCCAAGCCAGATCAAAGCGAATTAATTTGGCTCCATTCGGACAATTTTATCCTAGTGGGATAAGCCATAGTCTTCCCGGGTTATTTTCCCTTGAGAATGTATCAATGATTGTTATACTTACGAAGACCTCCTTTCCCTGAGTGATGGTAATGGTCTGCCCATATAAGGTAAACTCCACGGCGTCCACAAACGACACCCGCATGTTGCCCCTCCTGTTGGCGTTCCGGGCGGAAACCGTGAAGTCCTGACCTCGCGACAGCACGTACTTACAGTTGCCCTGGTAACCGGCAGGTGACAAACAGGTAAGATACAGGTGACAAAAAGGTGAGATACGAGTGAGATGCATGTGACATAAAGGTAAGCACCTGATTCAAAATATACAACTCCGAACAGCACGTACTTACAGTTGCCCTGCAAACGGACAAGAATCACACAGATGAGATACAGGTAGAAACCTTATTCGACCAAAATATACAGATCAGGACGTACTTAAAGCATTGATTCTAGACAAATAGAATCTATCTGAACCTCTCGTAAAGAACCTGAAACAAACGTAGAAGGTATATGACAAGGATACTAGGTTTACAACTTCTACAAGAGCAAATGTTTTAAATTGTTACCTGGAAGTTGAACCTTTTCCCATCGAAAGTTCTGTAGTGAGGATCTCCCCGAGCAGAGCATGTTACTCTGTCTGTAGATATGGGTGAAAAACAGAAGGTTAAATTTTGATTATCGTGCTTATACTGTAGATATTATATGTAACTTAATAGTTCAAGTTAACAGACGGCACTTCCTACTTACTGAAAAGCACACCATCCATGCTTTTTGCATGCCAAGACAAGTGGCAGTTCTGTTGCTCTGTAGTCGAATTTACTTAGTAATACCCTCTACCCTTCTTCGTTGCTACGATAAAATCGCAATGTGTAACATTGAGGATGGTTCAGAGTTATATATCAATGGTTTATTTGCGTTAAAAACACAACAAGACTGTCCCAAAAATGGCAGCCAGGGGCTGAATTGGCATGGGGACATTACATAAACAGCAAACAGTATAAAACTGATTAAACCCCACATAGGAATAGATAACAGATATTGTGAATACCTACCTCCGCAGAAGACATCTCCGAGACACTCGTTCCCGATGTTCACAATGTCGTTGCCCATCACTGTAATGGGAAAATGGCGTCAGTGCTGTACACAGAACCATGCTTTATCCAAAATCATGCTCTGGTACGGTTCAGGACTGTCCTGGCGTATGTAGAACCATGCCTCAGGCCAAAGGACGGTCTTGGATACACAAAGACTCTCCAGATCCATTCCTGATCCTAACACATACAGCTATAATAGAATTAGATAAGCACAGTTCTGGATGTTACTCAAATAAACAGCACATCAGGAGCTCAGAGCTTTCTCTATGAACTAATTTAAATATCAATTCAAGTCCTTTTTAAATACCAGCTTCACTTGTCTTCATATTCATTATCAGTTAGTAGGTAGTGGATGCTGTATGAAAAATTTGATATTATAAAGTATAGCTAAAATTATTGGCAGAATACATAAAGGTTCCTAAGTGAATGGGTAAGCAGTATCTGGCGAACAATTTTTAGACGTAGCGTCATTCGATCTGATGACGTCATCCGATGATGACGTACGATCTGACCAATCATAGAGCAGGTGATGTGATGACACACCTGCGGCGTTATTCGGTGTTGTTGTGGCCGGGGTTGTTGTGGTGGTCGGCTTGGGTGTCTGCGTTGTAGTGGTTGTAGGTTTGGGTGTTTGGGTTGTTGTCGTTGTAGGCCTCTGTGTCGTGGCCTCAACTGAAACAAGAAATGGTGGGAATAAAAGTGTTATCCCATATTTGGCTGGATTGTATAATGCAATTACTAGTAGTATTTCAGTATTGGTGTCCGATGATCAACAGGGTTGCTAAATATAGTGGTATTGGCTTCCAGTCAATAGTTAAAATGATTGATTGATTGATAGATTGTTTGATTGACAATGATAATTTCAGAAAATTATCTCTTTTATGTCTTCAGAGGCGTCAAAGTCTAAACAGAAAAGATATAGTCCAGAATCATAATCGATCGTTGGAGGATTGATTGATTGGTTGGTTGGTTGGTTGGTTAGTTGGTTGGTTGATCAAAACAAAGTTGGAAAGACAGTATCTCCTTTATATCAACCATGGTGTCAAAGTCAACGAATGTAAAGCTATCGTCTAGTATCAACCAATCACTTGATTGATATTGATTAATTAATTGATTGATTGATTGATTGATTGATTGATTGATTGATTGATTGATTGATTGATTGAAGTATCTTCACCTTCACACAGTTGAGAAGACAGCCTTTCCTTGATGTCGTCCAGTGCGTCGAAGTCGAAGACAGTTGAGACGTGGTCTGGACTGCCGGCTATGGCGGACAGTTCGTCATAGTTAATCATCTCCGTCACACCGATAGCGAACGTGGCCACGCCGTCGTTATGGAGATTCTGAAGTAAACAAAAACAAATCTGAGGTGTCTCAACACATTCACATAGAGTCACCCGATCATTTTGTTTCACTTGACACTGTAAGGATTTTAGACACTGAACAAGACTATTTCTTGAGAGGGGTGAAGGAAGCCATTTACATCAGGGCCCATCACCCTACAGTGAACCGCGACGGGGGCCGACATTCTCTACCAGATACCTTTGACCCAGTGTTGACGTCACACTTCAAAGAAGCCACGTGACAAGCTTCACTGGGTCAGTCTACTGAGTCGACTACAGAGTGACTGGTCGAAAGCTCTAGGTGAGAGAAATTTTTGTGTTGGACCAAATGTTTTAACTTTAAACAACTTGTTTACTACTAAAAAACACACGACAGCTCTGCTACGTCAATAGTGAATGTGTGTGAAATTCTGGAGTAAGTATGAAAAATGATTAATCGATTAATGAAGCTTAAATCAGTGTCGATGATTGTTAGGAGCTTTGCATTCAAACATTAAGCTAAGACAAAGATTTCCTTGTGTATTAAATTTCCAAACCCAGATCAAAAAATGCCTGGACAAAAGCTTTATTCTAAGGTACTTGAAGACAAATGCAAGATTCGTTATGTCCTGGAATATATTTTCAATTTTCTATTAACTCGCAGGTCTAAAGCTACGGCCCTTTTGCCATGTCTCTTGCCTCCCGATGTGGTTATCCAGCAAACTCTCTTATATAGGGGACGGTACGTTGTTACCTGAGAGGGGATGATGACGTCGTCCCCGGACATGCCGTCCGTCACCACCACCACGATTTTGGGCACTCCCGGCCGGGCGCCGTTAGCGGCAGTCAGGGCCTGGTCACGGGCAAACGTCAGGGCAGAACCTGGGGACAACATACAACGACAATATTTATGTGACACTGGGGACACAATAGGACACACATGACAACATTAAAGTGATATCTAACACTTCGTTATGCCGGGCGCCGTTAGCAGCGGTCAGAGATTGGTCACGGGCAAACGTCAGGGCAGAACCTGGACAGAAGCAAGAGCTCTTAGATTAATCTAATATAATGTTAGCATAGCAATTTATGATGCGGTTACAGCCGTTCTAGGTCGTTGCACGATTTTGCAGTAGGATTTCCAAGCAGGCGTTGACAGATCCAGCTACCGAAAAGGATCTAAGACCCATCTCTTCCGATTGTTGAACGACATATGCACTGTTATCCCAAATGTTTTTAACGTATACCTTCAGTACACAGAGAACCAGTTAAGCATGGTCTCAGTACACAGTGAATTGGTAGCACCTCGCTTCAGATCACAGTAAACCAGTTATTGCAAAATGTGCCATCCTGCGCAATACGATCGTCCGACTTTTGTACGACAATCTCAAGACTGTGATATCGAGGAAGATGTTTGCAACAATCCGACGAACCAAAACGTCCTTAGTCTCTGCAAAATATCTCCTTACACCAAAAAGAGGCCTTAAAGAGCACGATTTTAGATCAAAGAAAAAGCCACAGCCGTAGAAGTTCAGTTCAAGGAAAGAATGACTGCTTATCGTACCCGTGGCTGTCCCTCGGCTGACGATGTTGATGTTACTGATGGCCTGCTGCAGGCCGGCCAGTGAGCTGTGCGCGTTCAGAGAGAACTCCTGCTGAGGGCTGGAGCTGTACTGAACAACTCCCACCTGGGTCGCGCCGGGGCCGATGTCGAAGTGACCAACAACGTTGTTCAAGAATGTCTTCACCTGAAATGGTTTGCAAAAAAGAAAGAAAAGTTACCATCGATCAGAAAACAATGGTTTTCTATGAACGAGACATGTTTCTTAGATTATGTTTACCGAAGGAAAACATTTCATTTTTTGCTCTTTTTCCTCTTCTTATTCTCAAAACCAATAACTTCAATGACCTGAACCAGACGTCTGTCGCCATGGTAACTAGAATTGGGTTACATCATGTTGCAATTTTATAGCAGGAGGGATTTACACTCCTGTCTGGCCATATAGATGAATATGTTGACTTAAAATTCATTTTCATCGTCAACGAAGGTAAATAAATGTCGGAAAATATCCATGTAGACAAGAACACGCACAATCAAGCCCAACATTCCCTTACCTTTTCAAACTCGTATGCAGGAATACTGGCGGACCCATCGACAACGAACACGATGTCGGCGTGCATTTCACAGAGCGCTTCGATTACAGGGGTTGGTGTCGGTGTTGTGGTGGGCTTTGGCGTTTGGGTGGTGGTTGTTGTAGGTTTCAGAGTCGTGGTTGCAACTGAAGTTTAGAAAATAAAGTTAAAACGAAACAAAATTAGAACAGATTGCAATGACGTCTGACGCAATGACGTAGGGTCTTGTGTTGACTGGATCATGATTCGTAGTCGATTCTGGTCATCTATTTCTTTACCTGTGTCTGTATCTGTACAGTCACTATAATCGCCTTTGGCGTAATTAATCGGTGTAACTTGTGGTGCTAAATGTTATACAGGATTGTGTTCCAAAAAGTTATGCCGGGTTTTGTGCCAAGCATGCTTACTGTTGCTCTGAATGGACTGTAAGCAGATGTAAACACAATCAGTACTGACGGCAGAATTGCGCTCGGAATGGTGCTTAATGTCGTTGTGTACAGCACATGACATACTAGTAAATAAGAGCAGCTGGTAGAGAGGGCCCAGGACCGCATGGAGAGACCTGGCCCGGGGATGTTTATGCCCGTGAATGGGCAATAGGCCTAAGTACGGTTTTCCAAGCGCCAAGTGGAATCCAAGCAGATTGCAATTACTTGCACGTACTTTGGTGACATCCGTAGACGCCGTCCTGCAGACTCCACTCGGCCCCAGGCAGACAGGACATCGGGGCGCAGCTGACTTGGAAGTTCGGCAGACACTCGCACTGCTGACCGTCTGATGTGCCCCACACTTCTCCGAGCTGGAAAAAGAAACAGCTTCCCGTAATCCGTGAATAGTTTCATCAGGTTGGTAAGGCACTACGTAAAGACACTCTTTTTACACAACCAAGTCTTTTATTCAGACTGGTTCACATTGCACTGCAGCACTGTGAATGCATCTATGGCAGCGACACCTGTGCTGCTGTGCAATGTGAACCAGTCAAAATTGCCCTGTTCTCCAACCTGGAAAACACAAAGTTCCGTAGGAGCGTGTAAGTAACATCATAATATATGCCTAGTAGATGCCTGGACGTTGCCGAGTGGCCCTAGCGCTATCCGACATCAAAGATGGCGCTGGCAATTGTAGCCCCTCTCCCGCCGTCTAGATTGGGTTTAATCACGTTTCTTCATTTGCATACCGTCGAGGTGCAATCCTGTCGAGATAACTTTAGAGCCTGGATCTGTTTTAGATTTTGACAGCAAATCTCTTTGTACAAAAAAAAATTTTTGGAAGACAAAGGACGAGATTCCTATACGAACAGTAAAGCAACAGAATTTTAAAGCAATAACACTAAACTCTGAATTTATCTATTTATCTATTTATTACAATTCACCACATACACATCTACGTGGAAGGCATGGTGGAACAGGTACACCCTCCCACTTCCACCATGCCGATTCTCATGACGGTTTGTTTTGTTTGTTTCTTTGCAGAATTAAATAACGACAAAAAACACTATGAACGCACAGCGTGATAGTTCATTTGGTGAAGACATCCGCAGTCCTTTGGCTCTACACACGTCATGCCGCTCCAGATGTAGCCTGGGTCACACTCACAGCCCTCCACATTGGGCCGGCCGCACGTGGAGGAGGCAGTCGGAGTCCGGCAGCTGTCCTGGCAGGCAGACGTGGAGTACGAGTAGTGGCTGTGTGGGGGGCACTGCAGGGCTGTGAGGAAACAATAATAGACAAGAGGTAAATTAATTGCCAAGATATCAGTTACTTAAGAAACTGGAAAGGCTATAAAGGGGAGGGCAACTTCTAATGGTGCGTATGCATTTGTTTTGCCCTCCCTTTAATCTGTGGATGTTCCTGATTTTTGGTAGGCAAGTTACCTCTGTGAACATCAAGGTTAAGTTCTATAATGGACCTCGTGGGGGGTCTCTAAGTCATTGCAGTGGACATTTTGTATTTCTTTTTATTTGTTAGCAGCTCAAGTAAGACGTTGCAGCTAGATTCAACTATGTGTCGATGACAGAATTACTTGCATCAGGACATCTTAGAGAAACTTGTCCCATCTAAAATGAAGAAAATGTACTTACCACAGCCGGTCTGCTCCCTCCATCCCTCGATGTGAACTCCTGCCGCAGCACAAGCTTGAATATATTCCTAAACAACAAGGACAGCACAAATTTTAAAAAAGCCAAATCCTTCAGAGACCGTAACATTAGATCCAACAAGGTTGCTCAATGTCCTGTTTGCCTTGTACCTGTCATTTTTGTAGCAAGAATTTGCATCCTGTTGAAAAGGGACTGGTACTGATCTTTCTATCTGTGGGTTCTTTTTGAGAAGAAGAGACACAACTGTGGGGATGCTATCAATTATAGAAAGCTTAAGCACTTCTTGTTTTAGGACAAGCAAGATGTAGACGAAATAAAAAATGCTGATAATACCTCGAAGTTTTCACACATGAAGCTGTGATCACTGGTGCCTCCAGATGCAGCCATGTCGTAAACACAGGTGTCGATGTAGTCCGTGGGCTCCACTGCAGCAAAACAGGCGCTGAAGGGGCTGTTGGTGTCCTGCAGATGTCCGCAGAACTGCTGACTCTCCAGCTCCTGTACAAGCGCCTGGTCAGCCTGGGCGATGTCAAACTGCTGGTCGGCCAGGACAGCGGGGCAGCTGCAAAAGGAAGTAGAGTTTGAAATGTTTCTTTTTCCCTTGCATTCAGTTTCGATTTAGGCTCATTTAAATGGTTTAGGAAGCACAAAACAGTAATACATTTTAATTTCTTGTCCAATAGTTCTCGTTAGACATGGATTTCATTCATCTTCATCTTTGTCGGTCTTTTCAAGCAAGATATGTGGTAAATAAAGGTGATCAAACATTTTCCAACTGAAGAAATATTTGACCATGGAGCCATTTTGCTAGTCGCTCCTAAGAAACAATCTGAATCAAATCGCAGAGTGTGGAATTTCCATCGGACGCAGTCACAAAATGATTCGTTATATGTATCAGTATTCAGTATGTGACGAAATTATTGTAAGATGTTAATGGTGATAACGTAGGATTCTTATTACTTTAGAATAAGACGTGAAGTGCCCTGACCTGACGTCATCAAAGGCCACCCAGCTGTTGCCGAACTCCACTGCGTCTCCAGCAGGGGTCATGTCAGGCTTGACCAGGTCATCTCCTTGGTTACCGTTAGCGTTGCCACAGAGACCGTCAACCGTGGAGGCAAGGTACGGGGGAAGCTCTACTGTGACGCTGTTGTGAGAATACACCATACAGTTACGGGCATACAGTCACAAAACGCTCAAGAACTACACCAACTACTCAAACGTTACCACAGTTAAAAAGACTCTTGGATTGCTATCTTTACGTTGAATGATTGGTCCCAACTAAAGCTTAATGACACACTAAACGATGCAAAATGTAGGTAACATTGCCTTTCATGTGTTAGTCGTACAAAAAGTAGAGCAAAACTAGATTCCTGCTTTGTTTATCATGATCTCAAGCAACACACACACTACAGCAGTTGTACTACCATGACCAGGCTGTCTATATTATAGAGACTAAGGATCCCGACTATCTTTCATCATTAAGCGACGTGACATGTATAAAGGCACACACTATAGCAGTTGGTATATATAGTCATTGCCAGACTGTTTGGATTAGAGATCACACACGTACCGATGGTTGCCATCAAAAGTGACAGTGATACACAGAGCGGTGTCGATCACGATGTTGTTGCCCTGTTGGGTGATGGATGCCAGGCCTCCGATACAGGCGGGCAGGGTCCACTTCACTCCGTTCACCTATGGAGATATTTGTGAAATTGATTAGTTACAAAAGAAACATTTTGTTGTGAAAAGAACCATGTAACATATGATAAACGTTGAAGCACACACGAAGACCCTAGTACCGTGTGTTACGACCTACTCTACTTTCTTCTTCAATTCTAATGATGATTACTGTAGAAAAAATAATAGCCAACCATTGGTCCTGAAAATTCCCATCTATTTATGCTTCGTCTATGTTTTCGTTCAACTAAATATCTATTATACAATATCACAACTTTGGTAAGAAAATATAACCAGGACTTACATTCGCAGTGGTATATGGAGTTAGGATCTTAAGGGCATATCATATATAATAAAGTGTGGTACTCATGAAGACCTCCTTGCCCTGAGTGATTGTTATAACGTTTTGGTAAAGCTCAAAAGCCATGAAAATGTGTTAGCTTAGCCATAAGTTGCACACTTTAGGCTAGCTCATGTGGAATATAACAAGTCGAGAGGTACTTACGAACACTTCCTTGCCCTGGGTTATCGCAATGAGGTTCCCATAAAGCTCAAACTCCACGGCGTCCACGAAAGACACGCGCGTGTTCCCCCTCCTGTGCACGTTCGGGGCCGAAATCTTGAAGTCCATTCCTCTGGACAGGACGTACTTACAGTTGCCCTGAAAAGTGTAAGTCATTTGTAATGTGTACATTCAGTAAGAAGCCAGAATTCATGAAAAAGTTGTTTGAACAATTGCAGCACTCATAAACCTGTGTTTTAATTATATATATATATATATATATATATATATATATATATATATATATATATATGTGTGTGTGTGTGTGTGTGTGTGTGTGTGTGTGTGTGTGTGTGTGTGTGTGTGCGTGTGTGTGTGTGTGTGTGTGATAAGTGTTACCTTATTTCGCTATTGTTGTCCCTGTGTGTCGCCATGTGTGTTAGAACGAACCACAGGAAGAATAGCTATTGACGTACTGCAAGGTAAATGTAGACCCTAATAAAGTCAAAGTCAAAATGTATATAAAAGCTGAAATGTCAGCTTGAAACACGAAAATATTGCCACAAACAGGTACCTGGAAGTTGAATCTCTTCCCGTCGAAGGTTCTGTAGTGAGGATCTCCCCACGCGGAGCACGTCACTCTCTCTGTGTTAACAGATAACAAAACCCTGGCATAAGACTAGTGCGTGTTTCCTACCATTCACGTCAAGGCAAGTATGAAGGTATTTGTAGATTATAACTAGAAAGGTTCGCAAATACATAATGTATATAGTCTGCTCTGTTAATTCGTACTCAAATGCATTCATGTACATGGTGACAGGAGTCTAAATCCTTCCTGCTATAAAATTGCAACATGATGTAACCCAACACCAGTTACCATGGTCACAGATACATGATAAAATCAAATAATATCTCACCTCCACAAGTCACATCTCCGATGCACTCATTTCCAATGTTAACGTGTTCCATGACGCCGGCTGTGAAATAAGGACAAAATAAAATTATCAAATTAGGAATTTTTTTCAGAACAAGACATTATTTTGCTTTTGTTATATCACAATAATACTCATTGTTTCAGCTGATTTTGCATGGCTGCACATTACAACTTCCATATTGTAAGACCCTTTGTCCAGAGCGACAACATTTTTAAATATGTTCCAAAGATTGTCACAGCTTTTAAGCTGTTTAAAAATACGTTATCACAAAATGCCCACATATGCCACTTGGCACTAGAGCCTTCATCGAGTTCAACCGACATCACGTGATCATCTGGACAAGTGACGGCAGCAGTTTGTCGAATCTTCACTGCAGGTACTTACGATGTTCAGATGTAACATTGCACATACCTATAATTTAGCTGGTATATTGTGCTTTTTGATAAATGTGGGTTTGATGATACATTACGTACCAGGCTGAACAGGTGCGGATGTAGGCTTGACAGTTGTGGTGGTTGAGGTGGTATCTAGAAAAAATGACAAATCAAAAAAGTTTACAACAGTCTTATGTACAGTATAGCGGGATGCGGGGTCTTCTTCTGCTGCTGATGATGATGCCAGGTCTGGTGATGGGCTCCACGCGATAGACGCGATCTCACCGGTTCTACCAAGGTAGGTGGTAGAGGACAGGCGAACACAGAAAAATACAAATAAAATACGGTAAAGAGGGTTTGGTGATGATGGGTGCGGATGGGTGTTTAGGAACATAAACGTTATTGGTGGGATAAAGGGATGCCATGCTAGTGGAGGGACGCTTGTGATAATTGAGGATACGGGTGTTTGGGGTTCACGCTGGTTTAAAAAGGACGCCATTGGGTAGAGGTACAGAGGATGAGGTGTACAGACAGCACATGGGGGTACTCACATGATCAGAGACCAGGTGTTCTTTTTTTGAGGGGGTTCGGTGGAGGGGGATACTAACAAGTACACATGCGAACATTGGGAACATTTAGGGTGCGCGAACGTACAGGGGTACCAATATAAAGAGTAAGGAATCTAGGGTGAAGGTGCGTTTTGTTTGTTTGTTTCGCATAACCGGTAAACCGCCTTCAGGCGTAACACACCAGTTTTGTACATGTGCGCACATGTACAAGCTGCGTAAGACCGGACTGTAAGTTTTGAACCACTCACACCGGGAAGATCCCCTACTCTTTTCGATAAGTGCGGTGGGTTCTTTAACGTGCATGGGGTGTGGCTCTCCCCAAACACGGGACCTCCATTTAACGTCCTATCCGAGGGACGTCCCTAACCGAAGCTAGGTACTCATTTTCACCTGAGTGAAGTGAGGAAAGTCGTGTAAAGTGCCTTTCCCAAGGGCACAAGATCGGTGACATGGGCAGGGTTTGAACCCACAACCTCTGGGGTGTGAGCCGAACGCGCTACCGACTGCGCCACACGACCCCACCGTTAATGTTAGAGAGCAGACAATACTGGGTAAGAGACGTTGAAGAGAACTGACGTCGCTGCTGGTTAACACTTTGACAATCAATCATTTGTTCCGCTTATACAGATCATCCCGTTCCGCATGCTGAGTCCGGGTCCATGCATTAAACGGTTCCATGCAAATTAACGCGAATTTCACAACTTTGACATATTTTTCCATGCAGTTTTGAACACTTTGCCGTGCAGACCTTACCCGGTACGCAGTTGTGATCTAAGCCATACATATTAGACAGGTCCATGCATGCAAATTACAATTACCACAAATTTCAAAAACTCTTACAGGAGTTTTCTGCATGCAGATGTGATACGATATTCTCCATCCGTTTTAGATGGCTCCGTGCATGCAAATTTCCACGAATTTCACAACCTTTTACGGAACTTTGCTTCAGTTTTGAGCAGATGTGATCTTCTCCGTCCATATTAGACGGGTCCGTGCATGTAAATTACCAAGAATTTCGCAACCTTTCATGGGGATTTTCTCCAGTTTTTAGCACCTGACTGTGTTTAGTACATGCAAATTTCCTGGAATTTCACAACATTTTACGGGAATTTTCTCCAGTTTTCAGCAGCTAAGCCCTTACCCGGTACGCAGTTGGGCACGGGTCCGGGCGGGACCCACTGCCCGTTCAGACAAATGTACTCAGCTGCCGGCGCGGTCTGGAAGCTGTAGCCTGCGTCACACGCGGGGAAGCAGGTCTGGATGCCGAGCTGGTCGGTTCGGCAGGAGAGAGACCCGTGCGCGGGGGCGTGAAGCTTGGGACACGCTGCGGCAGAAACGGGAACTTCTGACCCGGAAACCTCTGGGTCTGTGTCCTGTGGAGCTGTGGATGACCAAAGATGTGTAAAGAGTCCCTTGCAATGTTGATTTCGACAGTAAACTTTGTGAAAGCCACATTTTATGAAGTCTCGCATGCTCACAAAATTGTACTCGTCGCAGTTCTGTTACAGGATGATCTAGGGTATTGAAGAGAATTGTTACCAATTTTGATTTCTTAATGTTAGTTTTAAGACGTTTGCGTGATTTTGTGTGACACAAGGTGCTTTTTAAGCATCGCATGCTGAATTGTACTCTTCAATCCATTGCTAAGGGCCTTGAAATCAAGTTCCGCTGGATTGAATCCCCTCAGTCGTGACTAAGACCTTACCCGGTACGCAGTTGGGCACGGGTCCGGGCGGGGCCCACTGCCCGTTCAGACAAATGTACTCGGCTGCCGGCGCGGTCTGGAAGCTGTAGCCTGCGTCACACGCGGGGAAGCAGGTCTGGATGCCGAGCTGGTCGGTTCGGCAGGAGAGAGACCCGTGCGCGGGGGCGTGAAGCTTGGGACACTCTTGGGCAGAAACGGGAACTTCTGGGGCTGAAACCTCTGGGTCTGTAACCTGTGGGACTGAAACCTCTGGGGGAAATGTGGTGTACAACTGATCAGATGTTGTTGACGATTCAGGAGTTTAAAACGTCTGCCATGGTATCCTTATGCTGCTTTTGAAAGAGGTAATATAATAATTCACTTCGATCACCCATTTTGTTTTGTAATTTGCGCACATGAAATATACATACATACATACGTACATACATACACATGCACACACACACACACACACACACACACACACACACATACACACACATTACTCTCTCTTTTTGCAGCCAAGGGCTGAATTGTGAGGAGCTTACAATTATTGAGGCTTAACCGCACGGGTATGGAGCGGCTACCATTCGGCGCTAACTCAGGTGACCTCAATACGACATATACACACTCATACATACACAAAGAGATGGCAGAAACTTCTGACCCTGCAACCTCAGGATCTGTAACCTGTGGGACTGAAACCTCTGGGAGAAATGTGGTGTGGGACTGATATCGATCAGATGTAGTTAACGATTCGGATGTCGAAAACGTCCGCAGTATGCTTGATATCTTATCACTGTTTTTTAATGTGGTAATATTCCTTTTGTTAACTCATGTTGCTTTAGTTACTTATGCACACAACATGTACAGATCTCAATTTTAAACACACACAAAAACATTAACACACGCGCACACACACACACAAACGCACACACACACATACACACACACACACGAACACCCGAACACACACACACACAAACACACACACACACACGAACACACACACACAAACAAACAAACAAACACAAGTAAACCTCTCACCCTCTGACGTCCTACAGTTGGGGTACGGTCCGGGTGGGGAGAACTGCCCGTTGACACAGACGTACTCCGCAGCAGGAGGAGACTCGAACTCGTAACCCTGCATACAGGACGGGTAGCACCTGTATAATGCAATATTATTATTAATTGATTGATTGGTGCTATTAATCAATGCTTAATGTGCATGTTACCCTAAAATGTTGATTGATCACATGGTTAAAGAAGTTACACAGACAAACAAACAAACAAACCTTTCCGTGCCGGTGTGGTCCGTCTGGCAGTAGTAAGAGCCCCAGATGGGAGGTGGGATCTTCTCACACTTCTGACCCGCTGGAACAGACAAGCGGAAAGATTAGTCTTACATGACGTACAGTAACATTTAGATATATGCAGAAAATGTGCTAGGCTTGTGTCAATGTTTTAATTGTTGCTTGTGAATATTGTTATTGTTAGATAAGCAATCTCCTATTAGGATTGGCCTAGATCTTTTGTCCATAAAAGAAACACACTATGATGATGAATAAGAGCCCATACTATTCTGTATCTCTCTCTCTCTCTCTCTCTCTGTCTCTATCTCTCTCTTTGACTCTCTCTTTATTCTAAAGACCCCCCCCCCACCTTATCCTTTTAAGCCCATTGATCATGAAAATAAACCCCTTACCGAAGACGCAGTTGGGGTAGGGTCCTGGCGGGGACCAGGCTCCGTTTGTGCAGACGTACTCGGCAGCCGGGGGGCTCTCGAACTCAAACCCGTCCATACAGCTGGGAGTGCAGGTCATTCTGCCCAGGTGATCCGTCATGCAACTGTAGGAGCCTGCCATCGGTGGCGAAATTGGGGCACACTGGGTGGTGCCTGGGGAAAAACACAGCTGCAGTTATGATAAAATTCGCTAGAAGGAGCCTGGCTATACAGCTGGGGTAACAGGTCATGCTGCCCAGGTGGTCAGTCATACAGCTGTAGGAGCCAGACAGTGGTGGAGCGATGGGGGCACACTGGGTGGTGCCTGGGGAATGAGGTGCGTCAATTTCAGTCACAAGCAGTTCCAACAAAATCCGCTAGTAGGAGCCATACAGCTGGGGTTACAGGTCATTCTGCCCAGGTGATCCGTCATGCAGCTGTAGGCGCCGGACATCGGGGGAGGGATGGCGAATCTAGGGAAAAACAGCTGCAGTTATCACTAAATCCGCTAGTAGGAGCCCAAGTGCGAACTGGTTGGTGCCTAGAAAAAAACAGCTGCATTTCCAACGAAACCCGCTAGTAGGAGCCTGGCATCGGGGGAGGGATCGGCGCGCACTGCGCAGAAACAAAGTTGAAAATAACAAGGTTTTAGTGTAGCTGCAGTTCCAACAAAATTCGCTAGCGGAAAAAAGTTTTACTAAACATCCAGCGTAAGAACAGTCGCTATTATATCAAAATCCGCTAGTAGGAGCCAGACTTTAGGTGAGCTAATGGTTCGCACTGCTTAATTATATGTATAAAAAGTTACAACAACTACGGAAAGGATAACAAGATTTCTAGCTAAAACTACCTGTAGTTCAAACAAAATTCGCTAGAAGGACCGAGGCATCGGGGAGCTATCAGTTTGCAACTAGGGGTATAACAGTGAGCTACAGTGTTAAACGAAGGTGCTACAAGGACCAAGGAAGGGGGGGGGGGTAGGGTTTATGACGTCACGTTCCACCACATGCCCTGACCTTGAGGTGAACTTCTTGCCCTGGTCGACGGTCTGCAGTTGGGGAACTGATCGCTAGGTGTCCAGGTACCGACGCTACCATCGCAAGTCAACGTGGTCTCCGGTGAATCAAACTCGTAGCCGCCCACACACGATCCGGTACAGGTCTTCACTCCACTAGAATCCATTCTGCAGGAGTAGCCACCGTACACTGGTGCTAGTAGAACCGGGCAGGAGCCGGCAGTGTTCTCACGGATGCAGTTCGGAAAGCGATCGGTAGGGGCCCACACGCCGTCTGCAGGCGTGCACACCAGGGTGGGCGCCGGGGACTGGAATACCAGACCCGGCAGACAGGTGGCGCTGCAAGTGTGGGTGCCGTGCATGTCCACGAAGCAGTTGTAGGTGCCGCCGGTAGGGGGCGCTAGCCTCGGGCAGTGAACCCGCGACGCCATTTCTTTATCTAGACGAAAGAACGAACACTGATTGGAGGGTCACTTTTTTGTATAATAAAGACCTGGATCCCTTTTTAACTGCATAAAGAAATGTTTCATCGATATCACGGTACCTTTATTTTGTCAAAACGTACCGAGTTTATTGAAAATGTTGTTTTTCCTTGTAGTTTGTTCCTATATGCCATTATTTGAGGATCAGGGCTAATAAAGGAACGTTTTCTCGGCGGTTCCTCTGGTTCTTCTAAATTTGTAAAGCCGTATGTATATGAAATAGAATAAATGTGTCTGGATTCAAAGCGTCACCTGAAGTTTTATATTATCAGTGCTGTGAGATATAAAGCTTATTTTCGGCCACCCCTCCAAATTTACCAAATTCAGAATAGTGCCTATTTATCTATTGTATTCATTAATCTTAAAACAAATGGGTAGTCCCTTCAGCCGTTGAGGCTGATTTCCAAGGGAGGCCATGGAAACACGATACGAGAAAATAATGTGACATAAAGTAATAATAATTAAACGTAACAAAGGAATTTGAATGTATTCTGCTATATAGTTGAGTGCCTGAAATGTTTATTGTTCGGATCAGGCATGGATAACCTCCAAAGCCAGCCCACGTGGACAAACGCGACGCCCTTTGTTCATCCGGGTCATCCATCCTCCCACCTGGCTTTGTTTTTACACTAAAACGCCATTTGTTGGCCTAATTCTGACAGCCCGTATCTGTTCTGCCATTGTGTTACAGGAAGGATGAGGATTTAATAGTGCTGCCTCCGCTGTGTTTTGATAAAGTGCTCTCTGCTCTAGGCGGGCACGGCGCTTGGATAATTAGTGGGCATTTAATGAAAATAATTGACTGGTAAACTTTAATACATAATTCATGTGGCCTTCTCCACCTCCCTAAGACGCCCCCATAGAGGTAGAAGCGGTCGGATAAAGTGAAGCAAGGACATTATATATAATGTCCTTATATATAATGATATGATATGAATTTTTATTGCATGTTCTTGCCTAGATGGGCTAAATGCACATGCAGTATGCAAAACATGAGTATTGCATACTGGGACGCTATATTCTAATGCTAATTGCTAGGAATTAGTGATAATGTTCTTTAGTGAAGTAAGCAAGTAAAAGAATTGTAAAGATAAACCGTTTCTGTGTGTATTGTGGTCTTTTGTTGTCTTGTCCTAAACACTGTGCATCATTTTTCAGTTTCAAAAGCATTGGTTACACAGTTTTCAGTTTATTCATACAAATCATTTGTTGGTCTCTGTACTGCCTCTCAGTGATAGAAGTCTGGTAGAAAGGGAGGGTCTTTCTCTTGACTGACGTAGCATTTTATAAAGACTTGTAAACAAAGTTTAATCTAATTGCAAATTGACTAAACTTAGCGACACATGAAAAAAAGACATTTATGCTGATATATTTCCAAGTTTGTACCGTTTCTAAGGTACTAAAATGGAGATTAAGAAAGAGTAAAGAAAAATAATCACGTCACTAGCGCAGGTTTGCGTCGCGGGGTATCAAATGCTGAGTTTACACATCAATCAGATTAATTAATGGGTCAAGAAGTAATTTGGGTAGTTTTCAATCAAAGTTAGCAAACACGCGGATCCTGTTTCGTGGACGCGGGGGAAAAGAAATAAATGAGCCCATTGTTCTAGACTTTCCACTACGCCCTAGCCTAACATTATGTCGTAGATATATTACAATTTATGAAAGTCACAAGCCCAAAATTACGTAGTTGAGACATAATTAGGAAGAAAGGAATAGGAAGACTAGTACTTTGTCTCAAGGAAAGGAACATTACACAACACAAGATCTATAGCCGTATCCGTTTTCTTGTTTCGAATCCCTGACAGGCCGCAATGTTATACCCTTCTTAAAGATGCTCCTTTTTCATTAAACGTTAAAAAAAAAGAAAAACCGAGTCAAGTGTCGGTTATAAACGTCCTCTTGAGTTGGTCGTAAAGCCGGCGGCCCCATGTTTGGAAGGGCCACACCTTGAGCACGTTAAAGATCCTACCACACTTTCTCGAAAAGAGCGGGGGTTGATCCCAGTGTAAGAGGATAAAACTTTACATTCCAGTCTTTCTTAGATTGCACTTACTGAGAAAAACTGGTGTGTACACCCGAAGGCAGTTTGCCGGTATATACCAAACTAACAAAAAAACAAAAACACGTCAGATCGTGTCCAGTAAGCTACAACCAGAGCCTGTAACTGCCATGACAGAATCTGTCAGACGTTATCTACATCCACATGTTTAAATTCTCGTCCCCCATTCAAACCATTGTGGTGCTAAGCCTGGTTATCACAGGGACCTGTAGGCTCTCTTCATTACAAAGCTTTTAACAAAGTCGCCAGTAGATATACGGAATTTAAACGTCTTACAACATACCTGGCACTGATAAGGAGTGTAAATATGGGATACAAAAGACACAGAAACAATGGTTGTTACCGGAGCTAATTGCTATTGGTGACAAGTGTACTTTCCTGGTTTCAAGGCTTGGCTACTGATATCAAAGACTCTTGCATCAAAAGTACTTTTTCATGGTACATTTACCGTAGAGTACATGCACAGCGGAGGTGGAGACATAACAGTTGATACAAGCTGCCTTTACAGTTAAAGTAAACTGCTCTTCAGTGCAACCAGATTTGAAGCTTGCTCTTCAAGATTTTTTTTCCCTCTGCCAGCAGAAAAAAAGGAATTCTACAATAGATAGTCCCCATAACTACCATAAGAGACGATACCGTTGATTTTTCTGCAGATAATTTGCATTATTCCGTAATCAAGCTGGTGTGTTACTCCGAAGGGCGGTTATACCGGCTATACAGATACAGAAGCTGGTGTGTTACTCCGAAGGGCGGTTATACCGGCTATACAGATACAGATACAGATTATATGTACTTTCCTGGTTGCAAGACTTTGCTACCTAATAATAGACTTTGCTGGATCGAAATAAAGTCAAAGGCCTTTTACCGTACGGGGAACTGTCATTAGGGCACGCGCAGATTTAACCACCAGGTCACCGATCTCTGATCAAACATCAAAAGTCCACATTCTTCCCGGGGCAACTTTGCAGACATTGCGTCAGAAAACGTCACTAACAAACCCTTACCATGGTAATGAGATACCCTTCTGACTTTTGCCTTCGTCAGAAAAAAAAAGCAACGTCATTGGCAAATAGCTGTCAAAATTTAAAAAGACTTACTTAGGTCTGCAATTAAGAATTTTGTATATTTACTATCATAATGGCATATGCTTAGTGCAGCAGAATGTAGTTTAGCATCTGGCTGTTAGTTTCTTGTTTGATCAGCAAACATATCTATCTATTGATTGATTGATTAATTGATAAGTATATCCTGGTGAATTGTACCACGTACCCACATCACGTGAACAGTTAAAAGCCCCCGTACCAGGTAAGTACGGGTCTACCAACATGACTAATCATGAAGTACTAGGAAAGTCTGGTATTTCTTTTCTTACCTACTAGTACAAATTTACCTACATTCCATGAGATGGTATAGATAAAATATTACAACTTCTACAGCAACATAGATATAAAGCAAAATAATGTCAATTTACATTTCAAAAGATTAACAAGATTAACATCATGCTTAGCATACGTAAAACTTTGAATGTAAAAAAGTAGTCTTTAAGATTTATGTCTCTGCACCAATGGGCTCGTATTTCAATCTCAAACTTTATACATAATACCTAATGTAGCATCGTCTGTATATCATTTAGAACAACATATTTTACCATTTGATGTATTATTTCTCTTTTAAAAGTACAGAGCTTAAGAGATACTAATGTTCCATTATAAGCTTTTTCAAACAATCATTCTAAGGGATATAGTAGTCACAGAGTGGTTTCTTACCTGAGTTTCGTTGGTCACGCCCTGGCTCAATGCTAAACAAAAGAAACAGCAAAATTAAAAATTGCACTTATAATTGGACAAATGGTAATTGTTGTAGAATAAATTTTAAAAGAGTGTAGAAAAAAGGGCTGTTACCTAACTTCGAAATTCAAAGATTAGGTGGTAAAGATTCATTCCATACAATGCAAAAGTATTCTTAGTTATATGCATGCAATATTGTTTTGATACTATAAAAAGTACATGATTACCATTACGGACAAGCCCCGTCTTTTCGAAATAAAATCTTGCAAATTTACCCATATTAGCCCTTATTGTTTGGCAAGTAGAATTCTAATTAAGATTTTTATTTGTAGTTTGTAGTTGACCGTACGAACGTTGCTGTTCTTTATGTTGCGCCAATACTACTTTTGTCTAAAAACTTCTCAAAACGTGTAAAGAAAAAAATTTAAGAAACTCACCTGGCCGGTGTCGCAACGGCGACCCACAACAGAAGAATCGCGACTCCCCTCATCTTCACGTCTTCTTCCCCTCTCAAGGACGACAGGTGTGTCAAGAACTTTCACTAGGTGGGCCAAGAACTTTCTCTTTGTAGGTGTAAGAAAACGGCACAGTACAGGTAAGAAATAAGAACGTGTTTAAGGACGGACGGGGTTCTTAAGTTGATCGGCCGGAGTCTTCACACCTGCCAACCCGATCTGAGACGTCTGCAGGTATATTTCTAATTTTATACACCTGGATGGAAGAGACCATTCCAAGTTTACAGGGAAATATCAGTTAAATTCTTTATCTCACTTTCTTCGTATGTATCATTATAATTTTATTTTGAACGCAAACACCTGTGGTCTATGAAATATACTAAAATATGCATGTTTTTGGTTTGCAGAAGCTGTACAATTATAAAGGTAAATAAAATAAATAAAAATGTATCCCACCCCTTGCAGATATGGACCCTTCGTTCAAATCAAATATCATCATTCATGCTTGATCAAAAGTTGACCGATAAGAAATAATAAAACATGGGTTTACATTTTTCTTTAAAAAGACGAAAAACTTCAATTTAGATTTTGCCAAAAGCTTCTTATAATCTACATAAGGTATATCGCTACCTTAAAAAATTGCCCAGAAGTCAAAATGCACCACGGGAATTATAATTTGGTTATATACAAGACGTAATTAGTAGCGAGAACGCTGCTGACCAAAGATCGGTCTGTCATTTGTGAATAATGAGAGTGAAGTACCCTGGGAACGTCAAACACCAAGTGGAATGTTATCGGCTATAATCACCCCCCACTCCAACCAATGTGCGTGTTACCAAGTTATACAAAAATACGGCAAATGTTGTGACGAAACACGGCCTGTTTTACTAAACAACGCAATCACGAGGATCAAACTTAAGGTATACAAACTACTTTCTGTGTTTTAAACAGTGATTAGGTTTAAGAAACCCACTCAAAAACCGTGCACAGAAATTTTATCGCAATGGATTTGGCTTCACGTGGATTAAGTTTAAAAGGGAGGAATTACTGAACATGTTTTCCCGTATGCGTAGTTCTTTGTAGTAAAGTACGACCTCTGGTCGGTAGTCCCAGACCGTGTAAGCAATGTGTGGGCAATGGTTCTATCGCCGTTCTAATTATTCAACGGCGTGTTTCACGTCTGTCAATGGTGCCAAGAGTGACGCTGTAGCAAACTTGCTAGTCCACTGTAATATTTCTATGGTACTGGGAGTGTTGCCCACTTGGCCAGGCTATAATGTCGAGAACCGTACCTATCTACTATTCCCTGAATAGGGTTAGGATCAGGCACGGTTTTTGGATAGTCCTGTTGTATTCAGAACCGTGACTATCTAGGTCTATGTCTGAATGGGCTAGGGTTACGATCAGGCACGGTTCTGGATAGTCTGTGTATCCAAGAACGCAGATTTGCCAAAGGCACGGTTCTAGCGCATGGACACTCCATAACCGTGCCTGAGCATTTTTATTTTCTTAGGGTGTTTCTTGTGATCCTGTGACCTCTATGATCTATCAAGTTATATGGGCATGCCATACGTCATACATAGAGGGGCGGTGTATTTTGATCAGACGCATGTTCGCACACATTAAACAGTTCACTGTCTGGCACTGCCAATGTTAATGGCGCAAGAGATATATTAAGTGTCCTTGCGGTATACTTCAGAAAAAAACACGCGCGACATGTTTGTCAATTTGTTGAAAAATTGACGTAACAGCTTTTTATTTATTTTATTTTATTTATTGAATCAGGCTTAGGGCCCAAATTAAAACAATACTTGTGGGGTCGTGTGGCGTAGCGGCAGAGTGCTCGACTCGGAACCAAGAGGTCCCGAGTTCGAATCCTGACATGCCACCCATCTTGGGAAAGGCACTACACACGACTTTCCTCACTTCGCTCAGATGAAAATGAGTATTGTCCGTTCATGCGTTTGTCCTCTGTGTTGGTGGCGGCATAAAAATAAGATGAAAAACTCTGGTGTGCCGCCACCATGCCTTGTGATAAAATGTCGGAATAAAAAAAAGCCCTAGCCACAAGACCAACTTGACACCACAAGTATAAAAGTACCGTGAACTTGACTTTATAAGTGATAAATGTCAAGTGTTTAAGTGGTACCTGCTGACGACACGTCAGATTCCTTTAACCCTACACAGGTGGTTGACATGCTGGCAAACATTACAAAAGTCAGCGGCAATTGTAGCCTGATTAATGTACGAACTGACTTATATGATTAGAAACATGTAACGACAGAAGCTTTGAAGTTCAACCTCACCAGGGAACTTTATTGTACGGGGAAATGTTTATTTAGGTCGGTATGTGTGTAGGTAAACAATTCAGGGCAGCGCATACCTAACTATAGCTGCACAGCCTAGAGTCCTCAGCTGTATCCAGAACTTAGCCTCTACCAGGCTTCGGGAGGCGGCTGGAAAGAGTAGAAATTGGCCAAATAGAGGGATAGCATGCCGAAGGAGTTGGTCTGCTGGATCCAGAGAGAACTTTTCCGCACCCGAACTGTTCTCTCCAGCAGACCAACTCCTGTTATTTCTATCCAGCCGATTTTATCTACTCTTTCCAGCCGCCTCCCGAAACCTGGTAGAGGCTATCCAGAACTATGTTTAGCATGCTTTATCTAGAACCATGCTCAGGCACAGTTCTGGATAGTTTGCGTGTATCCCAGAAACTTGTTTTATCCAGAACAATGTTCAGGCACGGTTCTGGATAGTCTACGCGTATCCCAGATACGCAAATCTACGTCCTCGGATTCAAGAAGACTATCCAGAACCGTGCCTGATCCTAACCCTAATCCATTTAGCCTTCCACATCACGACAACTCGGCAACGTTTCAAAAGGCAGGAACTCCTAATCCCCAAGTAGATCTTTTGCTGGCTGCAAGACAGTAGAGAATTGGCCAGCCTGTATCCATTTGCCGGGGAGCTACCATTTGCCACCCTAAAGGATACGGCCTGGTCAATAGTTGATACTGTCTTGCAGGCACCAAAATATTTGCTTGGATATTAATGCACTCTTTCAAGTGCTATTACTATGACTAAGTCTATGACTAGGATTTTTGATCGTAGGTAGGAATTCGTCCCTTTTTTGTTAGATTTTGATTGCAATCATTTAAAGAAATACAGACTAACTGTTGACCTGCTGGTATGTTTTGCGCATTTGTTAAAAATTATTTGATTTCTTAAACATGTCATTGACCCTTGACTTCTTCTGCGCTGCTGTGGCATTAGTTTTCATACTTCCGCATTCGGTGCCAAAGAAGCCCACAGAAGCTGACCTTGATTAAATCAAGGATATCCGCAGAAAGTAGGTCAAGCTTCCACTGAGCGTCTCAGGTTTAATAGTGAGAAGTACCAAAACATTTGCATCTCCTCGCAAATTGGTGAGGGTTTTTTTCCAGGTAAAGTTGCATCCAGCGGACTACTAGCCTTTATTTCTCGCTGCCAGGGGCTAATTGGAAGACCTCTAGGAGCGCAATTCAGTCAGGCTTCCTTAGTGGCTTTTAGAATATCTTAGGTTGAACTTGAAGGGTTGCCAAGATGGCGGCTGGCAGTTCTGAGCTGCGGCGGGTGGAAGATTTCCGTCTTGCTGCGGAAAAAACCCTGCCCGAAGCCGCCTGGCAGTACTATAGCCAAGGGGACGGGGATAATCAAACTCTGAGGGACAACTGCGAGAGCTTCAAAAGGTAGGCACCCAATTTTTAGAATAACTATACCCTTAAACATAGGTATAGGCCAAAAGGTTATATTTTCGATTGTAGTTCGCTGTACGGAATAGGGATTTGTAGGTATGAAATTGATGAGTAGGTCTATTAAATCTACTTATTACAGACGTCATACAAAACGAATACGTAAATTAAGAGTAATCTAACATAAGATACAATATTATGTTTATAATATATATAATTTGTATAGCCCTCTCAAACGCTACCTGTGTTATTAAAGTCATTTGAATGAGCATTGTAAACGTTCTACTGATTATCATAAGAGCTAGCCCTTTTGTAGGGACTATCAAATCGAATCCAAACTCTTTCCGCATGCAGGTACCGTGTGTTGACACGGGTCTTACGCGATGTTACCACTATAGACACGACAGTCTCAGTGTTGGGCACAACCCTGGACTTTCCTGTCGCCATCGCCCCAACAGCTCACCACAAAATGGCGCATGCGGAGGGAGAGAAGGCTACAGCTAGAGGTAAACTGTCATGATAGTGATAGTCCAGCCCTCACCATGGTTACCCGTGGTGTTTGATTTCAGCATGTAGCAAACGGCTTGGTCACTATGGTTACTGGTGGTGTTTGATTTCACCATGTAGCAAACAGGACCCAGGAACAGGCTAGGTCACCATGGTTACTGGTGGTGCTCAATTTCACCATGTAGCAAACAGGGGCTGGTCACTATGGTTACTAGTGGTGTTCAATTTCACCATGTAGCAAACGGGCGGTCACCATGGTTACCGGTGGTGTCTGATTTCACCATGTAGCTAACGGGAGCGGTCACCATGGTTACTGGTGGTGCTTGGTTACACCATGTAGCAAGGCGGTTTCAGACCTTTTCAACTAATACTACTTTGAATCTAACATTATATTTTAAGCTACATCATGTGAAGGAAACCATTTTACATTTGATTGTTAACGTTACCTTTCTGGTAAAGACTAGTTGACTAATCTGTTTAAAGTTGTCAAAATCATAGATGTCAAAATCATAGTTACAAGATATCTCATGTTCTTACCCAGCCGCTGCCGCCGCTAAAACAGCGATGGTTCTCAGTGTATACGCAAATCATTCCTTGGAAGAGGTAGCAGAAGCCGCACCCCAAGGAACTCTCTGGTTCAACCTGCTTCTGTTTAAGGACCCGGAAAGAAACAAAGAACTCTTGGACAGAGCGGCAAAAGCGGGCTATAAGGCCATAGTTCTGACGGTCGACCAGCCGAGATCCGAGTATCTGAAGCGACCAGCAACAAGCATGGCAAAACGCAAGGCACAAACCTTCCACAGGTAAGACTTTAACTGATTCAAACTAACCAGTAAGCACACAAGGTATCACTAGAAAATTTTTAAAATCCGAAGATCTGATACCTATCTGATCCGTTTAGATTTTTTTCTTAATTGTTTTTACTCAGTTTCTTCCTCTTCTCCAAACAGTGACCTCCGACCTGACCAATGACATGATTTGTTGACGTCTGTCACCATGGTGACTGGTGTTGGGTTACATAATGTTGCAATTTCGTGGTCTGCTCTGCTCCTGTCACCATATACTATTAGTACATGCATGTGAGTGTGTTTGAGTAAGAATTAACAGAGCAGACCATGTCCGAAGGTAAACATTATGCATTTCCTTTGCAAATGTTACTTCTCTAGTTCCTTATTCTATTCATTCAGCGTACCAAACATGATGTTCCCAGGCGCGCCGCCTTACGGGACGGAGAAGTACCGCAGCTGGCTGTACTCGGCGCTGAAGCAGCCTATGACGTGGGATGACGTAGATTGGCTGAAGAAGAATACGACTTTGCCCCTCGTGCTAAAAGGAATTCTTACAGGTGAAAATTATTTAGCCTGCAAGTGAAGGTAAATTTAGAAAGCCAACCTTAGTTGACATATTCATAATCAATGTAGAGACGGGGGACGAAACAGGCTTTCTGCGACATTTGACCCATTGTCAAGGTGAGTAATTTTTTCCTGATTAAGAACTGAATGACAGTAAAGATAATAAGGTTATTTTTCCCATAGTATTTGAACATAAGTTGCATTCAAACATATAGGAGAATCTCTAATTAGTATGAAGTAAAGAGAGAGACTAAAACCTCCTTGTTTTTTTTGTTTTTTTTTTGTAATTGTGATTACCTTTTTTGTCCACTTTTTTTCCTTCCAGCGGAAGACGCCAAAGAAGCAGTTCGTCGCGGCGCGGACGCCATCTTGGTGTCCAACCACGGCGGAAGGCAGCTGGACGGAGTGCCCGCTACGGTACGTTTTTGACACTGCAACTTTTTTCATGTATACAAGCGACCATTTCAAAGTTTACATCGGTTTCTGAAATAAAATGTGTCCAGCCTCGGCAGCAATACCTTTACAGGTGGCTGGCGTACGTTGTTTTTAACTTCAAACAGACCTGAAATATTGATGGGCAACCTGGCTTTTTGGCTTAGATTGCGCAGTAAGCAACCTGAAAAAAAAAAAACATTTCAAACACTGGACTAATATCTACATATTTCTACAGATTGACGCTCTGCCTGACATCGTCCAAGCTGTTGGCGGCGAGACGGAGGTTTACCTGGACGGAGGTGTGCGGACTGGAACGGACGTACTGAAGGCCTTGGCTCTGGGAGCCAGATGTGTGTTCATCGGCAGGCCCGCGCTATGGGCACTGGCATGTGATGTAAGTATTGCTCACCGTTAGCCAGTAGTTACTGTTAACGGTGGTCACCGTTAGTCAATAGTTGCTGTTAACGGTGGTCACCGTTAGTCAATAGTTACTGTTAACAGTAGTCACCGTTAGTCAATAGTTACTGTTAACGGTGGTTACCGTTGGTCATTATTTACTGTTAACGGTGGTCACCGTTAGTCAGTAGTTACTGTTAACGTTGGTCACCGTTAGTCATTAGTTACTGTAAACGGTGGTCACCGTTAGTCAATAGTTACTGTAAACGGTATTTGTATCAGGCGCTTGTAATGTATGTGTGGAAGCGTTGTAGGATTGTTGACGTTACAAAAATGACAAATATATCAAATGCACGTGACCTGTCTTTAGCTATAGATCAACTTAAGAGATCAGCTTTCACGTCATTTTGCACCATTTAGCTCCGATGAATTTATTTATATACATCATACAGATTGAAACTTTTGATCCTATTTCCAGGGTGAAGGTGGTCTCTTTCACCTTCTCAACAACCTGAAGGAGGAGCTGGTTTATGCAATGGCCAGAACAGGTGTGTAGCAAGTTTTAAAGACAGAAACAAAGTATTTTTTTCATGAATTCATTGGAACAACCAATGAAATTATATTATGTACATTGTACATAATATAATTTCATTGGTTGTTCCAATTTCATTGGTTGTTCCAATGAATTCATGAAAAAAATACTTTTTCATGAATTCATTGGAACAACATTGTACATAATATAATTTCGTTGGTTGTTCCAATGAATTCATGAAAAAATACTAATGTAGTTGAATAAGGATTAAGACAGAAACTGAGCAGGGTTTGAGGGTCACACGATGAAAACATTTGCTTCCTTAATTTCCTCATGTGTCGACCTCTAATTTGTCGCCCCCAGGCGAGATCCTGGGACCGTCAAGTTCACCCCATTTCCTGTGCCTGACATGTTAACCTTCTGTCTTTGCCTCTTGATCTTTCCAACCCACGTGCACGTGCTGTCAACCTACGCTGTGCGGACAAACATACACACAAACCCACAGCTCGGCTACTCAAAACAATACGTCCGTACCTATAAGTAACAAATAAACAATCTACTTTTTGTTGAATCTATACTACAGCTCTCTTTTTTTTTCTATCTTCCATGTAGGATGTGTGAAAATTGCTGACATCGATTCATCCCTGGTGGTTCACGAGTCTTACTTAAGTTCGCGACGTGGAAATAATTAACCTAGAACTCATATAACCAGTGACAATGGCACATTTCTTTAGTAAAGTTGTAGCGCCTTGATGCAGAAGGCAAATCTTTTATTCCTCTTTCAAAAGAAAACAAAACATTGTGTACAAGCCTCTTACTTTGTCCAAGTGTCAAGTAATAAAAATTAGTAAAAACAGTTATTCTCATTAAATAAGACGAGGGTCTTGAATTAGTAAAATTTAACATAAAAATGGCGTCTGTTATTATTGTGCTGCATTGCCTGTCTGACCGGTTGACCCACTTTAGTCATTACCTTCACGTGATAGGTGCGTGGCAAGTTAATGAATTACCCCCAGGCACACGCGACATGACAGAGCCACTAAGCCTGTAGTCTCCGCATTGTATACAGACTTAGACGACCTTCGGACCACTCATTCTTACATTCTTAGACAATCCTAAGATCAAATCAAGATGGCGGCTCCTCAAAACCATGATGTCTCCAAGGAGAAGGTTCTAGGTGTGACCCGCCCTGGAATTAAGCCTGACGAGGTTCTAGACTTCTACAAGAAGTGGTCTAAGGAGTATGACAAGGTGGGTTCTAGTTTAAAGAGACATAGGCTTAAGTTAGACACCGAACCTATGCCATGCATCTTCGGGGGGGGGGGGTGCCATGTAACTTTAATATTCGGGGGGCTTGTTGGCCCTGGAGCCGAGGAGCTGGCCTGTGTAGACCCTGGGAACACGTCACTCACACCCATTAGAAACGCTCATTATGTGAAGGACGATACTAATTAATATGTTTTAAAGGATCATGAAAAATATTGGTAGGGACAAACTATCCTCTAAACAAACGTTACCTGTACAAGCACAGAGTAAATATGTTGCTACGACATTTTAACAATGGCAGAGAAAGCAGTTAGACAGGTTTGTCTATAGATAGAGAGGTCAGTCTTATTTACGCTTGACCAGGTACGTTGAAATATACAGTTCACAGTGGTGCAACAAAAATGGGACCGATTAAGTCATTATGGGGTCATGGCAGGTCATTTCTGCCATCAGTTGCTAATGGATATTCGTGACCTGAATTTCGAATTAGATTAGATTAGCTTAGATTAGGCCAAAATATCTCATTTCGATGGTTGCAATTGAACTTTGGAGCCCCAGTTTTTCAAATGAAATAAAATCAAGTCAAAGAAATTCACACATGAACTAGAGTTCGTGGAACACATGCTTTCGTCAGGTGTAGATATTTTGTTTTATTACCTTCGCCAAGAATGTTATGTTTTCCATAGCATTTGTGTGTGTGTTTGTGTATGTATGTATGTGTGTGTGTGTGTGTGTGTGTGTGTGTGTGTTTGTTTCAGTGTGTGTGTTTGTGGATGGATGTATGTGTGTGTGTTTGTGGATGTATGTATGTGTGTGTGTGTGTGCGCGCGCGCGTGTGCGTGCGTGCGTGTTTGTGTGTGTAGACCGGTACCTGTGTGTGTGTGTGTGTGGTTATGTGTATGTGTGCGTGTATGTGTGCGAGCGCACACGTGTGTTTGTTTCGTAAAGCAGTGAAGGGTGAAGTAAGGGTGGGTAAGGGAGTGAAGTCTGCCATCTCTGATCACCCTTTACTATGTCCTGCAGGACCTAGACGGAGAAGAGTATGGTGGCCCGCGGAAGGTGGCCCAGACTCTGGCGGCGTTGCTAGGCAACCGGAGGGACGCGCGGGTTCTGGACGTGGCGGCAGGGACCGGGCTCTGTGGGCAGGAGGTTTGTTTGTTTGTTTGTTTATTTATTTGTTTGTTTGTTTGCTTGTTTGTTTTAGCCTGAGTGTAAGCCTTTTTAGCTTTCGTCCGCTCCCCACGATCATGAGCTCGAGGAGCCTGACGAAAGCTAAAAAGGCTGATACTCAGGCCATGTTTGTTTACCTTCGCAGAAGGAAAACATATTGTTTTTTCTCTCAATATCTTCCTCTTCCTCTCCAAAAAAAATAAGGTCAATGACCTGGGCCAGACATCTGTCATCATGGTAACTGGGTTATTTCACCGTGGTTATTTCGGCCCAGTCCTGCATCTACTTTCAGTCATTCTTTGTCAATATATTCCCAAGTTTGTACTGCATATAAAATCGTTAATTTCTACAATCCTTTCCTTTTTCTTCTTCCATTTTTCTGAAATAAAAAAAATTATGGTTTCCATGCTTGCTCCACAAGTATCGCTTCATTTTATGGCAATGTACTTATTCCACGTGCGCTTTGCGTACTCTTTTTTATTCTTCTTAATCGACCCTCCTTTTTATGTATGAAACATTTACAATGTTTTCCAGTTGTCAAGTCTCGGTTTCTCTAACCTTGACGCCTTAGACGCAAGTCAGGACATGTTGGACGTCGCCAAGACCAAGAACGTCTACAAGAACTTCCTAAAGGAATTTCTAGGGCCTAACCGTCTAAACATCGAGGATGGTAAGTAGGTTTTAATATTAAATGTTCAATCAAGGAAATTTTTTTAGGCTTTAGAAGAATGTTTAAATTTTAATTTTTTTTAATGACAACCACGAAGACTTGCTCTTTTGAAATAAATTATGAATTTCAAACTGTTTTTATAATGTCTATTAGTAAGTTACGCCATGTACCTGTTAGCCTGGAGTCCTTAAATTACTGTGGACAATACTGTGGAGATACGTATTTTTCATGATTAATAATTCCTAAATTTTAAGGAGAAGGACAATGAACAATCCTTGCATGCCTCTTTCCTCCTTTTGCACACTGTTCTTTTCCCTTTTCTTTTGCAATTTTGTTTTCATGCTTGCAGATACATATGACGGTATCACGGCCTGTGGGCTATTCTGTGATGGTCACGTGGGTCCTGACTGTTTGGATCAGCTGATCAGGGTGGTCAAACCCGGTACGTAGAAACACGTCTTACGACAGGTAATAACCTGTCATAACAACACACGACAGCTTTTTTTTATAAACTTTACTCTATTGCTATCATGAAAGTTCATCTGTGTTGGTAGTTACATGTTTAAAGTTAAAACTTTTGGTCCAACACAAAAATTTCTCTAACCAAGAGCTTTTGACCAGTCACTCTGGTCTTCCTCAGTAGACTGACCCAGTGAGCCTTGTCACGTGGCTTTTTTGAAGTGTGACGTCAACACTGGGTCAAAGGTATCTGTTAGATGATGTCGGCCCCCGTCGCGGTTAAGTGAAGAGTGACTGATCGAAAGCTCTAGGTGAGAGAACTTTTCATGTTGGACCAAAAGTTTCAATTTTAAACTTACTCTATTGCTGTTATATTTATCTGATTTAGCAATTTTCTCGCCAACAGGTGGCTTCATTTGCATCGGCCTTCGGGAAACTCTTCTCCATACTTCAGAGAACTGCAAAACCCTTGAACCCCGCATGGAGGCGCTGCAGAGCGATGGGCTGTGGCAGCGGGTTTCCCGGGAGGTATTCCCAGGGTACTGCGTTGGGTTTGACGGAGTCGTCTATGTCCATAAAGTGCTGTAACCTGTCACATTTCAAACAAGAGTTTCATTACCTCATACCTTTGCCAAATGTCCTTCTTCGAATATTGTTCAACAAACGCTCCTGCAGTTCTAGAACGGGCAGCTATGGAGCCCAAACTCATGTCACTTCTTTCCTATCCCAAGAGCTGTCTACCAAATTAAAAATTCGTGACCCTAACATGTCCAGATCATGTAAAAACCGGAAGTTCCTTTGCAGCACCAACGAAAGCCGCCAGGGGAGCCAAAAGCAAATAATTTCTAGGTCTCACCAAGACCTACCCACCTACCAACTTTCATAACAATGCATGTAAAGCTTCTTGCGTTATACTGTGCACAAACAAACAAACAAACAGACTGACAAACGCCACTGAAAACATAACCTTCTTGGCGAAGGTTAATATGTCTAATCGCGAGCTCGAGAAATGCCACCAATACGCACATTTTCATACATGCTATATAGACACACTTGTAACGTTGTACTCCATACAATAAAGTTTATTACCATAAACAAGAAACATTATCCAAGAAGGTGTATTGTCTGTGTTCTTTACACTTGAATATAATCTAAAGAAACCGGTAGGTATCGGCGATTCTACCAGATTGCAATGACTACCCTGATATAGGCACAACTCACAATGGTTATGACATCGATTATAACAATAATAGCAGAAAACAGTGGAATACGGTGACTATCTATTTAACCTATAACGTGATATTTCAGAAACAAAAATAATCAAAAATCAAAATGAAACTAGAAAGGTAACATTTTCAAAGCAAATGCACAATGTTTACCTTCGTATATGGTTAACCCTGTAAATTCCTACTCAAACACCTTCATACATATGGTTACACGAGTCTAAATCCCTCCTGATATAAAATGGCAAAATGATGTAACTCAACACTAGTTACCATGGTAACAGATAGTCTGGTTCAGGTCATTGACCTTTTTGATTTAGAGAAGAAGAAGAAGAGGAAACGTAGCAAAAACCATATGTTTTCCTTCTTTAAACATAATAACTATCGCTGCTCCATCACTCTTGTTTCGTATTGCCATTGCGACCGATGATAACAATGAAAGCAAAAAAAAAACCCGGTGGAATACTATAAATCAATTTGACCTGTAACGTGCATCGATATTTCATAAACTAGTGAAGAAATTTAAAAAAAATGAAAATGAAAATCGCTACTCCATCACTGCTGTTTCTTGTTACCATGACGACCGACCCAGCTGTCCATGCTGTGATGCACGCCCGATGCATCCTGGGAAGAGTCTAGCTGCCACTGTGGCATCAGCCTGTAGGGTCAGACAGACGCACGGTTAGAAATTAGCGCCACCTGGGGACGAAAACTACCCTCGGCGCCAGACTAGTAATCTCCAAGCAGATTTTTTGGTGGGGGTAAGTCTGTAACCGTTTCCCCACCCCACCAGACTAGTATCGGGCCGTTTACTCTCCAAGTAGAGGTTGATGGTGGAAGATCGTTTGCTTTTTATATATGGCCCTTTTTTTGTCGCCACCACCACCAACCTCTGCCTGCACTCGCACAGCCAAGGGAGGTTTCGACTGCAGGCAGATCTTGGGTGGGGAAATGGTTACAGACTGGCCAATTTGATACACCAAAAGATCTGCTTGGAGATTAAATATTTTCCTTGTCAGTTACTGCCGCAAACTTACCCCTTGAGGTTGGCGAAAACGGCAACTGAGCGCGGTATAACCAGCATGAACTGGTTCCTCTGTACGGCCGCAACAATCTCCCTGACCACATCATCAGGGTCCAACATGACCGTGTTCCTGGGGAAAATATTGGAATGAGTTTCGTGTTGATACAAAGAACAATTGGTCATATTCATAATATATGGCATGGCCATAAGACATTAGCCTATTTTATTTGTTTGTTGGCTCCAGCATGGTCGTACGTGTTCCTGGGGAAAATACAACAAACGAACTAGAAAGGTAACAATTGCAAAATAACTGCATAATATTACATTCGCATGGCCCAGCCTAACAAACTACTGCTTTGTTTATTCTTACTCAAACACACACACAAACACACACACACACACACACCAAACACACACACACACACACACACACACATATATATATATATATATATATATATATAGGGTTTCAAAAGGTGGCCTTACTTGAGTTGGACGCCAGTGAACATGCCGGTATTGATGAAGACCGGACAGACGCAGGTCACGTGAACACCGCTCTTCCCTTGAACCCTGATCTCCGCCTGAAACATACAGTACGGTTTTCTAGTCACGTGACTGTGGCGTAGTTTTGCGTCGGCCATTTTGGTGGTTTAAAACCTAGCGCTACACTAAGCCATGTATGTGAGGGAAAATACATGGTAATCTTAGCGCCTGTATTGCTTATTATAAACGAAGACCAAACCAGTTCGATTTTTGTCCACAAAGCCGTGTTTATTAATAGATAAAGTTTAACTTATTTTGCCATCAGGTGTTACTATAGCAAGGTTTACAACAAGTTAGTTACAGGGTCTTCGTCATGTTCGATATATATCGCCAAATACGGGCAGATTCCGTTGTAATAATTGTGTTGAAATAAAATGTGAGTGAGAGTGAGTGAGTGAGTGAGTGTGTGAGTAAGCGGGTGTGTGTGTGAGTGAGTGAGTGTGTGAGTGAGTGTGTGATTGGGTGTGATTGGGTGTGTGAGTGAGTGAGTGAGTGAGTGAGTGAGTGAGTGAGTGAGTTCGTGCGTGAGTGACTGAGTGAGTAAGTGAGTGAGTTACCCTGATGGCCTCGGCGAACCCCAGGGCGCCGAACTTGCTGGCACAGTAGTCTGCCAGCCCAGCCACTCCGAACAGCCCAGCGGATGACGCGATGCTGACAAGGTGCCCGTGATTCTGCTCCAACATGTGCGGGAGGAATGCCTTCGTCGTCTATTGGGAGAGGTTAATTGGCATAAATTAGCATAATAATGGTTAATTTGCATATATTAGCATAATGCGGACCGGACATGCCTGCCAGTCTGCCTGCTGACGCGATGCTGACCAGGTGCCCGTGGTTCTGTTCCAACATGTGGGGAAGGAACGCCTTCGTGGTCTGTTGGGAGAAGGTAATTCGCATATATTAGCATAATGGTGACTAATTTGCATATATTAGCATAATGCAGACCGGACATGCCTGCCTGCCAACATGTGCGGAAGGAACGCCTTCGTGGTTGATTTGCATATACTTGCATACTTGTGGTTTATTTGCATATATTTGCATGACGGTGGTGAATTTGCATATATTAGCATAATGTCGGCTATTTTGCATAAATTAGCGCAATGTTGATTAATTTGCAAGATTTATGTTTATGTTTTTTAAGTTTTTTTTTTCACCTATTATAATTTTTTTTCACCTAAGTTTTTTTCACGATTTTGGATCAGGGACTCAGTTATGATGGCCTTTTCTTACCCAGAAGTGTGCGTTGGTGTTGATGTCCATGGTTTTCTGGATGAGGTCATCAGGGCAGTCCAGAAACTTCCGTCCCGACACGATCCCAGCGTTGTTCACCAGGATGGTCACGTGACCCACGCTGTCTTTCACCTGTCAATCAAAAATCATGTTTGACATCAGAATCCAGGGTTTGAAATACATTTTTTTCTGACTACAAGAACTACCTACCACCCAAAATTTATGTCCAGATCTGTTGTAGTACCATAACAATCTGCTAGGGGGGCTAACATCTAATCATTCCGAGGTCTTATCAAGACCTACCCACCTACCAAATATCAAGACACCCAACCCAAGCCTCAAAGTATTGTGTTTCATACATACATACATACAGACAAACACACATAGACATAGGTTCAACGTCCGCCCGGTCACTGACCTCCTGAGCGGCCCTGTAGATGTCTTCCCTCTTGCTACAGTCGCACACAAAGCCGAACGCCTTCCCTCCTTCCTGCCGGATCATCTGCACAGTCGCCTCGTTCGCCTCCTTGTTGATGTCCCAGGCGACGATGGTGGCCCCCAGGCGGGCGAAGCTGAGCGCCATGCCGCGGCCGAGCCCGCTGCCCGCCCCGGTGATCAGCACGATCTCGCCCGAGACCGACTTCTTGCCGGCCGGGAAAACCAGCCGAACAAGGTTGATCAGTCCCCCGATCGCCGAAACCAGTAACAACACACCGTATTGTAAGGTGATCAGAATTCCTCTTAAGAGAGACATCTTCGTCTTTGAGCGGCTAACAACTTACACCTGGGGCACTCAATAGTAAGTGTTAGTGAAAGGAGTGACAGTGAACTACGGAACTACTTATAGTAACCTCTGACCGCTAGGTTAGTTTTACCCGAGCGCCCTTAAGGCCGATCACGTGATCAGTAAGTGACCTCTGACCGCTGTTAGTTTACGCAGCGCCCTTAAGGTCGATCACGTGATCAGTTGGTTAAACACCCCTGCTTTGCATGCAGTAGTCTTTGGTTTGCTTCCGGCCTACATGTTTTGGGGGCAACGCTCTGACAAAAAGGTCAAATATATATATATATGCAAATGTTTTCAAGTACGTGCAAGTACTAGTATATTGATGCTTATTGCAAAGTTTGTTTTTTTCAACACACAGGAACACACACACACACACACATACATATATACAAACATACATTCCCAAACTTGTCCACTCAGAGATCAAATTATTTCCCCCAACCCCAGTCTGAAGAAGAAAAAACCAACACTTAGACACCACGTGTTTTAGCAAAGCACAAATTGTATTTACATTATACAAATGTACAATGGAAAGAGTACAAACTTACAAACGTGTCCACACAGACTTTGTTAAATGTACAAACCTTTCCAACATCTCACAGTTTAACTATCGTCTCTTCTCTCTAATTCCTCAACTTTTAATGTTTCAACCGAGAAACAAGAATTTTTGCCAGTAATTTCACAAGAAACTGAAGCAAATTAACCTTCTCCCTGCCGCCTAACCCTGCGACCAACATAGATTTGGTGCTGAAAGTCTAATACAGCAGGGAGAAGGTTAATATTAGAATGGTCTCTACCTCTAGTGTAGCCAGTAGAACTCTTCTATTCATTCACAAATAGAAAACTAGTAGCTACAAGAATCAAGATAATGGGATTTAGATGGATTCCAGAGCAAATTTAAGTATCTTTAATTGAAATGAACTCATTACTGGCAGTTGGATTTTCACCTATGCTAAAAAGACGGTTTTTCTAATTTTTTACCGACATACTTAGAAACAGAGCAAATGCTACATGTAGCACGAGTTGAATGTTGAAACTTGTAAAATGTGTTTGAACGATTGCCGACAGAATATTTACTATATTTATGCAAAATTTTCATAGTTTGATCATTGGTTTGGCAAAGTGCAAGCAACTGCAAAAACAAAGGAAAATACTGTTCATTTTTCTACGATCGCAACATATAACATGAAACATGGTCCTTAGGAGAACTTCAGAACTTACTTAATCAGCAATTCATCTGAAAGCCAACTGGTACCATTGCTGATATCTTTAGTGCAATAACAGAATATGATAGGTTGGTGTGATTTAAAATTGCCTTGACTCTTGATGCAGTACCACCACTGACTGATAGCCGGCATTCCAGTACAGCGAAAACTCCAGAAGCACTACAAGCAAACAATAACCACTATACAATACAGAATTATGCACGAAACAAGGCAATAAAGACAGAATTCAACAAATAACACTGAGAAATGACCTCTCAATTCTAAAACTTAAGCCATTCTAGTGCTAAATTATCTTGAGTATATGAATCTTATATCCAATGTAATAACATTTAACTACAACAAAGAGGTACAGTACTTAAAACTCACAATTATAGTAAAACCTACAGAATAATAAACATATACACTGTCCTGAAAACATCTGTACAACTCATTACAAAATAAATTTGACATCATTGTTACAATCATTGATCTGCCTGTGGTGCATCTATATAATAGACCACATCTCGAGACAACAGAGAAATAATAACAGAAAAACTGCTACAATCATCGTAATTCCCAACTGCCAATTTTCTTCCATTCAAACCCAAATGTTTCTCTTAGGCCACACCAATTCAATTTGTTGGGTCTTAAAAATGAGATCCTTGACTGCAGTGATAAAAAATTAGCAGAGTCTGACAAAAAAGACTACACCAAAAATTTTGACAAAAAAGCCTACTAGATATATTATTAGGCAAATGCAAGTTTTCCACCCAGCCTTCTGTCTTGTGTTTTGTCTTCATGCTACATTTGTACTTTGAAATGTCTGGAACCAAGGAAATATATTGGTGTGGCCTCAAAACATTTTCAAACCTTCTTCACTTATGCAGTTATGTCCATAAGTAGGCAAGACTCACTGGTAGGGTTTAATCAACGCAAACAACCTACAGTAATATCAGTGACAGTATTCTGTACAAAAAGTCCACTATTTAGAATTGCTGACAAAAGATACTGTGTTCAAACTGAGTTCATACAAGACAACTCTCTTTCATGCACACATGTACTTGTAATTGTACCTCTCTGCTTCCATTTACTTTATTCAACCCTATACTGTGTAGATTTAACTGTAAGAAACTCAGAGTCTGCAAAATTGTCTTTTCTTCACGTCTTCCTACCCTGACGTTGATCATAGACCATTCCTGCATATACATGTACACACTTTGGCCAATACCCTTCAGACTTTCCCTATATAATGTTTCAATCTTATACATACTTTTTCTTTTTCCCTGTCATTCTTTTATACTTTTTTTCTGTACTATTTCGACTCAGCCGTACAGAGTACTACCATATCCTCTCTTCTTTTAAAGTTTAAACTATTTCTCACAATGAAGTTGATTTTAACTTTGGTGGAAAGATTCCTGTATTCTTAAATCTTCAGCCATAGATATACATAGATTCTGTAATAGGCTTTCTCTACTTTTTTTTGTCTACGAATAGTATTTTCAATTATATGAGGTATGTGCTTTTTTTGTTAACCAAAAATATCTTGGACGGTGCCACTTTTAATTTAATACCAACTTTTTTCATTAAGCACACACTCTTTCTTTTGTCATATGCAGCACCAAATTTTTCCCTTTCCCACAACAGAAGACCTGTACCTCCCCATTTGAAAGTGGAATGGTCCAAAAATGCCAACAGTTACGACTACCCTATTGCTACTGTAATGGTTCAGGCCAGAGACATACATATATACAAAGAACATCAGGGGCAAAAAACACCCCCGCTTCGACAGTAGTATTGCCCAGATCTACACTAGTTACTACAAGTGGTCACACATTCTGGACCATCCGAATTAGACAAATGGGGGTGGACAGCATGCGCTGGGAGAGAGATCACAGTTGTGTGTGTAAGGTTACACAGTCAGCCTGCCCTCCTGTAGTGTGGGTTGTTACTTTAGATGAAGGGTGGGGAGTTTTCCACATCTATTCCACTGCTGGGCCGTCCCTGAAGAAAAAACACAACAACAAACAATATTGTTTACTATTGTCATACACAATATGACCATTGAAAAAATTAAAATGGCCTTACTCAGAACAAAGTGTTGCTTTTAACTCTTTAATCAAGCATTTTGCACTTGCCAACATTATGACCCCTGACCTAACCTCTGCACTTTGACATGGTGTAGGAAATTCAGTTTGACCTCTGACATAGTTTGAGAGACAAAATTGCTTTGGGTCTAAGGACACGGAATATCACACACTGTATAATACTCAATGAGAAAACCTAAACTCTATACAGAGTGTAAACCAAGAACTCAGAGAACAGAGTAACACAAAAAACCAGCATGAACAGGCAGGTTAGAATGTGGTTAAAACAAGATGAGTAAAGAATACACAATCATAAGAAAAGAAGCAAAAGTATGTTGATGAAGGTTAGACACCCACTGCAGGTAGAATATTACAAAATGCAAAACAAGTCAAGCAACTGGATTGGTTTTCAGAAGAGCCATTCTTCATAGAATTTATCCAGTTGTTTGTTTCATTTTGCATTACGTAAAGAAGAGGTTTTAGTAGTTTTCAGGAGAAAATTAATGACAAAATCAAAGATGCCACCAAGAGTACCTCCAGAGAAAGAAGTTTTTCCCTTCACCTGTGACTAACAAGTAGAACTGGTACTGAAACAAAACAAAACAAGGGAAGGTACATTAAACATAGGGACGGCATGCAAACAAACAATATCAACATAGGTGCTGACTAAAGACTTGTATGAGTTTATTAAAGCTTTACATCTCATCTATTTGTAAATGTATTGAGGAGACAAGGAAATATATGAGACGTCACAGAAGCAGTGGATTGCTCATTCCTTGACAAAGATTGGAGCGGGTCAGTTGCAAGTTTGGGTAAGTCCAGTTTATTGTGTTGAAAATATTAATGTTTGAATGGTTTCTTTATAATTTGAACTATAAGTATAACTATACATGTAGCATTATTATAGTTATACTTTAAATTATAAAGATACCTGTTTCAGAATGACTTCTAGTTCTAACAAGAAGGTAAGAAAATATATCAAAATAGACAAAACCTAATATTGGACTGGTACTATCTTTGAAAATGAGTATGGTGGTGCTAGGATTAAAGTACAATTGGGGAGGGGGGCACCATGGTTCTATTCTGTAGGTAGAGAGCTTTCAGCAACAGAAGAATATAATCTGGAGTACTTACACATACATCTATGTCTTTTTAATGTAATTTTACTGTACTTTTTCTGTGCTATGTAGCTATGCCATTTTAGATGTGTTTGAGCCTTGGAAGACTAGCCCAGCAGGGCTAAAGGGTTTCGTAATAAATAAAATGAAAGGGGGGCACCGTGGTTCCATCTTGTAGGTAGCTCCTTCAGCACTGAGAAACATAATGAGGAGTACTTACACATACATGGGCTGCAGCTGCATGTGGGAGGTTTTCTGTGGAGCCTGGTACGCTGAGTACGAGTCAAAACCACCTATGAAGTCAACTGGAGGGAAAAACAACATTTTTCAATTGCTGCGGGTAAAATTGGATAAACATTTAAGGACAAGCTATATTTTGCACAGAATGATCTGTACTCTTCGTGTCATTCTGACTATCAAGAAGACAAACTTGCAGTACAATTTATTAAAGAAGCAAACAGGGAATCATAGATTTTAGTTCTGAAAAACTACTGTAACTCTAGGTTATTGTGAACAGTTATTTGTGGGTGCTTGCACTGCACTATGTGACCGCTAGGGGGCTCTCTTATGTCAGTCAGTCCGAAAAACCTTCTTTGCATTATAATCACTACTTTCCATTTGCATTTTGTAGCTCTTAAATTGAATTAACTATCATATGTTGTTTCTTTCAACACTCAACCACTCATAACATTTCTGGCTTAAAAACTGTACAAAATACACTGACAAAAAGGTAAGAAATTTATAACTCACAACTGTCGTCTTCTTCTGTGAACATGTACACCACATAGATGCCGTAGATGAACCCTATGATCTGTAACAACAGTAACAGGACACTGGTCAATACTAGAACCATTCTTATATCAATGAAGGTTAGACATCAGGCTAGAACACTGTGTAAAACATAATAATCACAGAGAACACAAATATCTACCGGGCATACGTAGGCACATCAGTGCAGGTATGTAGGAAAAAGTATTTTGTGCCCTGGTTTTTATGTCTCATCAAGCTTCTAATGTGTTTCTTATCTTAGCTTGATAGCTCTGCCCAGATAGTGACATAGCTTGATTAGGGTGATCTGTCTCTGTAAGAGAAATGCAGCTTTAATGTGATTTTTATGTCCCAAACTGTATTAGCCTGATGACGTGGATGTGCTGAGAGAAGGTTCCGTGACCTTGGTGCATGTAATTATGTCCTTGGGGAAATAAAACACACTTTAAAATCAGCTGATTTATGTACTAATCTGTTCTTGGATCATAAAAGTCGTTTTTTCAAGATGCCTGTACATCGGGTTTCAGATTAGACCTTTGTAAAATTGTAATGTACTCCTATGAAGGTTAGACATCCAGGTGATGAGACACCTCCACAGGCCGGACCTTCATTTACACTGGTGTTCAGATCTGGAACCAACTCCCTGACACCATTGTGGGTGACATCTACAACAACGGACTGCAGTCCTTTAAAGTCAGAGTCCATCGACACCTCCTTCATTGCAATTGAGAACTTGGCGGCTGTGAGCCACTGATTGCCCACTGATTGAGCCATTGTACAATCAGTGGGTATTGCTCACTACAGCACATTATAATAAAAAAAAAAACACACACAAAAAAAACAGATACAAAAGGCAGACGTTTCAGACGTTTGAATCGTAGCATGGATCATTTCCAGATAATATATGGAGCCTAGAAACTAGAATCAAGAGGTTCTGCATTCAAATCCATTGCAGAGAAACAAAAAGATGTACGAACTTAGAGCCACATGGGTTGGGTCGTGTGGGGTAAAGACAGAGCGTTAGGCTCGGAACCAAGAGGTCCTGAGTTTGAATCTTGCCATACCACCAATCTTGTGCCCTTGAGGATTTCCTCACTTTACTGAAGTGAAAATAATTTTGCGTTGGTGGCGACAAAAAAATAAGTAGAAAGAACTTGAGTCTGCTGTCAGAATGTCTTGTAATAAATGTTGAAATAGAAAAACCAACTCACAGCCAGTAAAATTTGAATTGCAGCATGGATCATTTCTACATAATACATGTATGTGGAGCCTAGGATCTAAAAGTTCTGGGTTCTAACCCCGTGCAGGGAACAAAAAGATCCCAACTCACAGCCAGTAAAATTTGAATTGCAGCATGGATCATTTCTACATAAGTGAAGTCCAGCAGGCAGCCGGAGACGACGGGATTGGTCGACGCTGCTGTGGAGTTGGAGACCTGACAGCCAATCCCGTGCTCCCGCCACCAGCTGATGCTCTGTGGCGCGCCCAGCGTCAGCGCTGGCGTTTCCTAGGCAACACAGAACAAACGTTAGACAACATTGTTAAACATTGAACTTTATTCCAACACACAATTATACAGAGATCAAATTTTCTCTGTGTAATTGTGTGTTGGAACAAAGTTCGTTTTACTATAATGATTACTACCAACACACATTAACTTTCATGATAGTTAGACTACATTTTTAGGCCACACCAATTTGATTTATTGTTATGTGGATTTTCGCAGGAAATATATTGAAACCAAGTCCCACTCTTTGCAGAGCATAGGGGTGGTGCCCATCTCCATTTCTGTAGCAGTTGTGCAAGGCACTACAGCAGGGGGCTAGTCCACTGGTAGTGGTGTGGGTTTGACCTTCCCATACTCTTTCTCAAATGTGCTGAGTGCTAAGCAGTATGTGCCATGATTGCAAATGAAACAGGTGGATAAAAAAAAAACAGGACTATACATCCTATGAGAGAATAATGGTATTGCTAGGTAACCAATGCCATTGCTAGGTAACCAAAACTGTTGCTTGGTAACCAATTCTGTTGCTAGGTAACTAGTGGTGTTACTAGGTAACCAGTGCTGTTGCTAGGTAACTGATGTACTTACTACAGTGAGACTGCCCAGTTCCAGGTATACACAGATGACAAAAATGTTCCAGGCCACCCACAGAACTCCCCACGTACAGTACTGGAAAAAAAACATGGCAAATACGATTAGACCCAGGCAACCCACATGATTACCAACTGTGCAAAGGACTGTTGGAACCTTAGAAACATTACGAGTCTGACTCTAAATGAAATAAAACACATTTTCTTTGCGTCTTACTCTTAGATTTAGTGTTGAGGGTGTGTGTGTTGGAAATTTTTTTTTCTGTTTGTAATTTTGTCAAATCTTTGGTTTACGCTTTTCCTCCTCAGTGCCATCAACATCACTTTGAGTTTAACATGCTATGTAAAAAGCACACAGATGTGAAGAGGAACATATACTCACCACCACAATATATCTTGGTCTGTACTGATAGGTGCCGAACAGTCCCAGTATGACACAGATGATCTGGAAGAAGTTCCCAATGATGGGAGCCCACATGTAGCCCAGGAAGTCAAACACTTGTCTCTCTACTGTAGCAATCTAAAAAGAAAAACATAGAAACAAACGTTAGAGTTTTCTACAATATAACACATTTATCTTTCTACTGATAATATCTGGAAGAAGTTCCCAATGATGGGAGCCCACATAGCCCAGGAAGTCAAACACTTGTCTCTCTACTGTAGCAATCTGGCAGGGAAAATACAACAATTCATTGACATGAAAGTTCATCTGAGTTGGTAAATTACATTATGAAAAACTTTAACTTTTCTCCAACAATTCATTAACGTTAGACTTTTCTTTGCATATAACTCTGTAAGGTGTCTCTTTACTGTATGCAATTTGGAAGGAAAACATACAACAAATTCATGATCACTAACATTAGACTTTTGCTATAATAGTATAACAGTAATTTTACAGACTTCTCTAAACTATTACCAAGAAATCTCAGATTATTATTATTATTACAGACATTATCATTACACAACAGTTCTAACTGACTTGTTTGGAAGGGGCTAGCTACTGAGAAATCCATAGGATACATTCACAATAGCTTTCTTGCATTCATGCATCTTTAAGTAAATGTTTCGGGTTACAGTTGTCACAGGACCCTAGCGTAACCCTTCTGAGGTGGTTCTATGTTCTGTTTGTCATTAAAACTGGTTTCAGGGACAAACTGTAAAAACAGGGCAGGACAACAACATGGGCTCAAGGTCATATAGGAAAGTCATCAGGACACTCCTACTCTGGGTCCCCCCATGCAGACCCTTATATATGGCACCAAAAAGAAGCATATACCGGATTGTTGAGCTATCTTTTCAATAAACGTGTGTATGTTTTTTTTCCATGTAGAAGTTTGATGTCTGATTCTATGTCCCATACACTGTCACACAAATCCAAGAATTTATTATTTTTCTGACACTTAGACTTACTTAGATGCCAAGACTATCCTGTATACTCAAATACATTTTATATGTACAAAAATACCTACAAAAATATTTGAGTGCACCAGTGCACCCACAGAAAAAAAAGGGTGCACAGCTCCAATTTTGGGTGCACTAAGGTGCACATGCACCCAGTATTTCCAGCCCTGCTATATAGGATTGTCAGATCTGTGCTATGTTGTCTTACAGGTCAAAGATGAGTAGATTTTGGCCTGTCCACATGGACTTGGCAGTGTTCCCTACATATAACATCCTGTCAGTAGTCCCTGGCACACAGCCTAGAGGGCAGGGGGCACACTGGTTACAGCTAACACGAATCTGCCAAGACAAATATAGCGCTAGCTTTACCCTGACCTATCCTACTAAACCATCCACGATTTATTTTTGTAGGGAAAGATGTACTGTATACCCAGGGTAGGGCTTGCTTTTTACTGGTTTTAAGTTCTAGCAATGGTATTTCGGACTGTTAGCTGATACACGTTGGTTCTGGGCAAGCTAACAGAAAGAAAATTTGCATGTGTTACAGTCTATTTGTATTTAAAACAAATACAAATTTTTGCACGGAAAATGCTGCAAAATCCACTCTAGGGTCTTTCTAAATTATATATACCATAGTAATCCATCAGAATTGCACTAGATTGACTGTGATTCCGGATGGAAAATCTAAATATACATTCTCTAACACACAGGTATACAAATTATGTAGCTGTCAAATTCAATTTGTTTCATGTAAATTTACCAGTACATAGCTAGCGCTGGTACATGATATATCTAGCTCAATGGGTTGGTGCCAGCACAGTTAATGTTCTCGCTATGCATCTAACGCCCTTGGTTTATATTAGACTCCCTGTGCCTGACGCCTACTTAACTAAGTAGCTGTATGTGTATACATGCAGATTAGTCAACCTTAACTCTGGTCATACACTAATCTTAACACACAGGAATCGAAAGGAGTTTTCTTTAGAATACACTAGCCTTCGGAAGACACGTCAGTTTTTGGCATTTAGCTGGTTTATATAAATAAATGCATGGCTTTTCAAGCATTTCCCCCAGCCTGGTACACAGCATATACATGTAATTGACACAGTGATTAGTGTGTAATTCGTTCAGGACCATGACTATATCCGTACCACTGAGAATTCTTCTTGATTTCCCCTCAGTAATTAACAGTGTCGTTAGCGTTATTGAAACAGTAATGAACTTGCTCATCATGACCAAAATGTGTGACATTGAACTTGTAATGGCACCAGTGAGTGGAACAGCCATGTATGTGCGGTTTTGCAAATGCATACTGATCAGGATACAAAATCAGATTGTAAAAGTGAAATAGAAATTCACATTAGTCACCCAGGGTAGTACATGTAGCTGTTTGTTTGTTATACAAGAAAACTATCATATTTCTTTGTCAAAACATTGCAGTTACTAGAAATAATAAATACCAATGATGCATGCAAGGCTTATGATTGTAATGATATACTTTATGTATGTACTGAGTAACTCAATTACCTATGTTATAATAACTTACATACCAGGGATATTCGAGCAAATTTAGACCAGGGTGGAGCTCACTTGGTTTGGAGAAGGTTCTCATTTGCCCCAAACAAGCACACTTTGGTGAATTTAAGCTAAATTTCCAGTTTAAACATTACCAAGGTGGCACTAATATCAAACAAAGGCAGCACAGCGGTAGCACCATGATTCCATTACTCTTACTTACATCATGTTGGGAGTCAGTAAGTCTAACCTAATTTCATGCAGAAATGTTTTGTTTTATGAGAATTTCTTATACATGTATCTTACTTTTTTACTGTGGTGCACCTGTGACCGGTAGGGTAATGTGCCCCCGGAACACCCTAGATTGTGAGCAGTCTCCTCCAAGTCTGATCATGAAGTGAACGTGGGCTGATGGAAAAACATTTCGAGCTAGCTAGAGCCGTGGTGTGTGGCACTTTCAAATTCCCACAAACATGTCCCCTGTTTAGACCTTATCTCCATGACAAGTACCAGAAATTCCCAACTTCCTTGTGTCTCGTTAAACCCTGACAGAGTTTCCTGAACGGATCACAGATCAGCCAAATTATCTCACAGAAAACTGCTTCCTGTGCCAGTAACCAAGGCAGGAAATACTTACTCGGTGTAAATGACACTTAGATGCAGTTTTGTACATCCAAAATTTGAGCTGTGAGCCTAAATTTTTGACAGTGGGTGTCACTAAATGATCATGTAGGGTAGTACAGGGAGGGGGGGGTGGTAATTAGCTTAACATAATAAATGGTATAATTGCTAAAATAATTACAACTTTACAATAGTAATAAAATAAGAACACTTTTGATGTAAAACTGCATGTTCTGTTTGCTGAAAACTCCAAACTCAAAAGGTTGCCAGAAACAAGCAATGCGTAGTTTTCTTTACACAAAATTCCACAGGAGATCCAGAGATATCCATACACACTAGGGGAGACTTAGACAGAAACTCTCTAAAGTCTACCCTAAAGGCTAATTGTAGGCTGCCAGCTTACATGTTGAGCCACAGGACTATATATGTACTAAATCTAACCCTACAGCTTTAAACTAACATATGGAATGGCTGCAGATTTAGTCATGAAACTTGTACATATAATTTGTATTCATTACAATATACGTATCTTTATGTAAGGGTGAATGCAAACAAAATTGAAATTTTAGCTGAAAATTTCCAGACAAATATATAAATAGCAGACTTAGTCATCTCTAGGGCTTTGGAATAAATATTATTTGAGTTTCCGTTTAAAATTGCCACGCTTATTGTACTACTAAATTCTAGATCTTGGGAGGGGTTCAGAAGTGGACAAAGGAATGAAAGACACTCTTAAGTTCCTAACAGAAGCACTGCCAGACCAGTCTTCCTCTCTTTGGTACTGCCTTACAGCTCAACCAAACAGTCTACACAGCTCGTACAAAAGCCTTTTCTTACACTATTCATGCCACTACACTGCACTACACCAATAACCTACTTGTATGGCCAGTCCCTTAAATCAATGATTAACTGTTTTGTACTTGATGACTTGCAACGTACACTACCGGTACATGAATTTAATGCAGAACTTTAAAGTTTGAATTTGAACAAACAACCGTAAGTGTAACCAAGAATGTTATCTACCTATACCATCTCCTTGGTGCAACATAACATGTACCTGCACAGTATTATGTTGAGTTCATTTCAGAGCTGAAAGAAGCCTTTTGTTCAGGAGAGTAAAAGGAAAATTGGAGGTAAGCTTCTTACAGTTAGACTCAACACAATGGATCAATGACTGTAGCCTTCAGACCAGTCAATTCTGACACGGGGAGGGTCAGCTTAAAATGACCACTACACAAATACTACGTAGATGCATAATTTTGTTTTCTAGTATTTTTACGAAAAAACAAACAAACAAGAAAGTATGGAGACGGAGGATAGCTGATAAATTTTCTTCTGGAAACAAATCTTTGCACAATCTTCTTCTTCAAAAGTCTGTGTGACTGACTTTAGGCTACATGATTTTACTGTACCACAGCAGAAATGGTCTATACTCTATTGAAACCTGGAGTAAAATTTCAACAGAACCCCTATAGGGGAAGGGAGCAATGCTCATCTAACAGCTATAAATAACACAGTGGGGTGTGATTAGGGAGTTTTCATGTCCTGACAGTCAATATAACACCCCCAGATTAGCCTCATACCCAAACAATACAATATACTGTACCACCCCCAGATTAGCCTCAGTACCCTAACAATACCAGGGGTGGGCTGTGATCATTATAGGGTGTGACAAATTGTTTATTGATATACTAGAGTATTCCAGCTATCCATGGCTTGGACCATACTGTCAATATGGATTAGATTCAATTTGGGTATCATATTTCATGAATTAGCAAAGATGTTGTCTCCAAGAAATGAGTTCAGGATTTGTAACAAAAAGTTGGCATTTCCAAATGCAGACATAACATTTGTAATTTAACACAAATTCAATTTCAAGGCACTGAGTGACTGAATTTAGAAGATGCTGAATTAAACTTTGACAATGAAAAGAACATTCTGTAAAATACAAAGTCAAACTTTTGAAAAGACTATGAAACCAAAAAAAGACTGTCGTGTATTGAACATGGTGACATGAAATAACTTCTTTTGTCGATTTTAGTATTACTGATCATATACGGACAGTAACATGTTCCTTTGTATCTAAACTGAAGTTAATAGTTTTAAACCTGGGGCATGATCAGGTAGTCAGGGTCATGTGAGTTCAGCCAACTGTGCTCTGTCAAACAAACACTCCGTTCTCGTGGGAAAACTGCCTCAGGCGGGACACAGGACCTCATTCAATGTTTCCACTATCCACCTGGTTCTAGCAACAGTCAGGACTTTCTAGGGTATCCAAAGTAGAGAATCTGTAGCCTGGTTACCAGACCTAATATTATAGCTCCTGAGTCCTACATCCTCTCTCTCTTTATTGTGGAGAGGATGTAGGACTCCGGTAGCCTGGGTATCATCTGGATTTTCGCTCCGCAGCGCTGATTTTCGCTTCGCAATGCTCGCGTTAAATCCAGATGGTACCCAGGCTAGGACTCGGGAGCTATAATAGGTCTGGTAACCAGGATCATAGAGAATCTGTTGTTCCAGTCATAGTTTTCTCCAATCTAAGACTACACTAATTTATTTCAATGGTTCTGAGATTGTGAAAATGCAGCAAGCATACGTCACAAAAGTAAAGGGCTGGGAGGAAAACTTGAACATGACTGTACTCTTTATCAATATGGCAATTTAAACTGAGTACACCTACCTACGCTTAAATCTGATCCTCTTGTTTTCTTTGTGTACTTTTTTTAACTGAGAAACAACAAATCAAATCTGTATGGCCTAACACAAGTCAGTGACAAGTACGATACAAAAACAAAAAGTTCAGGGTTGTTCAAAAATGTGATTCCCAGATCCTGATGTTGTCAGCTTTTTTCCAGATAAGGATCTGACACCAGAGTCAGAAGATAATGATTTGTTTACAGTGAGGCATACAAAAGGTATGTAACGCCTCTGTCATTAGACAGTCATTATGGTTGGTTAGGCAGTAAAGGTGATATAATATTTTCCATAAGTTTTTTAAACTGTCTACCCATAACTAAGTAACATACATATTTAGCAAAAGGCTACTTCAGCAAAGAATGTGGGTTCAGTTCTTGTCTTCCCTACATTTTGCAATACAACACCAATTCATTTGTGATAGTGTTACAGTACAAAGAAGTTGCCTCCTTGCCTTCATGAGTTAATTAGTAAGTTACTTAATGTGAGATTTTCCATAAAACATAGGCAAGCTACGTCAATGAAGGTTAGACATCCAGGTAATACGATACGCCAAAAAACAGTTACTCAAGCAACTGGATATGATTTTGAAAACATATTTTGAAAACATATATTTTCAAAATCATATCCAGTTGCTTGAGTAACTGTTTTTTGGCGCATAGGTAAGCTATACTAGTATATAATCTGCAGTAGGGAAAGCTTGTTCCATGTTCATGCAATTCGTAGCCAAGGTAACATTTTTTTTAAAACTTAATATATAGCTTATCGGGCCCCCTAATAGCTATACTTAAGAGTCATCATTGGCAGATGACCCAAATTTTGCTTAACTGTTATCCGGAACCCCCCATGCAGGCCCCCAGTTATCTGAGGATCTGAGGGGTTTATGGAGCTCCTGTAAGGAAGTAGTAAGTGGCTGCAGATTGGTTGATAACAAGGAGCTAAAGTGGCTAAAATGGATCCCAAGAAATTCTCTCCTGGCAGAAATATTATCCGGCACGCAATTTGTCAACATTAAACTCTTGAACTGTGCACCTAAACACAAGACACAGATTTCTTTTCTCCAGACCCCCTGGCTGTCAGAAGCATTTCCGAAGAACACAACAACATCTGACTTCAATTCGACTTGGATTAGAACCAGGCACCGCTAGTGCAAGGGTCAACATATTGATAGCAAGGACTGGATCCCATCTATCTAAAGGAAAACACATCCCCACATTTTGCAGTTTCACTCTGTGTATGCAAAACCGACTAAGCCTGGTCGAAACATTTTCTACAGAGAGATTGGCATGTTTGTGTGTGTGGAGATATCATTAAAATTGCTGCACACTTACATATGCGTTAGCCTTGAGGTCTGGGCTAGTACTACACAGATTCAAGAGGTTGGCCTTTTTTTCAGGGTGGGAGGGGGGCACTACACGTCCAAAGCAAAACAGCATAAACCAGTGTTTTTGGCAAAGATCACACATTCCCATGTATGTTTACAAAGCTTACGTTATATCTGTGTCATCTAGCATACCCACAGCTGTTAAATGCTGTGCTAAAATCGTACAATTCGTACAAATTATCTGCTTGTTTTAAATCGAACACCTAGGCCGCCATGTTGGGCTAGGTCTTTGCGTGTGGTTACGATTTCAACATGTGGTGTTGTGTTTGTTCTTGGTCTACAAGGACAGCTACTGATCAAACAATGGCGAGATTTAAATCTAGAACCCTCTAGTCTAGTCCGTCTATCGTTTATAGGAGTTTTATTCCAGTAGGAATCGCTAGAATGGTTATAAAATTGAGGGGGTTTGAAGTAGGGTACAGCGCGAACGCCGGTTGTAGCCCCAAGCTTCGAGTGGCGCTGTAAGGTGAGAATTTCGCGGAAAATCGGGCGATCTGGAGGGTAAAAAGAGATAAATTGGACTCACCAACTGTAGAAAACATAACGCTATGAGTGTACACCTCCCACTACAGCAGCTCATGGTGAAAACTGGGGAAAATCCGCGATTTTTCGTGTCGTTTTTGCCGTCCGACGGTCAACCTCAAACTTTTCTGTTTATACCGCTTCACTCAGGGCGGAGGAAACGAGCCTTCCGCGAGACAGAATAGAGTCCGCGTAATAAAACTATTCACTCTTCCTTACGATTAAATATTCCCACTAGAATTAAACTTATTTCATGCAAACCATTTTTACTTCATTTTTTTTTCTCAGACTATCATATTTGACCGTTTTATTTTACTTCGGTCCGCGGATTGTTACTAAAGTTTATCATGACGTCATTGACCATATTTGGGCAATACACATCTGTAGGCTGAAATCACCTGTTCGTCTGGGGCCGGACGTGCGAAGTTCTTCCCTCAAAACTCTCAGAAAACGGACATTTTTCCTCAAAAATGGTTTCCTAAACGTCATCCTACATAGAAAAGACTACAATAACGCATATGCTTGTAGTTTGGAGTATTTTATTAGCCTATAAAATAGGTAAATCATGGTTTGAGACAAGACCTCTTTGTCACTTTCCCCAGGTGACTAAAAAGGTAAACATCAGGACTGGTGCAATACACAACCAGGAAGTGACTTAGTAAAGCTGCCATTTCACGGGAAATACTAGGGTGGGGCAAAGAGAGGTTTCAATTTCAAAGAAATCAAAGCCTGCTGTAAATGTAATCATAATAATCATTTACTACCACTTTTCTGTATAATCTTGATACATTTGTAACATTACTTCCATCCCAATCATACAACAATCAAATGTTACCATTACACTACCATAGGACAGTGTTATCTGCTATCAGAGAAGACAATAGGGGTCTGGGCAAACACAAAAGATATAAAAAATGTGGGCTAACAAAAGAAAGTGACATAATATAATCTATTCATACACATATCAAACTCTACTACGAGATAAAATACTAGTGAGAAAAATACTTCCAGACATTCTGAGTGATGCCTGTCTTCTTCAGCGTCACTAAAACATATTTTATTTTTTTTTTGTTAGGAGAATGGAATTGGCCAAGTTCATATGAATGGAAATGTCTTGAAGTTCAAGTTTTGAGCCACGTGTCCATGATATGTGGAAGGAACTCAGTCATGGATTTATTCTTTGACAAAATCTGACTTTTCATTGTCAGAAACGTTCGATAAATACTGATTCTTTTGTGTTGGAAGTTACAATGTTACCTTATGATACTTTCCACCAGAAACAACAAAAGTTATTTCAGTGAAGGTTAGACATCCAGGTAATGAGAAACAGTCACTGAAGCAATTGGATGTACAGTATCTTTAAAACTGTCAGACGTTTCAAGTAGCATCCACTTTTTACTGTCAGTAATCTATAAAAATGGTTCTGGATTTTTCGGTTGTCAGTCGTCATCTTCTGTCACTTTCCTCCACAGCCCGCCACACAGACACTGCCGTGCCCACCGCTGGTCCCACGCCTTCTGGGCTGACGTCTTCGCAAAGGACTTCAGTAGGGAGGTGGAGGAGCACCTGGGGAGGAAGCACAGCAAATGTAACAGCTGTCAACTGCAAGATGTCGGTTTGCTTGAGGAATGAATCCACTCTACTAACACTGACTGTATACAAATGTTTCGTAACAGCAGGGTTCTAGCCAGCTCAATTTTTTTCCCCTCAGCCCAGGTTCATGATCGGACCCGCGGGAAGAGTGGCCACAATGTAGGGGTGGTCTTGGAAAAATTTTAGATTTTCAATCCTTTATAAATGTGATTTGGAGGGGATGAGAGTTGTTCTTTGGATATTATTACATTTTTGTCAACTGTGTCCGTCAAGGTTGACGGATAGGTTCAAACATTTTTTCTTCACAAGCCATAAAGTTCCTGCAATATTGAACATAAAGTGAATTACAGTATATATCCCTTGAGGTGAAAATATGAGTTCCTCACCTGCTGCACTGCTTGACGTCCTCTGCAGGTGATACGCCCAGGTGTACCCTGCGCACCACGTCGTGTGACAGGTGTTCACCTCCGGAGCGCCACATCGGGTCAGACGACGGGTAGGACATCATGTGGGGCATGGTCTGGCTGGGTGCACTGCGCAGGGTGGGAAATGTTGGACATCATTGACGATGAGTTAAAGGGAAAACTATATTTTTCTATGAAACAAGTTTAAACTGCAATATCCAGCACAAGGGGTTAAAGAGACCATCTACATCAGGGCATTACAACCATCCCTTAACAGCGACAGGGGGCGCCACAGACTTTCTGCAACCTATGATCCACTGCTCGCGGAGTCAAGTGTGTTATCTGCGTGATGTCACGGAAGCAGTGGATTGCTCATTCCTTGACAAAGACTGGAGTTGTACAGTTAAAAATTTGGATAAGTCCAATTTCCTGTGTTGAAAATTGCAGTTCAAACTTGTTTCATAATGACTTCAACCAACACAGATGAACTTTCAACTTGAAGATAGTATTTATAATTAATGATTAATTAATGATTTTCCTAAAATAAAGCTATGTGTACGTGCTGATGACATACTTCCCAACTTGCACCAGGATTGGCTGTTTGCTCTGGGGTCGTGCCATTATTCCCTCGGCGGGGGGTGGAGAGTCCAGGTTAGGGACCAGCATCCGACTGGGCAGCAGACAGCACTCATCAACTAACGAGTCATCCCAGTCTGGGGACAGAAAAAACAAAAGTCAATCACAACCCTAACCCTAACTTTAACCCTAACCTTAACCCTAACCCTAACCCTAACCCTAACCCTAACCCTAACCCTAACCCTAACCCTAGCCCTAACCCTAACCCTGCCCCAACCCCAACCCTAACCCTAAGTCTTGGAGGTCTCAATATGTAAACCTTATCAAGATAATTCATCTAAGGTTCTAACCCTTTTCGAGTCAATATCATGTTTTCACACACACACACATGCACACGCACGCACACGCACACACACGTATGCACACACACACACACACACACACACATGCATGCATGCACACACACACACACGCATGCACACACACACACACAAACATATGCAAACACACAGAGAAGGACTCACACACTATCGCTGCTATATACAGAAACCTACCAATGGAGAGTCTCTCCTCCTTGGCGCACATCCATGCCTTGGTGAGCAGCTTGAACAGCAGCTGCAGGCTGTCCAGGTTATCCGAGGTCGCCGTGAAGACAGGCAGACAGCTGGACTTGATCAGGCCCCAGATGCGAACCATGACCAGGAGTTCTCGTAACATCTGTAGAAACTGGGCGTCACGAAGAAGGGTGGACCCAACTCGGTTTGGCATACCTGAAATGGGACAGAGGATAGGGATGGTTTGATTGATTGCTGACCCTTCTAGTCTATACCTTACTGTTCCATACTGACCTTGCTGTTCCATACTGACCTTGCTGAGTGGGCAGCAGTGACAGTGTGACCTTGCTGTTCTGTGCTGACCTTGCTGTTCTGTACTAACCTCCCTGTGTGGGCAGCATAGACAGTATATGAACGACCTTGCTATTTTACACTGACAGTACAAGGACAACCTTGCTGTCCTATACTGACCTTGCAGTGTGGGAACAGAGACAGTATGACCTTGCTGTTCCATACTGACCTTGCTGTGTGGGCAGCAGTGACAGTGACCTTGCTACTGACCTTGCTGTGTGGGCAGCAGAGATAGTATGACCTTGTTACTGACCTTGCTGTGTGGGCAGCAGAGACAGCAGGTATAGCGTGAAGTCGCCCACCCACTGGATCAGCTGCTGCAGCGACTGAAGCGTCGCCGGCTCGATCACAAACTCCTTCGTCTCCAGGTTTATCATGACCTTGTCTAAATCTGTCTCTGTGGAAAAAAAAGGGAAACAAAATTTTTTGTTGCAAACTCTTGTACATTTTCAGAGGCAAATCATGTGGCTGAGAGTGGTTACCCGGTACTATCTGTCTTTGAATATTTGTTTATATTTTTACTCCTTTTCCTTCACACACCACAAATTTCCTGAAATTGACGGAAAAAATGGGTGCTGGCTAGAGACCTGTCTTGGTAAAATCTACAATATAACAGTTCCTACCTGTACTTTTGCTACAGAGAACAGCAAGTTTCTCTGCCGGACCACGATCCTGACTCCCGAGCTGTGTCGGTCGCAGGAGGGCTTTCAGAGACGAGGAGATGGCATTCAGCAGGAGCTTGGCGTAACAATCAGCTGACTTTCCTCCACCGTTATTGGTCAATCTGGGGGGATAGTAACATGATGTAACACCATTATTGGTCAACAGTCAGCTGACTTTCCTCCGCCGTTATTGGTCAATCTGGGGGGATAGTAACATGATGTAACACCATTATTGGTCAACAGTCAGCTGACTTTCCTCCACCGTTATTGGTCAATCTGAGGGGACAGTAATGTGATTGGTCAACAGTCAGCTGACTTTCCTCCACTGTTATTGGTCAATCTGTAAGACAAAATCTGGTATGACTCAAAAGAGCCACCTAGTGAGTGCTCTCATCACTGCAGCCACAAACAGCATTGCAATGGCGCATGGACATTTCATTTCTTTTTTCTGAGATAAAAACTTTTGAGATGTTCCCAACCTATTCATTTTCTTCCCAAGCCAATTTTAACTACAAACCATGATGAGTTACGCTGTTGTTGATTGCACAAAACATCACAATTCCTTCTAGGATAACAAGAGAACATTTGATCGTGTCCCCACCTGTACAGCGCAGCCTTGATGGCCACAAACCTAGTGAGGTGGATCTGCTGCAGCGCAGGGTTCTGCTGGTGATAGTTGTCTGTCAACTTGTCAATCACAGATTCTACCATCCCTGGTGCCACCACTAGTAACACATCCCAACAGTCCCAACCTGATAGCTGTGGAAGGATATAAAGATATGGCAATCAGAGATGGCAGACCTCACTTCTTCAATCAGGAAAGTTAGGGATATATTTTCAACTCTACTAGTCTTTGTCAAGGATTGAGCAATCCGCTGCTTCCGTGATGTAACGTTATGCAGATAGCACAAGTGACTCGGAGAGCAGAGGATTGTAAGTTGCAGAAAGTCTGTGGCACCCCCCGTCTTTGTTGCTCATTCCTTGACAAAGACTGGATTTTTACGGTCGAAAATTTGGGTAAGTCCAATTCATAATGACTTCTACCAACACAGATGGACTTCAGACACTCACCATGCAGTACTCCAGTGAAGTGTGACATAATCAAGCTCAGATCCTCACCATGCAGTGAGACCAAGTGTCTGATCGGCTTGTGATTTCATGTGTAAGTGACTAATGTAATCATGTGTTTACCATACAGTACTCCAGCAGTGAGACCACGTGTCTGATCGGCAGTGAAGGGTCAACGTTCTGGGTCAGCGACGGGGTCAGGCGGAACACGTACAGCCGACCACCGGGGTCAACTCCCATCATGCCGCAGCAGGTACCGGACAGCTCGCAGCAGGAGAGGTAGCGGAACAGCGAGAGGCGCTGTCGCTTGGCAACCGTCTCCTCCAGACCGCGCTGCCACGAGTCCAGACTGAACATCGCCAGCGTGTGCAGGGTCAATCTGCAGGGCAAAGTTACAAGACAGTGTTAGAAATACCCATCTGCAGTCTGCATTTTAAAGAGAATTTTTCAATATTGCAAAAGAAAAATTAAGCAACCTGCAATTTTGCAGACTGAAAAAATCAGACTTGGGGTTCAATGGTGTTTAAGAGCTTTTATGTTTACTACTGACTCAGTAATATACACTTGTAGTTTTGCAATATGTTTGCCAACATGCAGTTTTATATATGCCATGGGTTTAGATCCGGACTTTTAAGTGTGTATTTCCAGAAAGTATTTCCGAATTGTAAAACAAAACCGTACCTCTGTACCAAGTGGATGTTCCCATCCTGGAATGCTATTGCCAGCGCACTGCCGTTGAAGAACTTTGTGTCATAACCCTTACTCTCTATCAGGTTACTGGATTGCACCTGGAGAAATAACAAAAAATTCTGTTTCCTCTTCTACTTCTCCAAACCAATATGGTCAATGACCTGAACCAGTCGTCTGTCACCATGGTAACTGGTGTTGAATTACCTCATGTTGCAATTTTTTAACAGGAGGGATTTAGACTCATGTCCCCACATGTGTGAATGTGTTTGAGTATGAATTAACAGAGCAGACCATATGCGAAGGTAAACATTATGCATTTGCTTTGCAAATGTTACCTTTCTAGTGTGATGAAATAAATTAATAAATAAGACAGTGCCGTACCGGTAACTTGGGTACGGCTAGTGCTGTAACAAGCGGTCGATCAGCGATGGTTGTAAGGGAACCCCACTTCACCGCCATGGGCTGTTTCCCTGCAGGAGCAGCAGGCTGGAAGATCTTATGGAGCGTGACCGGTTCATTCCTCAGGCCCCAGACCTCAATGGTGCTGGAGTTGGTCCCTGATACAACAACCACAACCTGCTCTACACCTGCAAGAAGGTAGAATGAGTGAGTGAATGAATGGATGGCAATGAAAAGCAGGCTATGAATAAACAAAGGGTCAAACAGACAAACAAATAAACACACTACCTTCCCGATGCTCAAACTTGACGTGCGTGACGTTGGTGTATTTGTCCTTCTTGTTGGGGTCCACAGCGCAGCGTAGGAAGAAGCTGGGCAAAGGTTCGATGTGCATGGTGCATTTCTCATTCGCGTTACTCAGCTTTAGTTTGTAAAACTTCACCGGGGACATGCTGTTTCCATCCGACAACGCGATGATCACGAAACCTAGAATAATGATAATAATAATAATAAATTATCATGAAAGTTCATCTGTGTTGGTAGTTACATGTTTAGAGTTAAAACTTTAGATCCAAGACAAAAAGTTCTCTTAACTAGTCTAAGAGCTTTTGACCAGTCAATAATAGCTCTAGGTGAGAGAACTTTTAGTCTTGGATCCAAAGTTTTAACTCTAAACAGTCAAATAATAATAAATGGTTTATTGGTCAATCATTCCCCGTGCAATCACAGCCTTTTATACTATAGTCTAGAGCTAAATTGATGCAGGGTTTACAATCACATAATACAATATATAATGACAGATATAACATATTTGCTCCACACATGTACACTTTTGTGGAACTGTTGCAAGGGTTTGTGTGGCTGCCATTCGGTGCCACCAGGGTGGAGTGAGGAAAGTCGTGTAAAGTGCCTTTCCCAAGAGCACAACATCGGGGCACATGTCCAGACATGTCTCGGGTACAACTTGGGTACAAACCTTTCACGGTGAATGCGGCGTCCGCTACCACAACACGAGAACGCACGTTGCCCAAACATTCGCTAACGGTTGTCGGCGTTCCTTCTTTGCTCAGTGCAGTGATATACACCATACCAGTCGCTGTTACAGCCACCCAGCCGTTACAGGCCTTCCCTCCAAACTCTGAGAGAGACGGCGTGTAACTCTGGTGCGTGATTTTCTCGTTGAAGACAGTAGAGTTCATGTTCATGTTGTTCAAGGTCAGACGACCTCCGACATGGAGCCACTGCAAGGTCACGATCTCCTCTCCGTCAAGGTCAACTGAGGTCACCAGGTGCCAATCATTCACCAGGTAGTCCTTCATGGACCAGAGCTTCACCTCACCAAACCTGGGGAAAGGGAAAGATCCTTGTGACAAATTAGACAAAATGATCTTACTGATATATATATCGCTCGCTCGCTGACACTCACTCACTCACTCACTCATTACCTCACTCACTCACTCTCTCTCTCACACTCTCACTCACTCACTCACTCACTCACTCACTCACCCACTCTCTCTCTCTCTCACTCCCTCACCTCTCAGCAGACAGCAGCTGTGTGCCTGATGGGTCCCACTCTAACGCCACGATGTCCTCTCCATGCTGTGTACTGAAGCTGTGCACGTCCCAAGGTCGGTCAGGGTCAACCACATGGATAGGGCGGACCAGTGAAGGGTCAGTCCACGGACCCTACAGTGTATCAATATTCTTATTCAAAACACAATTTGGTATTCTACTCTACTATGTTGCAGTAACACCTCAGAACCTTAAAGAGTGCTAGCCATGGACTACTATCTACTATAAAGGAACCGTGACAAGATACCTTTAAGTTTGACCCAGTGCTGACGTCACACTTCTAAGAAGCCATGTGACAAGCTTCACTGGGTCAGTCTACTGAGGAAGACCAGAGTGACTGGTCAAAAGCTCTAGGGGAGAGATTTTTATTGTGTTGGACCAAAAGTTTTAACTTTAAACAATAGTAAACATACAATAAAGGAGGTTATAACATAGCCTTCCAACAGCACGTACCTGTACAGGTCCTGCAAACGCTAGGATGTTCCTACATGACCAGGAGCAGACATACGGAGTGGGCAGGACGTAGGACCTGACCTGGTCATGTTTCTCCCAATCACTCACATACACCACGTCCATGGCTGCGCCTCAGAAACTGAAACAGTAATATTGTTACTCACACTCTCTTACTCTCACTCACTCACACACATACACACACACACACACACACATGTACACACAAACACACACACGTAAACAACGTCCATGGCTGGCATTCAGGGTCACTCTTGCTGAAACAGTAATGTTGTTACTTCTCCCAACTCACTCACTCACTCATTTATACACACACTCACACGAACTCACTCACTCTGGTACTGGGGATGAAACAGTATATAGATAATTTCTTGTAGGATGTAAGATGTAAGGAGATGACGACTTTGATTTTAATTGTCATGTCCTTATATTATGTACCTTATTGTCCTTGGTGCCTTCAAGGACTAAAGTTATCAACCCAGGACCAACTTTATTATATTCTAAACATTGTCAAAATCAACAACGATTTTTAATACATACTCATTCAAAACAAACCAAATCAAGGGGGACACAAAGAGAGACATATATTACTATCTTATTATGTAAAAACGAATAATTACACTTTGTCATTCGGAGCTTACTCAAAACTATTATAAGAGCTTACCTTTTGCACCAAAAGTAGCTCAAATCTCATCCAGAAATAGCGGAAAATGTGAACAAAAAATACCAGCAAAATTTTAGCTGCACGCCGCCATGTTTGTGAGCTTAACCTTTGACCCAACCTCGTACCCAGGCTAGTTTCTCAAACCCACGTAAAATCCCGCGAGACTATGAATCATCGCGAGACCTGCTGACTTCCCCTGGCCAATCAAAAACGCGGGATTTTGCTGATGACGTCACGTAGAATGAAGGGCCCTCGAAGCGTTGCAGCCACGGATTTTTTGTGGGACACCGTGTCGGGCGTCTTAGCCAAGACGGTAGGCATTTTACTCCAAATTTTACTCCACAGAAAGTTAGAAAACTTATCGAAGATGATTTTGTGCAATTTTTGTAGGGTTTTGTTGGATAATTTGGTCAGTATCTGGGTTTTCCGACGTCGGGTTGGGTAGCGATCGTCCGATCCAAGATGGCGTGCGTCGTTTTTGCCGTTGTTTGGTTTGAAAGATGGAATTTGTGATGTGGGAAAACAAATTTTATCATCGTTTATGTCAGATTTATCCCATGTTTTCCTTCAGATTTTATAGAACTAGAGTAGTGTAACAATTGTAGTGCGTTTTCACTTTGTTTCGCACGCAGAGGAACGATTTTAGTACGTTTTTGGGAGACAAATATTTTGTAAAAAATTTTTCTGTGCGTCTCGTTTTTGGAACCTAGGAGAAAGAATTTATCTAGGCGACGTGAAATATCTGTGTAGTGATCTAATTATGATTTATCACAACATTTGACATTCTCTGTTTTTCGAAATTCGTAAACAACTTTACACCTCTAAGCTAGGGTTTATACTGGCAAAGAAATTTGTGAATCGTGAAGGAATTATAAATTTTACAGTTCACTGCATACCGTGCTACACAACAAGATTTTTTTAGCATATATATATATCCAAGAAGAAATACATAAGCGCAGTCTGAGTATAATTAACTTTAAGTTGGTAAAAGCATTTTCTGTCAGAAAATTATTCTCACACACACATGTAATTGTAAGACCACAAGACATGAACACTACATAGGCAGCACAGGTTTAGATGATGCACAACAGAGATGCAAATTTGTTAACACTACAGACTACGTTATGTCCAGGGGGCATATAGAGAGTGGAACCGTTGTGTAAGACAATTGAAAGTATGTGATCACAATTTCTCACCCTCCACAATTTTCACCAGAAATAAACAATAGTTCACATTCATAATTTGTAAACAGCATAAGGAGTCAAAAGTTTTAGCAATTTTGTTTGGCTGTGATACACTCAACTAGGGGTGGGTACCGGTATAGAAAATTCAGGTCCAGGTTCAGAGGATCAGGTCCAGGTCCGGACCTGAAACCGGACCTGATTATTGTACAGTAGTTATAGTATATCATATTTTGGCAAGCGAGACACAATTTCTTGGTGTACACGACACGGCCGTGCATGAGGCCGCTTTTCCCAATGAATAATACGGCTGAAATGCCAGCACATCCACAAATAATTTGATCAAATACTTAATTGCTGCGATCTAAAATGTTACAGGGTTCTCTTAGCGGGGGTTGTTTATTGTTTTGATTGGTAAAACGCAGGGTAAAAAATGCTAAAAATTTAGCCACGCCGCAGTCCACACTTCCGGGTTAAGTGACGACAAAATCACGTCGAAAACGCTAAAAATCCGCATAGAAGCATATATTTTCCCCAAAGATTCTTGAAACTATGCATTTCTTCACTAGAATATCGATGTGTGGTTGTGGAAAATAGCATTTTAGCGCCGATATCGAACAAAGAAAAGTTGTTTACACGCGCGTCGGCTCGCTCAAGTCTGCCGCTACGCTGCCAGCAGCGGGCGCAACAACCAAACAGAGATGCGAAATGCCGACACGTGACGCGGGATTGCGTCACAGTCTGAACAATGGGGGAGGGCTCGCCGTGCACGAAATGTTTTTGCGTCAATATTCAGCGCCGTGTTTCAAGATTAATACCGGGAAACATTTTTTTTCTTGTTTTTGAACGCATAAACATGGATTTAGGCTGATCTAGTATGATTCAGGGTTATTTTTTTTACCTGCCATGGCCAGATTATCTAAAGATGTGTGTGTTGTGTGTACACGGCTGTTTCACAATTGAGTGTACCCATTTACTTTTCCACATGTTACCAGTTGATAGCAAAGTCTACATGATATATTGATGTTTCAGACTTATATTTCCCAAAAGCTGGTGTGACAAGGAACATTACAATAAAAAAAGTAGGGAAATCGGTCAATATTTGGCGAAACTATCGACAAATATATTACTTAAAAATGCCCCATTTTCAATGTTACCAGCCGTCATTCAGTTTTTTCACATTCTTACCATTGCTGCAGACATCACAAATATGATTGATAGCTTAAAGTTTCTTATTTTATACAAGCAGGCATATGTTTACTAGAGATTTGTTACCAATTTTTGAAGATACACCACCTTTTTTTTGCCGGGAAGGTTATTTTTCACTTTTACCCCCATGTTACCAATTTTAGTGAAATATTTACTTAAAGATTGCAAGGTCTGTAGCATTGTTTAAATATGCTGTTATAAGTGCTAGTTTGACATATAAAGGTTTAATATGATGTATGTAAAAGAAAAAAAATTGAATGAGATCATTCCTACTTTCATCTGACTCACAGCTAAGGGTTGAAGTACAGGCTGCCATTTTCCGAAAAATTTTGTCCCGTCCGTACCCCCTCTTTATTTCTACATTAAGTAAATACTATAAGCTTCTAATTGTGATGGCTTATAAGTCTCTATTGGCATATACCAAACCACCATAGAAACCATTTCTGTGATAAAGACTTTGCCTGATATAGCACAACAAACCCCCAAATGTCCCGTCCGTACCCCTGTCCCGTCCGTACCCCCCACCTGTCCCGTCCGTACCCCCACTTTTAGTTTTTAGCCAAATACTGTGGAAAATGGCATTCCAATTGCTTGAAATACACATAGTAAAACCTTAAAAGATACAAACATTTGTCCTCCTTACTAAAATTAGTAGTTTTTAATGAAATCATTAACATTTGCTTTCATCCGGAGGAAGCTCTTGTGGACATAGTCTACTGTGGACTCACGTGCATGTGAACCAACTTTAGAGAACTGTTCTGGTTCTCTGAAAAAGGTATTAACAAGCCAAGGTTTAAAAGAAAACATACCAGTTCATGTACATTTTGTAGCTGTGCTAGAAATTAAGATTCTTTCAAGGGAGGAGGGTTGCCAATAACTCTGAATTTAGACTACAAATCCTGCAGCGCCCCCCCCCCCATTCTTTTCTTTGAGCACACTCAAATATATAAATGTAAAGGTTCTGATATGTTATGTTATGTTATTAATGCTGTTACTAATGTTCCCAAAGCCTTTTTAGCAATATTAGTAATTAGAATCCTTAAATACCTACCATCGGCTGATTTCTTTTAAGGAAAGCCCTAAATTATATAAGCCAGCAAAAGTTTCTGTTCATACTATAATATAAAGAAAATTCTAATTAGAATGTCCAGCTCCCTTTTCCTTAGTCTAGACACTATTACAGTGTTTGTAGATGCTTCATTTACTAGTATTAGTGAATAAATGTGTTTAAAAAGGTTTGGACAAGTCCCTGCAGTATCAGTCTTCTGACCCATTGTGTCCCGTCCGTACCCCCACATACAATCATAAAAATGATCATTGAAAAGTCCATTGATGTGTTTCCAAGATATATAAGCTAGAACCTTTTGTAGAAATGTATACAGAATGAAATAATAACAGAGATAAGCTTCCAAATTGCCTGAACTTGAAAATTTGGTATTTGACCTTTCCTTGAACATAAAATGGCAGCAAGTTGTTTTCCTCGTAATATAATAAATGACCAGAAAATGACACAGCAAGGTGTTACTGCAAATCAAAGTCAGTTTTTTGGTGTTGTGGATACTAGTAATGGAAGATAATATGGAATAGTGTTTATCTTTTGTTCTTTATTTGGGTATATTCTATGTAACTTTACATACAGTCTTGCAGTTGTCCCGTCCGTACCCCCTTAGTGACCCATTATGTAAAAGACCTGTATTACAGTGACCGAGAAGTGTTGTGCAGAGATATTTTAGGATATGAAGCCCAAAGTATGTACCTTTGAATTACCAACATAAATTTTGAAGTATATGAAAGTTGATTTTTCACCCCAAGTGACAGCCTTTTGGTACACTCAATTGTGAAACAGCCGACAATCTACAGAAATGTACATCAGGTCCGGTCATCCGGTTTTCACGTTTCGGTTTTTTGGACTCGGTTCTTGAATGTTGTTCCGGTCCAAACCGGTCCGACTGAACCGGTACCCACCCCTACACTCAACACAAAGTACTGTAGGGCACTTACTCCTTCACATTTTGACATCTGATTGTGATACCGTGGTTCCCATATAATGATGATATGCCATGCACGTCTCTGATCTTTTGTAGTTTGTGGTTATGTAATTTCTCCCACTCACGTGCTGTAATTTGATACGTTTGTTCCAGATGCCGCGCTCGTATCGGCGCCATCGTTCCCGTAGCTCCCCTGGCTACACCCGACGCAAACGCAGGCGAGAGTCGTCCACACCGCCAAGCAGGGAGTACTACGATAACTTCTACTCACGTCGTCATTCCAGAAGGTACAATTACACGTTTTTTACATCTTAACATCTTTCACAGACATGAATTTTGTGACTGAATGTATAGAGGTAATAAAAGTGGAGACCCACCAAAAAAAGCCTAGGCTAAATATACACAAGCTACAAAAAACATTGGCCGATGTCAAATGAACTGACATGAAAATGGTACAGAGTTGTTTCTTCCTTTTTTCCTAACTATAAGTATAATGCAAAATAATTGTTCGGTTGTAGAAGTTACTGGTGTTCACTGTTTTTTGTCACTGTTGTTTTGTCATTATCACTTACAGGTATCTAAGGTAAAAACGTACAATTAAACATGTTGTAATTTGTGTCCCCAGCCCAGTGTACCATTCCAAAGGTAGAGACAGGTGGGCGCCGGAGAGAGATTTCTACCAGGGTTCTCAATACGAGAGCAGGGCTGACTACTTCTGTGAGAGCAGATATTCCAACTTTGATTCCTTCGAAGAGAAGTGAGTGCATCTGACTCTGACGGATTTTATGACAACACTTACCAGAAAGGCTGTTCAAGGGCTCCACCTAGCAGCTATATTGATTATTACATGATCCTAAAACAGTCTTGTCACCAGGTCAATATAAAAACTGATTAACCTAAACAAAGGTGGTAGTACTGGTACAACTTTTCAGAGCCAGAAATAATTTTCTTTCCCGACTGACCCTAGAAAAAAATTCTGACCCTAGCCTTTTTTTCGGTGGCAAGGGACATAAATTTTTATAGCTGATTGAGCTTTTCTAGCTCCATGATCTGATAAGTTTTACTATTGTATAAATGAGATGAATAGAGATAGCAAAGTCTTAAAAAAGTAAGATGATCTACCTACCAACCATAGTTTTTCAGGACTGAAACAGGAAACACAGCATTTTTCCCTCAAGCATAGACATTTTTGATATGTTTTTAGTTCCAGGTACAAGGATGACAGCTACTACCGACACAGTAGCACAGGGCATCACTCCAGTCACCACAGCCACAGAAGACATCGCAAGCGAAGAAAGCGGCATCACCACTCCAGGTCACAATCTCACTCCAACTCGGTGAGTGTCCCCTCTCTCCTTCTACAGACACCCCCTCCCCCTTCTATAGGGGAAGGGGACCCCCAATTGTTCCTGAAAACAGTAAGTATTGTGGGGTTAGGCTGATATGTGGTTTAGTGATGATTGTGACTTCCCATTGTTGCCCCAGACACATGTCAGCCCTTCTGCACACAGACATAACACAATCAGCTTTCTAAGAAATAGATTTTGTTAGCCAGTATTATATTTCAAACATGGAGTACGTTTTATAAGAATGTAAACTTCTAAGAGGAGTAAATAGTGGCACTCTGGCATCAAAAAAGTATTTTGTAATCTCGGTTTTACTATTCTGAGCTCAGCAAGTATTTGTTGGCCTTGTCATCACTTTTGGAAAGTTAACCAGTGAAAGGGGTTGTTGTTGCTGATCTACTGTGTTTTGTTAATCAAGACTGTTGACTCTAATTTCTACAAAATATACTGACATGCAACAGAATCCATTAAAGAAGTGCATTTTGACTTTTCTTACAAAAATTGTAGGGCACTTTCTTTATGTGAAACAAAACAACACAACACAATGTTGTGTTCGGAATTGTTGCTGCTCAAATAAATTTTGTGGAAATTACATGTACAAAATTTACATGTGTTTGTTGGATTCTCAAACCTGAGACCATTTTGGGCAAATGAGAGTTTAGATTAAAAAAAAAAACTTAGTGAATATGACTTTCAGTTTTTGTCGTATTTCTGAACCAAAAAGAAAGGTTTAAGAATCAATTGGTCTCGGTTTTGTGCATTCAGCAAAAATCAACCAGAAACCAAAATACCGAAGAAGTTGGAATCAGAAATTATTGGTATTTTACTGAACTGAAGTTAAGTTCATATTCTTATTGACCCTACACCTTCTTCAAGGTATTTGGTTTTCCATTATGTAACACTTTTTTCAATCTGTTTCTTTATGCTATCAAATGAAACCACTGCCTTCCAATGTGAACAGAAGGGAAACAGAAATTTGTTTTTTTTTAAATGAGCTAGGCCCTTCTTATGTTCAAAGGAGAGACTAAGGTAGGTTCAGTGAAAAATGAAACAGAGCTCATTATGTAGTCCTGTTTTTTTTTTGTTACACTCCCTTTACAAGTATTTGTAGAAATTGTTTTTTTTTGTGAATAGAACCAATAACCAAATTTTCTTGCGGAAACCAATTCCACATTTTCTTCATTTTTTTTAATTTCGACTTTCATTATGCACATTGCAGGCAGATGGTAATTTTAAATCTACATCTTTTTCTCTATGAGTGTCTAATAAACAGCTGACATTCATTCAGAAGGCTATGTCAGGTCAATTTGTTGTTTGCCAGCATTTTCTGTCTATGGCAGCAAGGATGCCAAATTTAGATAAGAAAAACATCACAAAAAAATTAACAAAACTACTGCTAATTCAAAATCTATTCAACAAATCTGTTTTGCATTCAAGGCTCACTTATTCTCAACCCTAATTCACGATTGCATCCTTCGTTGGTTAAGAGCCAAGGTTTCTTGTGACTCGATCGAAATCAAACGCCAGTCGGTTCAACCAAATTCCTTATGTAGTTTGAAATGACTCTATTCTCAGTTGAGTCATACATTCATGCAAGTCTCTTACTCTCTCGCTAAGCGATTTCAATCTAAGATGTCAAAATTGTTCAAGTTCCACTTCTTGTCCCGTTTAAGGGCATATTTGCTTACACAACAAGGACTTAATATTATTTGTTCTTGGCAGCAAACATCAAACTGATCTGGCAGTGCCGAGGAATGTCTAAATGTGGGCAGGCTAATATTAGATGTGCCGGCTGTGAAGTCATACGACAGGGGCTGGTCATTCCATGCATAGCTTCTGACCATTTCAGCCACACGCCGGCCTAGCAATATAACATAACAGGGAGGGTTAGTCGGAGTTCGGAAGGGAGAAACATTTCGGACGGGTCATTTAGAAAAGGGGGTGAAAGGCCAACAAATGCGGGTGTTGAGCGTTCGCCGCTTGAAATCGTACATGCAGAAAAAACGGACGCAGCTGAAACTTAAGTTAAAGGAGTTCCTATGTAAGACTTGCGTGAGTAACCAACTGTATTCGATCTCCTGATTTTTTTTCCACGTCGAATTTGGAAATTCTGCTTTGTCGCTTTAAATTGCTGTAGCTGTTTTTGTTTTTTTTTGTTGTAGTGTTTGTTTGTTTGTGGTGCTGGTTAAATGCTTCTGTTGGCCACAGGTGCATACAGAACAGAGTAGAGCTAGCTGCCACGCATACAGAAACGATGCATGATCGCTTCTGCGTTGTCTGTGCTACAAGAAGGGCCAAATGTGTCTGGGGCAAGTGTAGGTTTGCCACAATAGCTCAGCTTCTATGCCTGACACACTCTAACTAATACCGACAACTGAAACACAAAGTTCAGGGTATACGTCTAAATTTTACATGACGTTACCACCTACGTACTGTTTGCCAGTTGTTCGAGATTAGTTAGAACTGTATGGGCAGGCGTGTACGTGTGATACTACGTACTGCTGTAGTAGAGTGAGTTTTTTTATCCGCTCTGACATACGTGATACCGTGATAATTGCACATATCTTGACATGTCCCTTGCATACGTGTTCGTTATCTTTATGTGCCCCCATATTTCCTGGGACTTGCGAACTGTCACGGCGCTGTCACACTTGCTGAACCCGCCGAACGCAATGCCCCATCAACTCGTCAACCAACTCTGAAAAATCCCCGTGTACGCTGGGCCTGATTCTTGCTGCCGGTTGGCTGTGGCGTGGTGTGGTTACCGTGGTTACAACATCAACAGCGAGATCGTCACGAGAAGAAGAGGGGAAAGAGTGTAGAGGACGACGAGGAGGGGCACTTGATATATCGTCACGGAGACTGGCTACAAGCGAGATGTACTCAACTTTCCGTAAATTAGTCATCTACATACATTACATCAATTGTGACAGACCAAAAAAAACAAAACACAAAAAAATGGACCTTTTTTACTACCACTACTACTACACGGACGAAACTCTGCCTGAAAACAATTGGCAGAGGGAAAAGATAGGGAGACCCTCAGAGTCAGACACGTATTGTTTTTGAGTGCTTCAGCTATTTTTCTTCAATCTAAGTTTCACATGTAGTACCTGTCTCTGGAATTGGGGCGTTTGTTTTTACTTACTACATACAAGTTGGGTTTCGGGGCATGACTTTAGTTTTCCAGTGTCCTGTAAAAGTACTCCTCGTGCCATTGGCTATGTTAACTCTCTCCCCTTTATTCCAGCCTTGTCGCAGTAATATTAATAATAATATGATAACTAGTTTTCTATGTACGGATTGCAGTCTTAATATAATATTCCTTATAGAAAAGCCAATAGTTTGCAATCTGTGTGATAATGTTTATCGATATTTCATATGTGCTAGCTGTAATCGTATTAAGTAGTATGAAGTTAAAACAGATCGTAGATATTCGATCCATGGGTGTCTTCATATGCCACAAAGATGTGCACATAAATTTTCTCTCCCTTGTTTTAGGTATTTTCCAGCAGGAGCTTTTGAAAGTGTGAATTCAATACTGTTTGGTAGACAAAAATGTTCTGTGTTCACACCAAAGTAAAACAGTTAAAAATGAGTATTAAGTCACATTTATTCAATACCTGATCACAATGTAATTTTCACACACACACACCTGCACATACAGACACTGATCACCAGAAATATACGCTGGTATTGTATCTTGTGTAGATGCATTACTAGTATACAAGCCATGTGAATGTCTTTGTGGCATACCAACAACTACAGACACCCTAGTGTATGACACTTGTCTAATGCGTGTGTTCCCCTCTTTTTATAGATGAGATTGTTAGTACTTTAGGTGAAGGTACCTTCGGCAAAGTCGTGGAATGCGTCGACCACCAAAGGTAAGTTCATTCCTAGACAAACATGATATTTCCTTATGTCTGTATCTTTAGCAGGGCTCAAAATACGCGAAACCTGTAGGGTAAGTTGAAGAAAATGTTTGGAAAAAAACTGAGTAGCATGAAAAGAAATGAGGACAAAATAAAAAGTTAGGTAAGTCTATATTCCACTGTGAAATGGAGTGAAATGAAACTTCATCTTGGCAAGATACAAGAATACAAGCTTGATAGTATAGATCCTGTATTCGGCAGATATAAGAAAGAAAGTATTTCGAGTCCTGAGGGTGTTTTGAGTTGATTTTGCCTTATTTGTAAGTGTTTTGGTATACCCGATGTGTAAAATATACTAAAAAATGGCACAAAATGTCAGAAATATAGTTACAGTCCTTTTCAAGTAAAGGTCTAAAGAACAATTGAATATTTACTATGCTGTGCCAAAATAGATGCTGTAGCATATCGTCATTGACAAAAATGTTGGTGTATGTAACAGTGTAAGAGTTGTTGTGAATTGCAAGATACTTTTAGGCAGACAGTGTTATCAGCAGTATATCAAATTTCTGTTATGACGTAAGTAGACGCACGCAGGGCATATTTCAGACCACTCTCATATCTGACTCATAGCAGCCTGTAAGATAGCTGTAAATAAGGAGATAAATTGGCAATATGTCAAGAATAAAGATGTTGCAGTAGAGAATATGGGAAGTCCACTAGAAATATAAGATGGTTGGACTTTGTTGCTAATTCAGGGTATTTTCAGTGTACGGAAGTATTGTTTTGGGTGGCTGAGCTGTATGTGTGTGTGTTTGTTTGGACAATGTAGCACATGGGTGGGGAAGAGTGACAGGCAGAATGACAGGTCAAAATGTCAAAACATAAGAAATAGGGCGCCTTGGTAAACCAAGATACTCAATACTCATGGGAAATTCAAACTCTACTACTTGATAAATTACAGAGATAATTTCCAAATATTTCGAGTGACATCCACCACTCTTCTTCAGTGCCTCTTGTACGAAATAGGGTGAGCGTGAAGGTAAAAAAAACTAAAATACTTCTTAAAATTTCTAAATTTCTTGTCTTTTTCACAGAGGGAGGAAAAGCATCGCGCTGAAGATAATCAAGAACATAGAGAAGTACCGAGAGGCCGCTAAACTGGAAATCAACGTTCTGGAAAAGCTCGCAGACAAGGATCCTAGCAACAAATTGTAAGAAAACCTTCATCCTTCCATTGCTTCACACCATTTCTGCATATTTTTGGCATGTGTGTTGTGTGGTAAGGGTGTGTACTGGTACTAATCTTGTCAGCACAGGACCGTTACATACTGGAATGCCAATTTACGTGAATAAACTTACACTCAAGTATTTACTTACTTTGTGATGAAATCATTGTCTCTTTTCGTGGTAGCTGTGTTGTACGATTGAGTGTAAGTTTATTTAGATACAGTGATAGTACATTGGTATTCCTGTTTTTGGGCCTGTACTGATCATCATGTACACACCCCTATCATGTAACAATTAACGCACTAGCACAGTCAAAACTGACCAAGAACTACTCGATCAGGGAACCAACAAGATGTCTATGTGTACAGGTGGTCACTATAGACAGCATTCTTAATGCTTTTGCTTTGCGGAAAAATTATCTAAGGACCGCAAAAAGTCGTGTGGCATAACGGTGGAGCGTTTGGCTTGGAACCAAGAGGTCCCGGCTTCGAACCCTGCCATGTCAATGATCTTGGGCCCTTGGGAAAAGTACTTAGCACGACTTTCCTGGATGGAGGCCTGGCGAACCCCATCTCGAATTAGCCACAAAAAGGCAGCAGAATCTTTAGCTAGTTGAAGGCGGCTGCCTCAAAATGAAAGAAGTTGGTGGATAACTTGTGCAGGTTTGACTGTAGTAGTTCATGAGGTCCATGTGATGTTGTTTTCCTTGTTCTATGTGGGACACGTACAGCCCTTTTGGTGATCAGGGAGACTGGTTTAGTACCATGATGGCCAATGCCTCTCGGGAACAAAGGTGCTTCTGCTCTCACTAGCCTGTGTTCTACTCTGTCCTAACAATGGTGAACCCTATTCAAAAGGGATGTTATTTTTTCTCCTGCAGTCTCTGAAACATCTGCTACCTGAAATGTCTGACCGTTTCTAAAGTCATCCAGTTGCTTGAGTAACTGTTTTTTTGCCGTAGAGTTGTTTTTACTTTTCTAATTGACCTTTTTTTTCAATCAGGAGTCACTCCGATTGGTTGTTTTTGTCGTTGGAATTAAGAAAATAATGCGAGATTGAAAGATCAACTTGAAAACAGAATCTGAGGGGAAAGTTGTTGAGTTGATTCACGTTTTCGTATCAGCCCTCTGTTTTTATGTTGATCCTTTGCTAAATTTTACATCTGGATTGTCTGAGAACTTAAATGAAATTGGCATATGAAATTGGCATGTTTTTTTTTTTTTTCAACCAGGCCTTAACAAGAAACGTTTGTAAAGAAATCTGTCTGGACTGTTTTGTGTGCTGTGTGTATCCCAGAGTGGTAGACATTAGAAGTAAAATGTTGTCTTCTCTCCAAACTAAAATGCGTCTGTCTGTCTCCTGTGTTCAACTGTTGCTCCCTTTGTTGTGCTGTGTTCTGTAAACCAACACGGGATTTTGTTCTTGTTGATGTATTTGCTTTTATTATATTGTTGTTAGGTAATAAATAAATGGTATCCAGTGACTAGTCACTTTAAAATTAAAAAGAGACTTCAAATATTTGAAACAGACTTCAGAAAGTAAAAAATCTTGAAACCTTAAACTTCAACATTTTACAAAATTTACCATAATCAATCTTTTTTCATAAATGCTTTCATGGTTCTGAGATGACTTTTTTCTTAATGACATTACAATGCCATCCAGAGTTTTCCTAGTTCCTACCAGACTACAAAGGGTTGTTGAAAAAATAGTAGAAATTGGCCAAATAGACATTCAAGAAGACTTAGCAAGCCATAGAAATTCTACTATTTTTCAGCAGCCCACATGTATTGTCTGGTAGAGATCGTTTCAGGCCCTGTTTTTGAATCATTGCCACAGTGTTGTGCAGAGTGATGTTAAGTCTAACCATTGTTCCCCTCTGCTGTTCCCCCAGCCTGTGTGTACAGATGCTGGACTGGTTTGACTACCATGGACACATGTGCATCTCATTCGACATGCTGGGGCTCAGCGTCTTCGACTTTCTGGTGAGTAAAACCTAATCTCAGATAACCTGATCTCTGATCTCAGGGGCCTAGCTAGAAATTTTTAGGGGAGTGGTGCTCCCTAATCGGATGATGTAGTGAAACAAAATCTGCAAATTTTCATGGAAATACTAAGTAAGAAAAAGCCGAAATTTGAACAATTTGGGAGTGCTGCTAGGATTTTGGGGAGAGGGGGAGCACCCTTACTTCAGTGCTTTGGGAAAACCCTGGGATTTTTTGGTAGCTGCAAAGACAGAATCAATTGGCCAGGCTGTATCCATTGTCCAGACAGTGATCTTCCGTGGCTAAGTGTTAACTGTCTGCCCAATGGATACTGCCTGGTCAGATTGATCAGCAACCACCAAAACAAACTTGGAGATTAAATTGAACACCTCATCTTTTTTTTTAATCTTTGTGTGGATAACTCAGAAAAAAATGTACCTGCATCCTACCAGTTGGTCTCACCATAATAGATTTCTCTTATATTAGCTCCAGTATGTACTAGTTCATGTAGTTCTTGATACACAGACTTTTGAAAGGGTCCAATAGCCTTAAAAAAGCTGTAGGGGTAGTACTATTCCTAAGGACACAATGTCTGGACCTATCTTGCTCCAAATGGTCCGTGGAAATGTTTGTGTGGCTAAACGCTGGCCGGTGGCTAGGCCCCTGTCCGCATTCCATGTTAGAAATTGTCTGGCATGTTTTGTAACCTACACCACCTATTTTAGCACCACCATATGTGTTATGCTAGATATGGTGGCCATTTGCTGATTGATACTTACCATAATGCAGGGGTCTTTCCAGAAATTGTTAGGGGAGAGGTGCTCCCTAATCGGTTGATGAAAAATCAGCGAATTTTGATGAAAATACTAAGAGAAAATCTTAAATTTAAACATTTTGGGAGAGGTGCTAGGATTTTGGGTAGAGGGGGAGCACCCTTGCTTCATTGCTTGGGGAGAGCCCTGATTATGCAATTGCTATCGTTTTTAGGCACTTTTGTGTTGATACACAGTAGCAAAACCATTTACAATTCGATTTCTTCAGAAATACTGAAATACTTAAGGCTTGCTGCTTTTTTCTAGATCTGTTTTCCTGGGAGTTATTTGAGCAGCATTTCTGTCTGTCATAATTAGGCCACATATGACATGTACAGGAGTCTGCACAAACAAGACTAAGCCATGGGTTTAACCCCCTTTTAAGTTGTTGATCTATTTTGTCTATAGTTTCATCTGATCTACATTTTTTCTGTCATATCTCTTGTCAAATTAAGAACTTCCAATTGGAGCTGTGTGATCCTTTCAAAATGACTTGCATAATTTGTTCTAGATGCACACACCAAAGATCTTTTTATGGCATTTCTTTTCAAAATTGACAGCTTTGAGTTCTCTAGTTACTTATGATGAATTATTTAAGTATTTTTCTTTAGGAATGAATTTTTCACACACCAAAAATGTGCTATATATAAGGCATGTGGCATGATCTTAGAATTACTGACTTATTTGTGTTCATTTTGTAACATTTCTTATTTTGGTACCTTCCACAGAAAGAGAACAGTTACCAGCCCTACCCCCTTCATCAAGTTCGACACATCGCATACCAAATGTGCTACGCTGTCAAATGTAAGTACTCAACCCTTTTCTGTGAGTAACACTGTGACATATGACATTGTTAGCTAACAGCTGTTGCTCTGTTGTTGTTAAGTGTTGTTTCGTTTCTCTGGAAAGATTTGGCAACACCAGTAGTGGCAGAATAAAAGTTTGCTACAACTGTATCAAACTCTACAAAATGTACAATGTCTCAACCTCACACTGTAACATATTGTTGTAATCCAATTTTAACATTTTTCTTCCCCTTAACTTAGGGGTTATCTAAGGGACCGCATCAAGTGCTTGCATCAAGTGCAAGTCTTTTTTGAAGCAAGATTTTTTACGACTGGATGCCCTTCCTAATGCCATATCATATCAGAAGCTAAATGTACGATGAACAATTCAGCATGTAGAAATTTGTGAAATGTTTCAAACTGTGTTTTCTTCCAGTTCTGCATGACAACAAAATCACCCACACCGACCTGAAGCCGGAAAATGTCCTCTTCGTCGACTCTTCATATGACATGTTCTACAATGCAGAAAAGGTGGGCATTTTCTCTTGCCCTATAAAAAGAGATATATTCCTTTCTATGCAATACTTCTCTTGTTTATTGTGGTAAGTTTTAATTATTAAGTCTCTTGTTTATTGTGGTAATTTTTAATTATTTAGAGTATTGTTTTTGACATTTCTGTGTGTGTGTGTGTGTTTATGCGCTGCAGTTTTTTTATGTTCTGCCAGGGGGAGAAACTGGCAAGAGGGTGAAGCATGCTATCTCTGATTGGCTTGTTTTTTTCTCAGTGAAACGTTTTTTGTGCAGCCCTCTTTGATTGCCGAGTCTGAAAAATAATTCACATTTGATAGACTTAAACTCTTTTCATATTCGTGTGCAGAAGAGACAAAAATAAAGTTATTCCTCACCGTTTTGAGTTTCTGGTGTAGGTATCTTCGAATTCCAAGTCTTGAAAAGAATTAACATTTTTTCCTCTCTGTCTGCAGAAGAGAGATGAGAAGTATGTGAAGATGACAGACATCCGGCTGATCGACTTTGGTTCAGCAACGTTCGACTGGGAACATCACAGTACCATCGTCTCCACCAGACACTACAGGGCACCCGAGGTCATTCTGGGTCAGTACACTTACATAAAACTGTTGTGTGTGTATGTGGACGTGTGTGTGTGTGTGTGTGAGAGAGAGAGAGAGAGAGAGAGAGAGTGTGTGACTGACTGTCTGACTGACTGACTGACTGATATCATGTTTGTGACTAATATTAATATTGTAAACTCTCCCTTTTCCCTTTTCTACAGAGTTGGGCTGGGCCCAGCCATGTGACGTTTGGTCCATTGGTGCCATCATATTTGAGCTGTACCTGGGCTTCACAATGTACCAGACACACGACAACAGAGAACACCTGGCCATGATGGAACGCATCCTGGGACCAATGCCCTCCAAACTCATCAAGAAAACAAGGTTTGCATCCATATCTGGTTTATTGTCTGTTGTTCCCTGTCTTCTAAAAATTAGACGTACTGATGCTTGATGGCAGCCTGCCACTTGCCTCTGTCCTGTGGGTTGGTTTTGACACAGTGTTTAACTTGATAAAATAAGCTACATTGAAAAAAGTGGGTCACCAATGTATGTCCCTCTTATTTCAGGAAGCAGAAGTATTTCTACAAGTCCAGACTAGACTGGGACGAGTCCAGTTCAGCAGGGCGGTACGTCCGGGAAAACTGCAAACCTCTACGGGTAAGTCTGGAGGGTTTTAAGGCCTGACTGTCTTCACTTTGTGAATTTCAAAGCTGATTAAAACAAAAATACATGTCACAAAATCATGATACATGAGTAGGTTTGTCCATGTTGCATGTTAACGGTATGATCTTGTTCCTTTTCCAGCGCTACATGCTTGTGAACGACAAGGAACACGAGGAGCTGTTTGACCTCATCTCCCAGATGCTGACCTACGACCCTTCCAAACGCATCACACTGTCGGAGGCCCTGAGCCACCCCTTCTTCGCCCTCCTTCCACCGGAGCAACGCCTCGGCAGACGGGAACACTCGCACAGCCTCAGCAGATGACAGGGCAGAGGTCATAGTTCAGGGTCAGGGGTCATAGTTCAGGGTTCACACTCAGCCGGTCAGAGGTGAACCGAGCAACACCTTGGCAGATGGGAACACTTGCACAGTCATAGGTCAGGGCATAGTTCAGGGTCAGGGCAGAGGTCATAGTTCAGGGTCATAGTTCACACTCAGCCGGTCAGAGGTGAACTGAGTTTGCACACGTGTGTGTAGCTAGGATAGGTTTTTACATTGTCACTAATCTGTAAGGGGTACTAGTATGCATAAGTATGGAAACCAGGGCTCAAATTACACTCCTGAAACTTGCAACATCGCTCACAGTTAGCCAGTCACACATTCAAAACTTCACCACCTAGCTCCCAACCATAAATAGGAGAAGATTTGTCAGCTATATGTGACAGGCTTTACTCACTGCCCGTTTTACCATCAGTTCTTCCCTGTTGTACTAAGGTTAGACTTGATACGTTCAACCTCAAGGATGTAAGCTTTTGGTGTCTACATCACGGTATTATAGAGAACAACTGTCAAGTATTTCAAGCCCTGCTTTAACTTTCACAGTACACCTTGGGAACAAAAACAGATTTTATGAGCCCCTTTTGGTGTCTACATACTGTACTAGGTAGTTGATATAAATGTACGTGGACCATTGTCTTTAGTGGTGCTCATATAAATGTCGGTTTTGTATATGTCGGTACTTAATATTATAGTTAACATGTCACAGATTATATGTGAATTTAATGTTAAATGTGCACGAGTGTGGATCAGTATTCTAGCTAGTTCATTTGTCAAGGTATGAATGAATGATGTAAATAAGAATTAAGACCTGTAACCCACGTTTTGCAGCAATTAATGATAATAACTATATGAGAAACTCACTGGTGCAGGTTAGGTACATGTAGCTCTACAAAATGTTTCAGAAACGTGCAAAGAAGTTAAAACAATGTTGAAGCCACAAATATGTAAGTATCACTGTCCGACTGTTTTAGTCGTTACCAAAGTTAGAATATAAGTCATTTGTATATTTATTGACTCCTTGTCTTCTTAATGGGAACATGTGTACAGATATAGATGCTAATACTCAATGTAAAGCACATTTAAGGGTGCCTTATGCCTGCCATTCTGTATTCAAACTTGAAAGAGTAGTCATATACATTTTATTATTTCCGTATATGTGCGTGTGCAATTGTGTTAGAAATAATCACATTTTGTTTTTGGAAGCATTTCAATCATCACAGTAGTTCCTTTTAGAATTTTTAATTCTTACACTGATCGTACAAATTGTACACGAATGCAAATTATTGCAAGGCAAAGTCATTGCTTCTACTGCGACTTTAGCAAACGACTTCAGAACATCGGTAATTTTTCTACTTAATGTTTAGAAAGAACGTTGCACTGTAGCAAATGAAACAAAATGCCAGCAAACTTCCATGAATTTATGTTAGGTGTGTGTGTACATCATTATTTATTAGCTGATGCTGTTAGTTTATTTTCACATAAAGACCTTGTTGTCAAAAGTCTGAACAGTTTCTACTACATAACTGCTGCATGACTTAGCAAAATAATGCAAACCTAAGACATGATTTCTTCCTGTATATGTTATTGTTAACATCACAAACATCGAAAGCTTTCCAGTTAAAGTGAAATCTGTACCTCAGTTCAAAATGGGTCTGTGCAAAAGTACATGTAGGAACAACAAAGTATATGAAGCATGTGGGTAGGAATTTGTAGTGGACTAGACATTAGGTATGTCTTCCAAGTGTATTTAGCTTGTTATGTGGGTAACCTATGTATGTCACAATACACATAATGGTTTTGTATAATCATGGTTGTCTTTTCATTTCTTAAAAACGTGTGTTTAAAGTAACATGCTTAAGATGCATCCACACACAGATTAACGTATATGTCCTTGGTTCTGAACACCATCCACACACACAACATGCCTGTCCTTGGTGCTGAACACCATCCACACACAAACATACCTGTCCTTGGTACTGAACACCATCTGCACACACACACACATGCCTGTCCTTGGTGCTGAACACTATCCACACAGGTGAACATGCCTGTCCCTGGTACTGAACACCATCTGCACACACATAACATACCTGTCCTTGGTGCTGAACGCCATCCACACAATTCTAGAAGAACGTTTGCAATAGTTTTATTTCAAAATCTTCATCTTGCAAAAATATACATTCAAATATCAGCATCTATAGGCATTACTACATGCATCTTTTCTGCAATTATACAATTCTCTACAAGCTGTGTCATTATTGTTATAATGTAAGAAAAAGTATGAAAATCACCAAAATGTTCATCTTTTATAGTCATTAAACCTTACTGCTATTCTATTAGCCATTATTTAGTGACTTTATGTCACCTTGTGGATGAGAGACTGCCTTACACTATGTATCTCTTTAAAATAGTAGCATATCACTACTGTCACTTAAATAATCTACTCTTAAGACACACCAACACCCTTTTCACCACTGTCTAACACCACGTGAACCATTTTTCATAGGTGGCATTTTCTCAAATCCAAAGAATCAACTGTCTATCAGTCTTAGATCATTTTAGGGTTATTCCCAGTGTTCGTTTTCATTTCTTTTTTAATGTGGATATAATTAATTTAGCAACTAAATTTGAGCATACATTAGCTTTGATTCAAACTTAATAAAAGTCCTTAAATATTTTAATATTCTTGATATTTTAGTCATATTTTCCTTAAATGTACATCAAAGACAAAATTGTAGGATAACAAAGGTTTTTTTACGTTAGTTAGAAATAGAAATATCTCTGAGTCACCACCTCTGCAAACTTTTAAAGCAGCAAACATGCATGTCAAAGTAGCTCAAAAACACAACAAATCAAACAATCTACACAATATCCCTTTGGTGTATTTTTTCTAGTAGGGTTGTAGCCCCTGGGATACAAAAAAATGTTTTCCTTGGACGATTTCTTCAATAAGAATGAGTAAAACTTCTATCAACACTTAAAATAAAGTATAAGACCAGCTATACAGATACAGATAAGGTCCTAGTTGAGGTAAAAATACTGTAAAGTATAATGCTGAGAAAACCCTAATAATCTCAGATTGGTACTTTGGTGTATCTTCCAAAATGCCCAAGGCACATTGTTACAACCATCTCTAAAAGGGTACGGGACCGGGATCACCAATGACTACCTTAGACTTAAACAACAAACAAAATTCTATTTTTCATTAGATTTTGGATCTAATAAATGCTGAATATAAAACAAAATGACCAAGAAGTTAGAAAATAACTTAGCATAGCCTTAGTGTAAAATCTAAAACACTGCTAATATCTGTCAAGACAGAGTTTGAGCATGTTCCCTCCCTGAAACTATGTTCCAAGACTTCTCTCTGACTCTCTTTTAGAGTAAGTTGATCTTTCGGTTCAGCTTTATCTCTACTTTATCTCAGTGATCTTACAGTTACAGACCTACTGTTAAAATCATAGGTCACTGTTTGGAGAAGAAGAAGAAACTGAGCAAAAACAAGATGTTTTCCTTTGGTAAACTTAAAGACAAACCAAAGCTAACTGCCTTTAGTATCTATCAGGACTGAGTGATCGAGCGCTCAGACTACGCGTGAGGCGTGAGATCTCGTCCCACTTCTGAGCTTGGATGGAACTCTCCAACAGCGTGGCGGAACGGACACGGTCCACGTCGCCCTGAAGGGTGTAGACATGGTTCCTCAGCCTCAGGATCTCCTCTTCCTTCACTGTCAGCTGTGGGGGGAAGAAGGGGGAAATTTGAATTAATCTGACTGTGACAAATACAATTCTAAAAGGCAAGGGAGAGGGTAGTAGCCACAGAACCAAGAGGTTGAGAGTTTGAATCCCGGATGTTGTCGCTCACATGCATGCTCCTGGAAAGGATCGCAGTCCTTAGGACGGGACGTTAAGCCGTGGTCCACTGTTCATTGTGCTTTTCGAAAAGAGATAGGGGAATTTTCCCAGTACAAAGAACCTGTAAATGCAGGTTTGACTGTTGTTCATTGACAATTAGACTCACTTGTAGTAGAGTTCATCAGCTTATCATACATTGTATCCACTACAACATTTTGTTGTGCAATAAAGCAGATTTATTGATCGATTGATTGATTTAATGAATGATTGCTCCCACCTGTTTCTGCAGCTCTGCCACGTGGTCCACCAGTAGTGCCTTGTCGCGCCGCAGCTGAGAGTTCTCCACGTTAGTCGACGTGTGAATGCCCTCCAACTCCCGCAGCTGGCTCTTAGCCGTGGCGCCTTCTAAACGCACTGATGTCCCTAGCTCCTCCTGTACACGCACCTGGATACAAGAAGAATATCTGTGTGTTAGTGGACATGTTTGTTTGTTTGCAAATGTGTGTCCTCTCTAAGGGCTTGTGGTCATATCAAAAGAAACATTCCCATTCCCAGAACTACATATAGGAGTTCAGGATTGCAATTCTCATAACCTAGAAAGGAAAAAAATAAGTCAGTGAAAGTTAGACATTCAGATAGGACACTGAATAACACAAAATAAATCAAACAACAACTGGATATCATCCACCATCTCCTGTGAGTGACTATGGGTATGAATGCTAAAGGATGGCAGATCTGAAGATTATTGTTGACGTAATAATGAAGCAAAATGTTCCATATAGGGGGGCAAATTTTCTGACAAGCTTTTGAACTTTGACCTCCTCACCTGGTCCATGTAGTTCCTGACCTTTGCCCTCTCCTCCTCCAGCTGATTTCGGAGCGTCTCGATCTCGAACTTGAGCTGGCGCTCGTGGTCCTGGAGGGACATCACCTCCATCGTCTTGGAGGCTTCACGGGTCTCCTTGTCTTCTCGCAGGTGACGCTCCTGCAAAAAGTGGCAAGGTGGTCTAATGAGGTTAAGGGTTCGAATCCAATTGTTGTGCCCTTGGGAAAGGCACTTTAACACCTATTTCCTCAATTCACTCATGTGAACACGGTGTTTTGACAAAGGTGACACTCCTAGAAAAGCAACAAGGTGGTCCCAGTCCAATTTCCTCACAAAAAAATGTGACTTTGATTTGAAAAAAATCTGAGTTCATGCCTATTTGATAAGGGGTTGAAGTTGCTATCTTTGATTGCCTTGTTTAGGTTTTGCATTGCCCTGACTTACCCTGTCCAGTTGCCTGTTCAGTTCAGCCACCTGTTGTCCCAGTAAAGCATTTTCTTTGGTCACCCTCGCCAGGTCATCTGACATCTGAAATGTGAGAGATTGTAGGACAAAAAGGGTAAACTTGCATGCTAAGATCAGAGGTATGTGTCTGAAGTACAGAGTAAAGAGACTCTTTTTACACAACCAAGTCTTTTATTCGGCCAACATTTTGGTGATCGCCTGTCACCTTCTTTAGGACAGTTGTACCCTACCTTATTCCTGAGGAACCTGTCCTGGTCGGAGGACATCTCATGGTCTTTTAGCTTGATACGCAGCAAGCGAGTTTCCTCCTGTAACATAGAGACATGGAGTACATGTTTACTCATCAACTTATTCAAAATACAGTGTAATAGATATATTATAGGCTACATGGTATACATCCTGACCGGCAAAGCAGAAAAAAAAACTTGACCCAAGGAATACACCAGGGACTACAAAAATGTACACAGAACAAAAAGAGTTCCAGAAGAAACCTTGCCCCAAACACCCATGGACTGAAAAAAAAACAGTACTCAGCACAACCAGTTATACATGTAAAGCAAGGCTAATAGCCTAACTCGTACCTCCCAGTCCTGTGTTGGAAGGTAAAAAAATGCCAGCTATAAGCAAAAAAGTTTGGCTGGCGCAAAATCGCAGTGAAAGCAACATTGCAGTGAAGCATGGTGAGGAATGCACCACTGCAAAGAAATGGCTCAGGATGTCACTGTGGACATGAATGTGCTATAGCTTAAAAACATAGGAAAAAAACTTCACTCATTCTCTCAGCAACATCTATTAAATACTGACCCTGAGATCCTTCGTGGCAGCCTCCGCCATAGCAGCTGTGCTGGTGTAGTACCTGCAGGACAAAAATCACAATGTTTGTTTGTTTGTTTGTTTAGAGTGGATTTTCACACAGCACAGCTCAAGTCTTTGTCACCGAAAAAGACTGGAACTGCATGTAATACATACAGTTGAAAATTTGGGTAAGTCCACAATTCTTGTATTGGAAATAGTTTGAACTCACCATGTGATGACGTCTATTAACACAGGTGAACAAACTCACCTGTCCTCGGCAGCAGACAGAGCAGACTGGGTCTTCAGCAGGTCGGCTCTCTTCTCCTCCAGGTGGTACTGGGTCACCTTGTGGTCAGCCGCGCGCTGGTCCAACTGGGAACAACAAACCCAGAGTCAGTACACAGGGATTGCATCCATAACAAAACAAACAAACAAACAAACACACTTCTCCTCCAGGTGGTACTGGGTCACCTTGTGGTCAGCCGCGCGCTGGTCCAACTGGGGGGAGGGTGGGGACAACAAGATGTCAATGTTGGCAAAGGATAGACCCAGACTGAGGACTGGAAACTTAAGGTAACATTTAATTTTGTAAAGTTTAACATTCATGTATTATGTTACGTTCATATGGTGCTCTATTTCTTTCTACTTTCAAAAACAAATTCATATGGAGACCGGCCCCTTCAACTCTGTCCTGCCACTTGCTACATAAGCATACAGCATACAGTTTTTACAACATTCCATCACTCTGGTGTCAGATCATGGACCTACAAAAGGTCAATCTGTTAAAAAAAAACTCATGTCCCTTGCAGGGATCCACTCCGAAAAGTCTAGGTTTGGCAGTTTTTCCTAGGGTCAGTCAGGAAACAGGAAACACAACATTTATTTCCAAGGCCTCACCTGTGTCTGTAGGATCTTGATCTTGTGATTATCAAAGCCAGGATATCTATGTATATATGTATGGTTCAGGCGTTGTTGTAGCTTACCTGTGTCTGTAGTATCTTGATCTTGTGGTTAGCGTTGTTATAGTCGACCTGTGTCTGTGTGAGCTGTTCCCTCAGCGCGAGGATGTCCCTGTCCTTAATGGTGATGTCACGGTCCGCCACCTCCTTCAGCTTCCGCAGGGAAACTATCTCATCCATCAGGAGACGCTTCTCACGGGAGTACGCATCTGTTTGGAGGTAATAACAGGAAGGAAAGTTAGATGTATTGTGTAGATAAAGTACTAAATATTGTACGTTTGGGAATGCAACTATAGCAGTGACACCTGTGCTGCAATGCAATGTGAACCAGTCATAATTGCCGAAACGTTGACCGTTAATAAAACACATTATTGGAAGTTGGTTGTGTAAAAAGAGTCTCCTTACTCAAGGAAAGTTAGAGATGGCAGACTTCACCCCCTTACCCATGCTAATTTGTGTTTCCCTTCCAGCCTGAGAGAAATATCATTAAAAAAAATTATGTTAAAGCTGTAACATTAACCCTGGGTTGATAACTCTAGTACAATCTCAGTTACTCACTGGTAACTGTAAAACAAATAGATTCAGATTTGACCACAAAGGAAAGTTAGAGACTTCCCAATCCTTGTGTCTGTTTGTCTGTGTGTGTGCTGCTATCTGAGTAAATGAATAACACTGCCACCGTGACTAATGTCCAAGAAGATCATACGGTGGCAAGGCAGTATCCGTTGCCCAGATCGAGTGACTGTCCATTAGCCACCTGAAGATATACTGTCTGGCAAATGGATACTGCCTGGCCAATTTGATACTGTCTTTTAGGGCTACCAAAAGAACTGCTTGGAGATTAACTGTGACATCTTTTGGCCCCATTTTCAGTTGTCTAGTACTTACTGTAACTAGTATCTATAGCAAAGTAAATAACTAAACGACACCCACCTTCAGTAGTGACAAGTTTAGACTCGACACGGCTCTTCTCAGTAGAGAGCATGTCCAGATGAGATTCCTTCCTGCGTATTTCCAGGGACAGTCCGTCCACTTCTGACTGAAGGTCCCGCAGCTTTCGCAACATCCGCTCTGCTTCTGCCGTCATCCTGGGGTGGATGTCTGCAGAAATATGCATTGTGCGTTGATAAAGGTTTAACATATATTAGGTCTAGAACATTAAATGTAGTACAAAATAAATCAGCTTCAACTGGATAAATTCTCTGAAGTGTCAGACGACTTTCCTACCTGTGGCTTTTTTGGCCTGGTCCCGCGTAGAAGAATATGTCAAGGAAATTTAACTTAAATAGATTCATATAGTCATAAAAGTACATTTTACTGGATTTTGTATGTAGTCAGGATTCTTATTCCATTGGTCATGAAGAAAAGAGTGTTGCCATCAAATGGTAACAATGGCCAGAAGTTTGCCTTTTACACCAAGGTATGTAACATTAATTTTGTCTTACAATCATCATACAATAGCAAATTGGCGTTGTATTTTTGGGATAGCTGTGCACCTGTAAGATACATTTTTTTCACACATTGTTTGCCTGCAATTTAGTAGGCAGCTGCTAGGTGGGGTAAGTGAGAGGATATAAGAAGTTGGCCTCCAGCTCCAGGAAGTAAACTTGCTGCTGAAGGTTCTTGATGTACTCTGCTTCGATGTTTCCCAGGTCAGAGGTCGACGACCGCAGGCTCTTGCTGCGGAAAAGAAAAAAAAAGATTAGACCAAAAATTGTAACATCTAACATATTTCTGTAAAGGGTTTGGATTTTGCTAATGTATGTGGCAAGACTAGAAGCAGCAGTGATCCAAAGTATCTAACCCTTACACCAAGCCATTTAGTTCTGCTGCTATAACCTGTACAACATTGCCCTTCTTAAATACATATTAAGCTTATTGCAGGCTGACAGTTAATAAGCTGCAATTTAAACTGTACACCAGAGGAATATTAGGCTAAGCTTGGATGCAAAAAAATCAGTAGCCTGGTGCTGCATGTATTGTTCAAATAGGATGATATCCATGTAATATGTAACAAAATGCTGACTGCGCATTATTAAGGCGATCCCAGAGTGCAGCTGACAACACTTGTTACACTTCCAAATTACCGTGAACTTGACAATGATCGATTAAGACGGGGGCTGCCGGGAAAAACATGAAATGGAAAATCATTTTAGAAAATGAACTTCGTCATAAACAATTTGAAGACATTGATTAAGTGCCTTTTTCCATTTAATACAACCACATAATGTCTCACCTGCCTTTAAGCTTATGATTAAAGGAGTTAAACCTTTTGATCATTCTATATAACAGTAACCACATAATGATCCCACAATGACCCACATACATGTAGGAAGAGTGAATTAAGACTAAAATAACAAAATGTATGGATAAATGAGTTAGTTACCTGAATGCCGGTGCCAGGTTGGAGCCGCTCTTGTTGAGCTTACTGCCACTACTGGATCTACGCAGGCTTCCTGTCAAGTTAGTGAGAAAACAGCAGTCAATATCAACTGATACACTAATATGTGGTATTAGGCTTGACTTTGTACCATGGCATGCAGCTCTATAGAGTCCATCACATAGAGAGCTAAAGACTAATATCAATAAGCTAGGTATATCTTGATCTACCTGGTCATGCAACTTCTCTAGTCATGGTAGATTTAATTGCTAAAGGTACTAGTTCTACCACCACCGAATACTAAATTTGGAACTATACTGTAAATCTAGAAAACTCTCAGAGCAGGGTAAATCTACACCCAACTTCTAAGCAGTGATACATGGAGGTTGGAGAGTAATACTGTAATATTCTCTAATGCGGTTGTCAGAAAATGTTTCCACCACCACATCTGCTACAGTATGAGAGTTTTTCTAAGCTAATCAGACTAATTAAGACAGATAATTAAGCTAATTAGACTAATGATTAGACAGAGAAGCTTGAGTGAGAGACTTGCCCTCCCAGGTGACATTTTCGACCGGCTTGATTTCTGGGTGAAGTTTGGCGAGACGGGCGGCTGTAATAAGAGAGAGAAGAGACAGAAAGAAACTAGTCAGAAGTCATTATTCATGATGTTTTTTCTGTAGGTTGCGAAGCAAGACGAGAAAGAGGGAGGATTCTGACACTTCTATCTAATAATGCCTTGTCAGTTTGAAAGGATGATCACTATTATAGTGGTAGCACTGTGATGAAATGAAATTCTAGAAAATAGGTCAGGTGTATGCCATTTGTTTCAACCATTAACCAAATAGAAGAGACAAAAGTTGAGAAAAGAATGGTTCTTTGTTGTACTAACTTGTAGCGTAAAACTACGTTGTAAAACTCCTCAATTAAGTTAGACTTTGACTTTATTAGGATCCACAATAGCGTACAAACTGAGCTATTCTTCCTGTGGTCCATTCTGACATGTACACACATACGACACACCCTAAGGTGTCCGCTGGACCTTGACTAATGCTAAGGAATGGCCCTTCTCGAGTGTCACGCTAAGGGCTTTACCAAGTCCATTCAAGTCCACTTAACCATGACCAAGGCAAGCTAGCTAAATAAACAAGCTGACATTTATGCTTAAATCCCCCATTTAAGTTCTACAAGCATCTGATTTTATGGTATTTGATATTTAATGATTATCGAATATGAGAATTATCAGATTGTATAAAATGTGTCCTTAGGCGACCTCACTTGGCCTATTTTAAAGACTATATGTAAAGGAATGTGACATGATACCTCACATAAGCTATGATGATTGCTTTCATAAATATTTTGCATTGCATTGGCGTCTGCATAACTTTTGACAAGCCCGAAGAAACAACAAATCTAATGTTATATCAATAAACAATTACTATCAGTTAAGATTCCATTTCATAACGATTAAATGCATACCAGTAAGTAATCTAGATCTAGGCAAATAGTCTTAAATTTAAGTCTTCCTACAATAACGTTGAAAATTCAAGAAAACAACAATAAAATGCAGTTTTTGCAATGCAAACTTGAAGCCAAATAGTTCCTAAGAACCACTCACCTGATTTAGACGTCATTGTAGGTGTGAATTTCTCGCCAAACTTGCAAAAATTCGGGATTTTTTTCGGATCTCAAAATTCCGAAACGGGACAGCTGGGGGACGCGGAAGTGACGCGGTTGGCAGGGCAACCCGCCGGGGCATTGTGGGTAACGACCTTTCACCTTTGCACCCGGTGACCTCTGACCCGCAGACGACCTGCAGTCCATCCAAGATGGCGTTTTTACAGGTAAGAATCGATGAAAATACGCAGTTTTTGGTGAATTTTGCAAGTTTTACCGATACTTTGTCTTGAATACACACAAATATGTGTATGCTGTGTACTTCTGCTGAATATGTTTTGCTATTAAAGAGAAATAAACGTGTTAATTGCAGGAAAACTTAGACGGAAGTTAGGAGGGGCGTTTTTACTCATGTGACTTTGTCTATTTGGCGATCTGAGTCTCGATTTCTGTACCATATGAAGATTTGCTGTATTAGGAGGATATAGCTGGAGGATCACGTTAAGATTTTACTGAAAACAGCAAACCTTTCGGAAAGCAAATTATAGCCAACGTTACTACACATCATACGGAACTGTTGTTTGTTGTATCTGAATTGAAAATAAAAATTTGATTCTCAAAATCACTTACATGTCAAACACATGTAGTGAAAAGTAACTGAATATCATGAAATAGAATCTGACATGTGCATTGTATATTTTCCAGTGGCGCCGTATTAGTTTCTTCGATAAGTAGAAGACCTTATGAAAGTTGCTGTACTTTTTTTTGTTTCAAAAACAAGTTTATACATGTATTTGTTTCAGCAGGAAAAAAACTATCATAAAAATATTATGAGAATCTGACATGTGTGTTATATTGTTTATTTCCAGTGGCGCAGGTTTAACTTCTTTGATAAGGAGATAGTGAAGGATGAGGGAGGGCAGGTGTTTGACGGGCTGAAGGGCATCGACATCTCGGTCTGCGCAAGTGGCAGGGGGCAGATCGTCATCGGGGATATCCTTTTTCATCTTTAAGTCTTCCTTTCAATACTAAAATTGGCTAGTTATTAGAATATTCCTCTATCAGTGACTCTTTTTGACAGGTAGAAACACGTACCTCCAAATTTTCGATGTCCACTGTACATTACTGATAGAGTCACTGATAGAGGAATATTCTACTAACTGATAATTTTATGTGACTGATGGACCTCTTCAACGATAAAATTGGCTAGTCTCCTTTCATTTCATTGTATCTTCGTATCAATACAATACACGTGGGACACAGGCAGCTGTTGCTGGTGTTGTGTCCCACACATAGAAACAAATACAGGGCAGGCAATACTCATTTTCACTTGAGATAAGTGGGGAAAGTCGTGTAAAGTGCCTTTCCCAAGGGCACAAGATTGGTGGCATGGCAGGACTCAAACCCGGGACCTCTTGGTTCCGAGTTGAGCACTCTACCATTACGCCACACGACCCCATTATTTTTCAATCTTATTTTCATCTTTGCAGAATTATTAAACATAAATTGTTTTTGCTCTGTTTCTTCTTCTTCTTCTCCAAACAAAGAAGCTTTTCCTTAACAGTTTGCTACATTATGAAGGGAACATCCACTTCCTAAACCGGAACCTGGAACTCTCCACCTTCAAGGCTTACGAACTCCGCATCACTCATCTGTGCCAGGTTAAACAGCAGGGTATCCTGGTCACTGTCGGGGTGAGTAGGCACAAACAAACACACAAACAAACATACACACAAACACTCACGCACAAACAAACAAACAGCACACATCTGTGTCAGGTCAAACAACTGGGCATCCTGGTTAATGTGGGGGTGAGAATGCACAAACAAACATACAAACACACAAGGAGTATGCACAAACAAACAAAGTGTGGGACCTGCAGAAGAGAGACAAGGTGGTAAACCCGACATGTTCCCATATTGTGCGTGTCATGATTGATTGATTGATTGATTGATTGATTGATTGATTGATTGATTGATTGATTGATTGATTGATTGATTGATTGATTGATTGATTGATTGATTGATTGATTGATTGATTGATTGATTGATTGATATTCTTCCCAGGATGATGAACCAGGTACCAACCCCATCATTAAGGTTTGGAACCTGGAGAAGCGAGACAAGGCAGGAAACCCCACATGTTCCCGTATTGTGCGCGCGGTGCCCGGTAAAGAGTCATCTCCTGTCTCCGCCCTCGCGGTGCACGAGAACCTGAACCTCATGGCTGTCGGCTTTCAGGACGGGACTGTGGTGGTGTACCGGGGAGACGTCACGCGGGACAGGTACTTATAACTTCCTTCCCTTCCTCATCTTTCTTACTTTCTTTAATTACATCTTTGTTAATGCTTAGCCCTATATAACTGGGATTAACACCAGGTATGTACATGTATGTCACTTATATCATGCAATCAGCCCTGTCTGTGAGAGATTGAAAATTTTCCCTATGTTTGCTACGTTAGTCACTATATAGAACTTTTAGGAACCAAAACTTTTTTTTTCACATTATTTACCATAAGTTTAAATATGAGGCAATTAAGTTAGCGAATGTGTCATTAAGATGGTAAAATACAGTATTCTTGAATAATTCTGCTTCAACTTGCATTCTCTGAAGTTGCTGTTACATGTAGTACTAAAAATAATCAAAAAACGTAGTTAACTTGAAGTTGACTAAATATGACATGGTTGTAATCCACAATTGTACTTTCTTCCCCTTTTACTCCTACTTGCTCCGTTCTGAAAGTTTCGTGTTGAAGGACATGTAAGCCTACTTAATCATTCTTAAATAAGAATTTGTGGTACATCATATAGAAAGCCCTAAGCTAGCTCCAGTCTTTTGATAGCTCCCTGCACCCTTTGATTGATATGAGAAGCAACTGGCACAGTAATACCTGCCACTAAATAAAACCATCACAAAATTTGAAGTGATTATAAAATGATGAAATACTGGTAGTATAAAATAGTGTACTAGTAATGAATCTAAGCTATAGAAGATAAAATAAGTAATAAGTTTGCACCACACATCTTAATAACCATTTTTTCTCAACCATTTTCTTTTTCTTTTTTTCTCCACACCCCAGACACAGTAAGTCTCGAGTGATCCACCACACGGCCGGCGCAGTGACCGGTCTGGCCTTCCGACAGGCGGCCAAAGTTAACCACCTGTTCGTGGTCACCAAAGACAGCGTCCAGTCCTACAACCTCACCGCAAAGGACCACAAGGAAGAACTGGACGCATTCGGCTGTGAACCGAGGTAAACAAACTTTTTTAAAAGATCCTAAGCACGGGTAGATAAGGAAAAGATTATGATTGTTTTTAGTACTCAGTTTTTTCTTCTTCTCCAAACACATACCAGGTTAAAATGCACTGTTTATAATATTTCAATCAAAGGTAGCTATAGAATTCGGACCAATCATATTGTGCGTTACATCTAAGTTCTCGTTTTGATAAGGAAGGCTACAAACCAATCAGAATGTGTGTTGCAACTCAAGTGTCTTTTTGAGAAGGAAGGCATAGATCCAATCAAAATCTGTGTGACAACTTGGGCTTATTTTGAATAAGGCCAATCAGAATAAGTGTTACAACTTGTATATCCTTCTACATTGCAGATGTTCAGTACTTAGTGACACATCGCAAGACAACCAGTTTGTGATTGGGCGTCCAGACGCGGTGTATTTTTACCAGACAGACGGGCGCGGCCCGTGTCTGGTGTTTGAGGGAGAGAAGAAGACCCTACAGTGGTACCGAGGGTACCTGGTGGTGGTGGGGAAGGAGAACAAGGCCATGCCTAGGTACAATATACTCCTTCTGTGTCTCAGTCATACATGTACACACACACACACACACACACACACACACACACACACACACACACACACTTACAGTACATGTACAATAATCTTTATGAATGTTGTAAGGTCATTGACTCGATTGAGCTTGTTTTAAAACCTAACTGATGCTTTCACATAAATGCAAGCGTATACGATAGACTCAGACATACATAAATATACACACAGACACACAAACACACACATGTACACACACACACACACTCAGTTTGATAGACTCAAACATGTACACATACACATATACATACAGACACACAATATATATAGATACAGACATCAACCTGACTGAAGATCAAAACGATTCATGTACTGTTACAATAAATTCTCCAAATAGCATAGAGTACTAGAAGCACAGATTCTGAGTTGTATGAATCCTGCTGACTCAGTTTTTGCTCCAATTTCTCCCCCAGACCACCCCCGGGTGGCCAGTCCCGTGACATGAGTATTGTGAACGTGTACGACATCCAGAACAAGTTCATCGCCTACTCCGCACCACTGCCAGATGTTACTGATGTCATCTGTGAATGGGGATCTCTCTACATACTCACAGGTCAGCACAAAGAACATCTCTTTTACCTCCTTTATTTTTCTTTAACGGCTCTCGGTGGCAAATTCTGACATGTCAGTGGCAAGACTCTCTCTTTTACTTAGGTCGAGGAAAAAAATGTTGTGTTTCCTTGCCTGTTTCAGTCCGAAAAAATTAGGGTTAGTAGGTAGGGATTATCTTTGGCCATCTCTACCTATCCAACTTATACTTTTATTTTTTATTTATTTTCCATCATTTTTATACAGGGTAACCCAATGCAATTCAGTGATGGCACTGATTTTCAACGGGGCCCTGTATGATTGTATGATACAATATAGTTCAACAAAGTAAAACTTGCATGAAGACACTACACTTGTATATTTTCAATGTCAATGTTGGAAAACTAATTGTACAATGTTTCATCTCTTAGGTGTCAGATCTTGGAGCTAAAAAGGTCGATCAGCTTAAAAAATTCAGTTTATGTCCCTTTCAGGAGTCCACAAAAAAAGGCTAGGGTCGGCTGTTTTTTCTAAGGTTGGTCAGGAAACAGTAGACACAATATACTTTATCAAGAATGCTTTTGTAAGTTTTATGCCAAAGACTTTTTTTTGTATTTTAATATTTTTCAGAAGGGAATCATCTTATGCAGCTGACAGAGAATAACATCAAAAACTGGATTTTCTGTTTTTTTTTTAATTTTTTCTATATTTTGATGTTTTTCAGGAGAGAACCGTTTGATGCAGTTGATAGAGAAAGACATCCAGACCAAGCTGGAGATGTTGTTTAAGAAGAACCTGTATGTGTTAGCCATAAACCTGGCCAAGTCTCAGCACTTTGACCAGGACGGTCTGGTGGACATATTTACTCAGTACGGAGACCATCTGTACAGCAAGGGCGACTATGATGGGGCTATCAACCAGTATGTCAAGACTATAGGTAAAATACAATACTATAAGTTGAAATCATTATTAATAAAAGACATACTATAAGTTGAAATCATTATTGATATTACAAATTACTAATAAACTGGTGGGCATACAAATTTAGTATCTAATACCAGCTCAGAGAAGAACGACAAACAGTCATGCCTTTAAATATCAGCGTTATCAGAATTGAGGTGTTCAAAAACATTTTTCAAGAACCATCGTAGAGTGGAACTCATTACCACTAAGTACAGTTCCTGTTGATGATTTATACTGTATCAATTCAGATGATTTTTCTCATGATGTCTAAACTATGCTCAACTATGAGAGAACTACTAGAGAATAGAATGTACTAAGCCCATTGTGACTGCGTTTCTTTCTCAGGTAAACTGGAGCCGTCCTATGTGATAAGAAAGTTCCTGGATGCCCAGAGGATCCACAACCTGACTGCATATCTACAGTCACTACACAAGGCCCAGCTGGCTACAGAAGATCACACCACACTGCTACTCAACTGTTATACTAAACTGAAGGACACCAACAAACTGGACCAGTTCATCTACTCTAAGGTAGGAATGTAAAAATTTTAAAAGTAATTCAATCATTTATATCATCAGTTCCCTGACTTCCGAGGGTTAGATGTGCTTGTGGCTTGATGGCAGCCCACCACTTGCCTCTATCCTGTTGGTTGACGTTATGCAGGTTCAAGTGGTGGAATTCCTCCCTTATGTTGTCAAACCATTTCTTCTTTGGTCGACCACGAGGGTGTGGGCCTTCCACATCCAGTGTGAGGATCTTCTTCGTCCATTTCTCACTGTCCATTGTTTTTCCTCTCCAGGACAAAGAGGTAGACTTTGATGATTATGTACTAGACGGCATTTAAGGTGTGGTAGTTTTTTTCTAGAGTCCCAAAGCACTGTATGTAAGAGGGTGAAGTCTACCCTCTCTAATTTCCTTGTCTCTCCTTTGTTTTTCTCCAGGACAAAGAGGTAGACTTTGATGATTATGTAGACGGCATTTAAGGTGTGGTAGTTTTTTTCTAGAGTCCCAAAGCACTGTATGTAAGAGGGTGAAGTCTACCCTCTCTAATTTCCATGTCTCTTTCCTTTGTTTTTTTCCAGGATAAAGAGGTAGACTTTGATGTGGAAACTGCGATCAAAGTGTGTCGCCAGGCTGGGTACTACGACCACGCCCTGTCCCTGGCAGAACGACACAGTCAGCACGAGTGGTACCTCAAAATTCAGCTCGAGGACATCAAGGTGTGTCTAAGACTCTCTCCCAGATATGCCTGCTTCTTTTCTTTTAGAATTTGAATCCAGAAGCTAAAAGTTCTGGGCTCGAATCCCTATTTTATCTCTCAACTCGGGTGAGATTGAGTCCCTAGCCTCAGTCAGGGACGTCCTCTCAGTTTGGACCTTAAGATTCAGCTCGAGGACATCAATTTTTGTCTTTGATACGTCGGTGAAGGTTTTACATCCAGGTAATAAGATATGCCAAAAATCTGTAACTCAAGAAACTGGATATGATTTTGGAAACGGTCAGACGTTTCAGGTAACACTACCTTTTCGCCAAAAAAGCAGTTACTCAAGCAACTGGATATGATTTAGTTGCTTGAGTAACTGCTTTTTTGGTGTATTGTATTACCTGGATGTCTAACCTTCATCGACGTAACTGCAGACTCTCGCCGACCTGCACAGACTCAGACCTCCAGGAGGCCAGTGAAGCTGCTCGGACTTTTGCTGAGAGAAATAGCGACAAGCTATGATGATCGACGTAACACTACCTTTCGTCAGTGACACTAGAGACTGCAGAAGAAATGCAGGTTTATAAGCAAGAACTATTGACTTATATGCAAATAAGTGAAACTTTCCCCCATCCAGGACTACCAGAAGGCTCTAACGTACATCTCCAAACTGGGCTTCTACGAAGCTGAGAGTAACATGAAGAAATACGGCAAAATTCTCATGTCAGAGGTAAGGAGTACAATTCATTTTTTTCACAATTATTATATATTTCCACTCTCGCCAAGGTGATCGATTAAGGATTGGGTGGAAAAGACCTCGGCGAGCTAGTGTCGAGTGTCTGCTCCCTGTCATACATGCGACTCTCACAGTGAGTGTGGGGTGGCGGGGGGGGGTTGCGTCCCCGCTCATCATCTACCCTGACGTCCTGTACTCGTCGCGCCGAGTTCACGTCGCTCTAGTTACCAGGCTACTCACGAGACGGGTTGTACGCTAACCCCGCTACCTTCTCTCTGTCGCCCCGCTTCACAAAACTGATGAAGTATGAGGGGTTGGTCACATGGCCTGACATCTCGCTCAACAAGAGTCTCGCGAGATGTCAGTCCATTGTGACGTAAGTGGGAATAATTATATATTTCCACTCTCGCCAAGGTGATCGATTAAGGATTGGGTGGAAAAGACCTCGGCTACGCTACAGTGATCGGGAGCCTTAACCCCTGTCATAGGCTCACTCTCAAACCTCTTCCTCATTATCCCCCAATCCTTATCCTTCCCATTCCTTACCCTCTCCTCTCCCATTCCTTACTCACGTCACGTAAGGCAAAGACACTCAGTAGGCCAAGACACGTAGACACACCATGAGAGGGTAGTCTTCTTTTCTTTTTATTCAATCTCGATTTAACGTCTGTGGAACTCGCCCGCCTGGGGCACAATTACTGAGTCCCCGAACTGTAGTCACTGAGCCCTCGCTCGCAACAAGCTTGCCAGCAGTTCTTGTACTACTGGCCGTGGTCCGTAAAGGAGCGGGGCCCGTTCCAGACCCATTTACCCACTGGTAGCCGACACCCTCTCTTCCTAGAGCTTCAGTGGATCAAGGGCTACTTGCGCCTGCTTTCCAAACTGGGATGATGACGGTATACGTGATACTGGATACACACCTGTTTCTAAAGCACTTCAATCTTATCTCATCCTCAAGTGTACCCCAAACTCTCGGGTACGGGTACATCTCCTTCGGTTTTCCTAATCTAAAACGGTAACCCTTCCGTTTACTCAAATGTGTCGGCTACCTTAAGTAAATTTAGGTCTGGAGGGGCCCTCGCTCGCTTCCCGGGCCACCAGCCGAAGCTATATGGTGGCGGCAAACCCTGGGGAAAGCACGCACGGTCCACGAGTTAGGGCTTAGCCAGCCATAAAATGCCAAAACTAGGTAGCTATCTCACATACATACAACCGAAAAATTGTACTACTCAAAGCGCCTTCCTATGCGTTTACGATACCTGTACGCATCTCCATACGACGTACAAAACAAAGAGAAATGACCCATTGCAAGGCCAAACCAAAAGGTCAATGGCTAAAGAAAGACGACCGAAAACTGTCCCACCGTCTCCCCTTCTGCTGTTGATAGCCTTTATGGAAGACGACCGAAAACTGTCCTATAGCCACCCTCTGCTGTCGGTTGTCGCCATGAAAGACGACCGAAAGCTGTCTTACCGTCTCTCCTCCAGCTGTCGATTGTCGCTAGGAAAGACGACCGAAAACTGCTCTACTGCCTCTCCTCCTGCTGTCGATAGTCGCCCAGTGACCAAAAGACGATCAGAAGACTACCGAAATCTGCCCTCCATCTCCATACCCCTTGTGGTTGTCGGAAACCTCCACGCATAGGGAGAGCGAAACTATTCAAATAGTTTCCCATCTAACTCGAGATTGTCCAACAACCTCTATCCCCCGGGAAAGCGATAAACCATAAAACTGTCCAACAGTTTTCCGCAATAAATTTAGAGACTGTCCGACGGCGTCTACCACTACTGATACCTGACACTTACCTTCAGTTTCTCGCTTCTAGATTGTCCAACAAGCTCTATGCACCGGCAAAGCGATATGCCATAAAAACCGTCTAACAGTTTTACGCACCAAATTCTGAGACTGTCCGACAGTCTCTAACACTTCTGGTACACGAAACTGTCCCACAGTTTCTCGCTTCGAGATTGTCCAACAATCTCTATCCAGGGGAAGCGATATGCCATAAAACTGTCCAACAGTTTTACGCCCCAAATTCTGAGACTGTCCGACAGTCCCTACCACCTCTGATACACGAAACTGTCCTACAGTTTCTCGCTTCGAGACTGTCCGACAATCTCAGAGAAGCTCCGCCAACACCAAAAGGAAACTTAGAAAGAATTGTCCCACAGTCTTTCCCCGAAGTAGGCCTCAGGTTGTTCCACTACCAGCCCGATGCAAAACCGTTGATTATCCGACAAACTTTTCTCTCCGAGGAAACGAGCCACCAACGCTTAAAACAAACGAAAAGGGCAAAAAAATAAGACTGTAAAGAAGTGTGAAACGCCCCGAGGTACACACACGTGATTCCGGGACGGACACACGCAAAAATAAGGTCGTAAAATGACGGAGGCAAAACTCCTACCCACGGCGTCTCTGCGTTCCGTGCCGGGACTCCCTGCGGGATGGCCAGTGCCGACAACGCGGAACTGGGTCCCGAGAGAACTGTCACTATCTTCGGGATGCCTACTCGCTCTATCCGGTGGCAGGGGTTGCTGCAGCGCTAACCGCCGGGTCACACTCCCGTTCCGCCTGGGGCGGCAAGACGCTTCGCCCGGGGCGGGAAACTCCTCTCGTTGACCGGGCTGTACCCGACCGCTGGCAGGCTTGCATCCACGGGCTGGTTTCCCCTCGTGGTCTGCGTTGTACTCGCGTTCGAGGTCTCCACAGTGTTCCTCCGGCAGTCTGCCTGTGAAATAGAAAACACGTTACCCAGAGGAAGAGGGATAGCACACGTACTTATCTGCCGAGGCATGCACGTGCGCGCTGCCACGTCGACAAATCTTTATCTAGCCTGCGCTCCGAAATACCACCAAACAAACCTGTTTCCTCGAGACACTACCACAACAGTACCTTCTAAACCAGGAAACCAACGCGGGAATTCTGCATGGAACCAGAATAATGCTGCCACCGCCGGAATCACAGAAAAATGGCCGGATCAACCGGAGCTAAACCACACGCTACCTTCGCTGGGGCTGGCTTCACAAAACTGATGAAGTATGAGGGGTTGGTCACATGGCCTGACATCTCGCTCAACAAGAGTCTCGCGAGATGTCAGTCCATTGTGACGTAAGTGGGAATATATTGACATTCAGTCACCTCTGCCTACACAACTGTGTGTTTAATTCAATTCATCATCAACTAGATTTTTGTTTGTCTAAGGAGACAGAGGCTGGTATTGCCCTATGCACCACATGTGTGTATGAAGGACTTACTAACTTTCCTTCCATGTAAACTACAGGTTCCCCAGCAGACCACAGAGCTATTAAAGCGACTGTGTACAGACTACAGACCCAGTGACATCCCACTGGCTGATGAACAGACACTACAGGGGGGGATGCCAGCCAGGTATAATTGTATCAAAGAATTTTGAACTGAAACTTTCATGTGTTTTTGTATGTTTATGTGTGTGTGTGTGTGTGTGTGTGTGTGTGTGACACTGTCTTTATGTGTCTCAGTGTGTTTGTCTGTGTGTCTGTTTATGTATTTGTGTGTGTGTGTGTGTGTGTGTGTGTGCATGTGTGTTTGTGTGTGTGTTTGTGTGTGCGTGTTTGTGTGTGTGAGAGTGTGTGTATGAGTGTATGTGAATTTGTATGTGTATGTGTGTACATGTCTATGCAAGTGCAAAGCCAAGCTGAATGTTGTGTTGTTGTCCATGATATTTCCTCACTAATCTGTTGCAGGATCCATAAAGCCCCAGCTGATGAGTTTATCCACATCTTTGTCAGCAACTCTTCCAAACTCATGGAGTTCTTGGAGCACATGATCAAGGTAAAGTAACTGTTGTTTTACTCGTCTGGTAGTCTAAAGTCTTGACAATTCCTCACATAAGTTTGCGTATCTTATTGCCAAGTCAAATATGACTTCACACAAAGAGTTGTACAGGTGCTGTAGCAGACACCCTGTGGTGTTGGGTTACATTATGTAGCAGGACAGTCCTGGAAGGACTGCATCCACATATTATATGAAAATGTGTTTGAGTAACAATAAACAGGGCAGTACTATAATTTGTTAGGCAAAACCAGGTAGGTAAACATTATGCATTTGCTTTGCTAAATGTTATCTTAAGTTTCTAGTATCATTCTTTTTTTTTCCCCAGGTGCAGCCCAGTTCCCCCTCCCTGCTGTATAACACCCTACTGGAGCTGTACCTACATGACATGGCTCATGATGGGAGTCAGAAGGCAGAGTTGGACAGGAAGAGTTTGGACCTTCTGCAAAACACAGATGCTCACTATGATGTCAACCAGGCCCTCGTGCTCTGTCAGATGCACAATTATAAGGTACCAAGTATGCAAATGATATGCAAATTTAATATGTAAAAATAAAGCTTATAAGTAGTGCATGCCAAGACACTCACTATAATGCCAACCAGGCTAATGCAAGTCAGATGCAAACTCAACTACCTGTATTTGCATATTGGTGACCCTTTCTTGTACGATACAAGAGAAGGATCACAAATATGCAAATTATATGCAAAAAAAGGCAAATAACTCATGAAATGTTACATGTATTTGCCATGTAACTTGTATATATAATTTTGTAATTTCTTTGGCTAGAGACAGTGGACAAGTGATCACTCTTGACAGATTGCTTAATGCTTGTATCAATTATTATAGAAAATATTATCGTAACTGTATGTCATCTTGTGTGTTTGTTACATTATTTCAGGCGGGTATCCTGTACCTGTATGAGCGTGAGCGACTGTACCAGCAGATCCTTCGGTACCACATGGACCATGACGAGTACGTCCACATCATCAACACCTGTAAGAAGTTTGGGGGACAGGTGAGACCTTTATCCTTCAGACAACTTCTTGTCATTTGTTATGTTTACCGAAGGAAAATATAATGTTTTTGCTCAGTTTCTTCCTCTTCCTCTCCAAACACTGACCTCGGACCTGGCCAATGACCTGATTTGTTGACATCTGTCACCATGGTAACTGGTGTTGGGTTACATAATGTTGCAATTTTAAAGTAGGAGGGATTTAGACTGCTGTCACCATATATGAATGTGTTTGAGTAAGAATCAACAGAGCAGACCATATGCGAACTTCAAAGTAAACATGCAATTGCTTTGCAAATGTTACCTTAAATTTTGTTTTTGTTACAGGACCCAAACCTGTGGGTGCAGGCATTGGCATATTTTGCCCGTAAGGAGGAGAACTTTACTCCTTTAGCTGATGGGTTTCAGTTGAACAGAAAAAAAGACATTCAAGCACAAATAAACTGACCATTTTTGTTTTGTTTCAGGACCCAAACCTGTGGGTCCAGGCGTTGGCATATTTTGCCCGTAAGGAAGAGAACTGCCGTACACAGATGATGGAGGTTCTACAGCACATCGACAGACACAACCTGCTGCCCCCACTGCTAGTGGTGCAGACCCTGGCTCACAACTCAACTGCTACACTGGCTGTGGTCAAGGTACGGGTGGATACATCTCTTCATCCATAGTATGTGTTGGTGTGTGTGTATTGGTGTGGTGTGTATGTTTGCATGTGTGTGTGTGTGTTTGTGTATTGGTGTGTGTGTGTGTGTGTGTGTGTGTATTGGTGTGTGTGTGTGTGTGTGTGTGTGTATTGGTGTGTGTATGTGTATGTGTGTGTTTGTGTGTGTGTTTGTGTGTGTATAGTGTTGTGTGTGTGTGTGTGTGTGTGTGTGTGTGTGCCATATGTGTGTGCATGCATGTGTTTTTGCAGAATTACTGTAGATGTATTGTGTTGTATCTGTACGATTACATCACACGTCAGCTGCAGTACTAATGTTTGTTTGTTTGTTTGTTTGTTTGTTTGACCAGGATTACATCACACGACGACTGCAGCAGGAGAATGACCAGATCCAGGAGGATGAACGTTTGATCCATCAGTACAGACAGGAGACAGAGAAGATGAGGAGTCAGATACAGGAACTCAAGACTAGGTGTGAAAAGCTGTTTCTTTTAAAGGCATCAAATGTGATTTCAGAGCAGCAAAACTGGATATATTCTTAATAAGGCCATTTGTATTGTATAAAGGGAGAATGCAAGATTGTTGCAATATTATCAGCCGAATTTTCTTCTTGTTTGAAAATTGTTTTGTTTAGAAAAGGCTGCATGTTTGTGTTTTAAAAGTTTTACCCATTGTTTTTGCAGTGCGAAGATTTTCCAGGTGTCGAAGTGCAGCATTTGTAACCATCCGCTGGAACTGCCTTCTGTACACTTCCTGTGTCAGCACTCCTTCCACCAACAGTAAGTACACTTCCCTACACACACACGCATGCACACACACACACACACACACACACACACACAGAACTGCCTTCTGTGCACTTCTTGTGTCAGCACTCCTTCCACCAACAGTAAGTACACTTCCCTACACACACACGCATGCACACACACACACACACACAGAACTGCCTTCTGTACACTTCCTGTGTCAGCACTCCTTCCACCAACAGTAAGTACACTTCCCTACACACACACGCATGCACACACACACACACACACACACAGAACTGCCTTCTGTGCACTTCTTGTGTCAGCACTCCTTCCACCAACAGTAAGTACACTTCCCTACACACACACGCATGCACACACACACACACACACACAGAACTGCCTTCTGTGCACTTCTTGTGTCAGCACTCCTTCCACCAACAGTAAGTACACTTTCCTACAGATACATACATGCACAAACACACACACACACAGGCAAACACACACACATGCACACGCACATACACACTGTCTGAGGAAAGCAGGAATATCTATAGCAATCTGTATGGAATGGCTGATATTGTACATCTAGCTTACTGTTATAAATGGTGCATAAGACCTCTGAAGACACTAGATCTAATGCAGAATCCTGAAAAAATTTAGAATGCTTTATAAATGATTGATTGTGCTTTTCGGTTGTAGTTATACATTTTTCTTCCTTCTCTTTTCCAGTTGTTTTGAAGGCTATGCAGAGAATGAGACAGAATGTCCAGTCTGTATGCCAGAGAACAGGTAACTAAACTTCAATCTCATTCAACATTTTCAGTCATTCTTTAGGTATGTGTCAGTCTGACACATGCCTAAATAGAATACAATGTACATGTAGTTAATTGATTAATCCCACCACACTCATCGAAACAGTCTGGGAGGCTAACGATTGCCTGATTTTGTTTTCTTAGAAAAATCCTGGACATTATCAGAGCTCAGGAGCAACACAAAGAACTCCATGAACAGTTTCACCACCAGGTGGGTTTACTCTCTTCATATTCCAACACCAAAAAAAAATACAACATACGGGATGTTACTGTTATGTGCACAAATACAACCTTATATTGAGACGTTCTTCCAAAGTGCTTTGCACAATACATTATGGGTTTTGCGCAGGTGCAGTACGTTCTGCCGACATTTTGATGACACCATGGATACTGATGATGATCTTCGCACCTGGAAAATTCCGCTAACATGACTGTATACTTTCATGTGTTTTCCAGCTGGAGAGAGCACCAGATGGGTTCTCTGTTGTAGCAGACTACTTCGGCAGAGGGGTGTTTAACAAGGTAGGCTGTTTTCGTGTTGCTAGTTGGTCGGCTAGTTGGCTATTTTCACTAAGTCTTGTTTTAAAACAGAAAAGTAGAATTTAACCTCTTTTTTTCATTTGACCGATCCTTATTCTTTCCTGATCTTGTGTTGTCCATGTCCACCCAGGTCACACTGATCACAGACTCCCCTGCTGCCCCACCGCCCTCTGGTGTAAACCCCTTTGGAGAGCCTCCAGAACTACAAATAAAACCAGCAGCCCCCAAACCAGCCTCCAAGTCAGCTGCTGCCCCCAATCCATTCGATGATGATGATGACACAAGCAACCCCTTCCTCGCAGAAAGCACGAATCCATTCGGTGAACCAGAAAGTACCAACCCTTTCGGGGAGGATTAAGCTTTGGTTCGGTATTGAAAATCTTCGGCAAATAATCAGTTACTCAATTTTGAAAACTCATATCCAGTTGCTTGAGTAATTGTTTTTTGGGGTATCTTATTACCTAGATGTCTAACCTTCACTGACATCTTGAATGTCTTTCTTTCTCAGCTTGAAAGTTCATTTGTGCTTGTAGAATTCTTTAATTACAAGGAGGGTCTTTAACTCTGTGGAATTTGCATAACTTGACTGCATAGAAGTAGACTAGACTCATTCATACAGCCTGAAATTTTAGCAAATATTTCGAACCAAAAATTGCCTGTTACTGTTAGATGACAGCAATATATTATATTATGATCATGTACATGTTGCATATGTATACTAGTTACCTTGCAAGAATGAAATTTACTCAGCCTTCACGTAATTTAGATCTGTGAATTGCTGTACAAGCTGTTTCCACAAACTAATAATATCCTAAATACTAGTACCACAGAAGACTTTTGGTACAGGTATATTTTATAATTTTTTTTTTATATTCCATATTTGGAATCATTTCAGTCTGGAAAATTCATATAATGTATGATGATGTATCATTTTCTAGCCAAAATCTTGGGTTTCTTTGACATTGTGTAAATTTAAAGCAAGCCTTTAATATTGTATCTGTATGCTATAATGTATGATTACAATGGCAATGCATCTGTATATGTATCTGCTTCCATCAAAAACATAAATTGATAGTAAAGAAAAAAAGGTCCGAGTACATTTATTATTTAGAATATGTATGAATATTTAAATGTATTATGTTGAAATGAGCTGAAAGTTAAAGTATGTGAATAGAAGAATGATAACAGGCAGCATGGTCAAAACTAATGTATTGCTTTAAGGCTCATGATGGAGAATATAAGATAAAGACAAAATGTCTGAGAAGTTGTTTTTTTTCTATTTTGTGCCGTTGTGTGTGCGTGCGCATGTGTGTGTGTGTGTGATATATTGCAAAAGCCTAAGGTACAGAATTTTTAGCTTAGCGTTGGCTAAATTGTCAGATTCGACCCATACTAATTTAATTATCATTGGGGATAAAATGCCACAACACCTCAAAACACAGTGAAAAACAAGTTGTTTAACGTCACCTGGATCATTCCAATGCCTTCCTGTCCTACGTAAATGAGGTTTAGACCCCTGTTTTCGCAATGCATTCTGGGATTAGGAAACTGATGAATGTAGGCCCCTGTTTCGCAAGGCATTCTGGGGATGGGAAACTGGTGAATGGAGACAGCAGCAGAACATAAAAACATATGGTTCAACTTTTGGCATGAAAATAATGTTAGCTGCACAGTAATGATGTAAAGATTACAACCAATTAATACCACAGTGTTTGTAAATTTTGTTTTAGTTTAAAAGAATTCTTAAGCGTTAGGATGGTTTAAATTCTACAATTAAGTCTTCTTAGCGTTTGGGAAGGCATCTAGAACATCATGGCGACCTCCGCAGAAAGATTTGCGCGAATCGTGTACAGAAACTGGCCCAGTAATGTGTTCAACCCGCTCACAAGGGTTATCAACAAGCAGATGTGGAGATGGACCCAAGGCGTGACCTTGAAACCAACTGCCAAGATTCTGGTAGAGTTTGACCCCTGGTTAGGGCCGGAGAAAACCATCTCTTGTAGGTGAGTCGAGTGGGGAGGGGGGCGATAATTTTTTGGAGGTTGGAAAATTATTTTATCTTATGATATAAAAGATAGTTCAACTTTGCCGTGTTTTGGTCCGCTCCTTAGCATCTATAAATTTGATTCTTCTAAGCGAACTTGATAGAAAAGAAAAATCTGGAACAAACATAATTTGCCTCTCTGAAATACTAAACTTCTGCTAGCTGCTTGAGTTTCTGTTCTATAATTTAACTTTCAGCTGGCCTGTAATAGCAAGCTCCTTTTCCAGTGATTGGAAAATCTTACTAATTTTCATCCATATGTTATTGTAAACTTGAGCTCAGTGTGGCGGAGGCGAAGTCCATCTCCCAGTTCAAAGCAGAGCTGGGACGGGCTTCGCTGCGTTGAGCTGCTTCCCGGTCCTTGTACATATGTAAATACGTGTAACACTAGCACCACTGATTTCACTTGTCCTGTCCTTGCACTTGTCCATGTCCACCCCTACCTTACCCTTTGTTTGCACTTTGCACACAGTATTAATGCGCAGCTGCTAGTAATCTTCTCTTTAGAAGGCTAAGCAGTATCAAAGATGATGATGAAAGTTCATGGATAATATTTCAACTAGTTCAAGTCCTTCCTGCATGTATTGCATATTAGTAGATGATTGTCTTTTAAATGCATTTCATTCACAGTTGTTTTGTGAAAATTTGTCACTTGTTAAATGCAGAAATGCTCTCAGAATGTTTGCCAACCCAAAAACACGGAAGACCAACCCAAAGTGTGAAATCACAACAAAAATCAAGAACGACAGAACGGAACCGATTATTGACGTAGAATACAGTAAGTACTATTGTCATACTTTCATCATACACATACACATATTTATGTTTACGAAAGGAATACATATTGTTTTTGCTCAGTTTCTTCTTCTTCTTAACCAGACCATCTCTCACCACTCACCATGGTAACTAGTGTTGGGTTACATCATGCTGCAATTTTATAGCAGGAGGGATTTAGACTTCTGTCACCATATATGTGAATGTGTTTGAGTAAGAATTAACAGAGCAGACCATATGCAAAGATGAATATTATGCATTTGCTTTGCAAATGTTACTTTTCTAGTTCTCACTGTCCCTGAATACATCGATGTGCTGATTACTAAACTTTTTCTGTATTTTTTCAGTGGATGGAGAAAGAATCATCTTCAAGTCAGCAAATCTACATGAACTTGAGATATTTGAGAGATACATGAAGAAAGCTGCAGAGAAGGATCCAGAAATTAAACTGCCACAATGAGACATTCACAACAGACAATTATGAAGCAGTGAATGTCAAAAAAGGAGAATGTTAAAGGATTTGTTTAGCTAAAAGTGTCTTGAGAAATATATCAGATGCTTCTATCTACAATGTAGTTATTGCCCCAGTAAAAGATACATAAAAGGCAATTGTGAAGAAATAAATTTGTTACATTTTATTTCAGGGATGGAATATGTTAACAATTGTATTTAGTTTAGTACATAATTAACAATTAACAAAATACATGTACAATTGAAGGCACTATTACTGTTATTTGTTATCCATGCAGATCGTTAGATGAAATATATTCTGAACTACATCAGCCTTTTCTTTTGTGTCATCTTTTTCTTTGGTTTACTTCCATTTCTGGGCCATCTTGTTGTAACTTCTGATCTCTTGACTCCAGCTAGAATGAACATGTCCTTTAATTTTAAACATTCTTTGAACACACGTCCAAAATGTTTGGCTTCAACCGCCAGTAATAATTACATGTATTTTGAATATCATGTCTGCAAAGAATGTTTTGATTAAAAATTACAGAACACTGCGGCATAGTTATTTTAATTATCCTAGATGAGAAGTTCTACTACAGATATCCTAGACATAGATTTTACATGTAGTTGACATAAAGAAGATTTGCCATTGATCAACTTGAGAGCACCAGTTTTTGTTGAATGTTCACTGAAAATTCCACAGCAGCTTTTCTAGAAATGTTAGAGGTCTGTCTGTCTCTTTTTGTCTAGTAGATTGTCATGGATGCTTCGAACAGACCAGCCAGGTCCTCCTCAGTCTGGGGCCGGGGAGCGAGCTTTGTTACACGGTGCTGCAGATAAGCAAACAACAACATGTAGTCAGAGGTGGAAATGCCTTGTGGTTAGGGTTGTCAACTTACAATCTATTTAAGATTCTGACTTCAAATCCCTAGATCATGACACAATATTGTGCCCTGAGCTAAGAAAAGGTAGCCTGGGTGCCATCTGATTTGTATTACGTGTGTAATGTAAATTGTAATGGCAACCCCATTGCCACCGAGGCTAAAGGATAGGCACTGTGCACCAATTTTCTTAATAACTTGAAGTGCATACTAGCCCTTTACCAAAACTTAAAAGGAGCACAGCTCCGTACGAGAAGGTTAACAAACCTAACATGATGCCCCTTTTCTATACTACAAAAGTCAAACCTGTGATCTTCAAGGTAAGAGAAACATGAATGCGAAGCTGGTGGGATATTGACCCACAGAACAGAGGCAAGTGGCGGGCTGCCCTCAAGCCTCAGTACCACAGTGCAAGCATGTCTAACCCTCAGAAGACAGGGAACAAGTCGCTAAAACGGACAGTGAGTGAGTGTGTGTTGAGGTACCTCATGCAGAGAGCATCAGTACTGAAACAATTGCAATGTTCTTGTCTTCTTCCAGTATTTAAATGAGTCTACAGTTGTTGTTGTACCAACCTGAGGAAGGGTCCCCTTCACCAGTGCAGGGATGTCCTCTGTGTTATAACCCAGTGCCTGCAAACCGTCATCCACGTCCAGGTCCTTCACAAACCTGCGCAGAACATCGGCCAAGATGGGTCCTGCGTCTTCCCTCTTAGCATTTCTGGTGTCATAACCTGTTCAGGAAAAATTTGAAAAAGACAATCAGATAGGAAGACTACATATATGGGTAGTATGTGTATTCTAGTGGTTAGCAACTGTGCCTCTGGACTGAGAGGTTGGGAGCTCACCCCACATATAAGCTACTGTGATAGGTTGCAGGACGGGACGTTAAGCCATGATCTGTTGCTCATTTCACAGTGCTTGTTGAAAAGAGCTTGGGGAATTTTCTGGGTACATCATCATTACTAAATCCAGGTACAGTGAACCTGTAAATACTGTACATGGTGTCTGTCTTCTCTGTCACGACCAGTGGGAGATTAGCTCTTCATTGAGCTAAATCTGAATCAAGGTCACTTATTTGTTCTCCCCTTTACTCATCTGCTTTGCAACCCTTTCAGTTCAACAGGCAATAATAGCAGAACTGAGTAAAACACAATAGGATGAAGAACGCTAATAAGGAATACCTAGTATCTCTGCAGCCTCCAGATGCCTGTCAGGACACATGGGAGCTGTGAACTGGAACACGGCAGGAGCTGACACCACTACTGACAGGCCGTGGGGCTGGGCAACAGGGGAAATAAAATCAATATATTATCATGAAAGTTCACCTGTGTCAGTAGTTACATGTTTAGAGTTAAAACACAAAAAATTCTGTCACCTACAGCTTTTAACCAGTCACTCTGGTCTTCCTCAGTAGGCTGACCCAGTGAAGAGACCCAAGACTATTTTTTGAGAGGGGTGAAGGAAGCCATATACATCAGGGCCCATCACCCTACATTGAACCGCGACGGGAGCCAACATCATCTACCAGATATCTTTGTAGTTTTCAACCTAGCAAATTAGCTGAGAAATTGAATACATGTACAGGGTCATGTATTTTGAAATTTGACGAAATGCTTTTGATCTTTCAACCTACCACAAGAGGATGATCATCAGAGTAGTCCTTGGACTTGAACTTCTTGACAAGCCCAGAGATGGGGTACGACATGCCATGGCTAGAGGGGAAATGAAAAGATTATACGTTGTAGTCATAAAAAGTATGCATAATTGTCTGTTACCTGATTTTCTTCACCTTGGCAACTAGCAGCAAACAAAAGAATAAGGCCTGGTAGAAATCTACCCTTTGACATTTTGCTAGAGTTAGACATCCAGGCAAAAAGTAACTCATAGGATATCAGTTCCTATGGTGTTCCTTATCTTCTTTACATAATAATGACTATATGAGACTTGTCACGTTCAACTGTTGTTTTTTTCCATTTACTCAGATATATATATATATATATATATATATATTGTAAATTGCATTCTGTTAGTTCATTAGTGATGCTGCAGAGTAGTGGATGTCACTCAAAAGCTCCAGAAATTATCTCAGTCCGTAATTCATCTACTGTAGTAGCAGAGTTTGAATTTCCTATGAGAAAACTAATAGTTATTAAAAACTTTTGACATCAAAGTAAGACGTACCACAGATGTACCCCAGCGTTCCCAAAGCCTATGCCAGCGAAGGTGCTGGCCAGGTGCATGTGTGATCTCGCCTCTGTGTCATCAGCATTTCTCACAGCCCTGGAACACAAGTCAGCAACATATGCAGGGTGTCACATTTCAAAGCATAAATGACTCATGTGAAAATTTTTTTTTTCTGTGGAAGGTATATCTAACAAGAATAGATTTTTGGTCAGTATTGACCATAGTAAACTCCTTTTGGTAAATCTTGTTTACAGCCCTACAGCTCTGGCTATGGCTGCACAGTCCTATACAAGGATAACAGTCTCTGACAGTAAACCTCTGTAGTTTTAGGGAAGGTAGGACTTTCTTCTAAGTTCATAATCTCAAATGAATACTAGTAGATTACCCAAGGGTACAATAATTCCAACTAAGGAAGATAACACAAATGAGTGAGTAAGAGAGTATTTGTGTAAAAACTAGAATAAAAATCCCCCAAAATTGATCTTAAACTGCAGAAGAAATCATATTCCAATAGGTTCCTCAAGTCATCAATAAAATAAATCATAACTCATTCTTTCCAACAACAACAAAAAAATAGGGCCCCATACCCACCTCTTCATGTACTTGTTGATGATCCTGAGTGCATGTAGAGACCACACATCACTGATGGGGTTACTGCCTTGGTAGGCAGGCCGCTGGATGGGGTTCTGGGGCCTTGGGCGCCTCTCCTGATAGGGGATGGCAGTGTAGGACTCCAGAGCATGGCTGTGGATAACATAACACAAGGGAGTCAGGGATGGCAGACTTTACACCCTTACCCACACACACACACACACACACGCGCGGTAGTCAGGGATGGCAGACTTCACACATTCAAATACAGAGACAGACAGGCAGACAGACACACGCACACACACACACACACACACACACACACACACACACACACACATACACATATAGATACACACACACACACACACACACACACACACACACACACACACTCACACACACATACATACAACACATCATGAAATCGAAGACACAAATACAGACAATCAGAAAGTAATGTCCCCTTACCACAGCACATCAAACCCACTGTTGGCGGTGACTCTCTCAGGCATGTATTTACAGTGCATCGGGTCCACCAGACCCATAGTCGGCCGGATCGCACGCTGGCCAATGCCTGCAAAAATATATCATGTTAATATAATAAAGTAGCTGCAAATACATTAGATTTTCAAGGGTTATGGTTGAAATGCCTGTGTTGATGTTATGTTCAGCACCAAGGACAGGTCCAGTGTTAGAAATAAGGCTTACAATACATGCATCAATTTACAGTGACTGTACAGAACTATTCAATTCAATCTGTATGTATGCAATTTAAGTTTAACAGTAAAAACATTTTTCAGTTTAAAACAAGCTGTCAAAACTAAAGAATGATATACATGTGCCAAAATATATCAAGATAGGTAGAACAGTAGCCAAAAATACATGGACATGAAATTCAGAAGGGTTATAGTTGATTTGTCTGTACTGATGTTATGTTCAGCACCAAGGACAGGTCCAGTTGTAACAGACAAAACAATCCTACATATTGACTGTACTGAACTATTTGATTGTAACTGTCTACTATCCATTCAGGAAGAGAGAAAGACACATGTAAGAAGATTCTAGGCTAAAATAACTTCTCAAAAACAACCAAAAACTAAAATATGCCTGTAATATCTTGAAACTAGCTACATTTGTAGTGAAGTAGCTGAATTGTCCATACTGACGTTATGTTCAGCACCAAGGACAGACCCAGTTATAACAAACAAGCCTAATACATATACCATTTTACAGTGACTGTACAGGTCTATTTCTATTCAAGTCAATTTCTCTATTGCCAGTAGAACATAAACTCATGTATATTCATTAAACATACAGTAAAAAGACTTAAACAAGCTTCCAAAACTATAGAATGATATACAAATACAAGTGGCGGGCTTCCATCAAGCCCCAGTTGTACTGTGCAAGCACGTCTAACCCTCGGAAGACGAGAACAACAGACGATAAACCGGACAGTGAGTGAGTGAGAGTGAGGATGCAATTCTTGTAAAACTAGTGAATCTGTGCTTACCAATCTTGGCTTTCAGTGGTTCATAGTCGAACACGGCCACCCCGGTGGTCTCACTACCTGTACCTGATGTGGTAGGAACTGTAACAAAACACAAGAGGCAATCAGTCAGAGATGGCAGACTTCACCCCTTTCACATTATTTGCAACCCTTTCAGTCAGACACACACACACAAACACACACACATGCTGACTGTTAGAACTGTAACCAATAACGAAGGGTGTTACTGAAGTAGCCTATACCTGCAATGAGAGGCTAGACCTGATTGGTAAGTGAAATAGTAACCAATAAGAAGCTGCATTACAACTGATGCAGCCTACCTGCGATGAGAGGCTTGAGCTGATTGGTGACGGGTAGTCCCTTGCCGATGGGAGGGTTAGGGTTAGTGACCAATAAGAGGCTGTGTTACATTACTGAATCAGCCTACCTGCGATGAGAGGCTTGAGCTGATTAGTGACGGGCAGTCCCTTGCCGATAGGAGGGTAGACGAAGTCCAGCAGTTCGTTGTCAGGATGTGCTGTGAACAGGTTTGCTGCCTTACAGGTGTCCATCACTGACCCTCCCCCAACTGCCAAGTAAGCGTCGAAGTTACCCTTCTTGGCAAAGTCAATCGCAGCCTGGAAACTGGGTGGAAATTTAAAAAAATATTAATTATGGCATCTGTGTGGTGTAGTGGTAGAGCATCCGAGTGTTAGTATAAGCAAGGGGACCCAGGTTCAATCCCCAGGGTTGGACCCAGACATATCCGGACTTGCACCCAGACATTGTGCCCTTTGGAATTAGGCACTTTACACGTATTTCCCCCCTCATTTAGAGGGTTCCTGGGCCCTACTAGGGTTTAGTTTGGCGTTAGGAAGGGCATCCAGCCGTAAAAATCTTGCTTCAAAAAAGACTTGCACTTGGAAGCACGCCTAAACCCAGGTTTGGGGAAAATTTACGTTAAAATTGGATTTGAAAAATGTGTGCATACAAGGCCTTATAACTGGTACCTTGAGTCAGTTGGTTCCACGCGAACGTTGTCAAACACTTCAAAGTTGACCCCAGCCTTTGTCATGGCTTCTAGCACAATCTGCATAGGAGGCAGCTTCCCAACCTACAGAAACAGAACAACACACAGGTTTACACCAATATATGTTAACAACCACTGTAGAAGACAAGGATCAGTATTTCAGCACCAAGGACAGGTCCAGCTAAAACATATGCATCATATCACAGTGACTGTGTACAATGTATAAAGATATTGGATATCACCATATGCTAATGATTATCATCCTTCAGTCTTGTCAAACTTCAAACTGACATTTTCCTTGTAATAGTTACAAACTTTAAGAAAATGGTAGCAAAGATCACAAATTAAATGACAATAAAAAAAAAGAATCCACTAACTGTCTTGTCTGTCATGATGCAGACTTTCTTGGCTCCCATATTCTGGAAATCCTGAGGAAAAAAAGAATAATTTTTCACCATGTGAACATATACCATAGCTTTTAATTAGCCTCCATTTTCCTTTTTTCAGTTAATACAACAAATGTAAAGTAAAGTTAGATGAGTACTATAGGTACTATAGGTAGAAACTCATTTGTGTCATTGTTGATAATTTTCCTTTAGGTGCAAACTAAACTACCTGTATTTGCATATTGGTGACCGTTTCTTGTGCCATACAAGGAAGGAATCCCAAATATGCAAATGATATGCAAACATTGGCAAATACATGTATGTTGACTTACCATGCCGACCTCCTGAGTAACTCCCATCCCATATCTGATGGTAGATGTTGCCATCTGGGTAAAAAAAAAAATGGAAGAAGGTTACTTCTGTATCTGTATCTGTATAACGGCATAACCACCTTTCGACGTAACACATCAGCTTCACAGGCACGCGGCGCAGCGGCAGCTGGCTACATTACACCGATCAACTTTTTACACCTAACCCTTTAACTTAGAAACAAAACTGACCTCCACAGCATACTCTGTTTCTGTTGTCTCTGTGGTCTGACATCTTCTCTGTGTGGCTGCTCGTGGTAAATTAATAAAAAGAGAAGACAGATTTAGAATTATTGTCTGCACAGTTTGTATAACAATAGGCATTACGTTTTGAATTAGAAAACTTCGAATTCCGGTATAAGTTGAAATCACACTATGTATACCATAACTTCATTGGTTTCAAATTGTACTTTATTTTTTAAGCAAATAATGATGATGATTTGAAGTAAGACTAGTGGAAAGGAAGTTTTCATTTTTGTTTTGTTTCACTGTAAAAATGCCACCATCACAAATATTTCAATGATTTCTTACCTGGAGCAAACCCTGCAGAATGGGCGGGGCATCTGCATCTGTAGAGATGGAGAAAACAAACTGTTACCATGATTACCTGTTGCCATGGCTACCTAGACATTCTCTTTTTTTTTTTTTTTTTT